TTAATCGTTTTTTTTAACTCATGTGTGCACTCACAACAGGCCAAAAAAGCTGAATCTGATTCTATTGATCTTTATTTTAAAAGAAAGTATGGTACTATTCACTCCACGGTAATGACTGACTGCAAACTTGCAAGTTATTTCAAGACTATTGTGATTCTTTTATGGTTGTGTGACCTCTTTAACAGGCTCCAGCTGGACCTGCTCACTTCTTCCTAATGCAATAAAAATATTTTAAACAGCAGATGGCAGCACAAAGCAGTCCTGTCGCTCTGCAGTGAGTCAATGCTGAACACATCTCCAGTGTTATGGCTCCAGAACTGTTGTAGTCCTTGTATTACCTAACATGAAGCCCTGACCCTTTTGTTTTATATATAAGGTATGTCTCTAGCATGTCCCCATTCTGCTTTGAGTCACAGCTTGGTCATGTGATGTAAAGTCTACGCAAACACTGCCTTAGGGTAATAAAGTTCATAATATTTAAGGCATGAGTATGTTCCTCATTAATAATAAACTCACACATGTAGTTTCCATCTGCAACTCAACAGCAGTTATGCATAATTCAATACTGAAGTCATGTCAGGGAGCCTAGACTGTTGTCATGTTTTAAACATGCTGTGTAACGCAGCACTTTGCAGAGGAGGAAATGTAAATATGAGTAATAATATTCTCATTAGAACTTGAGGTTGCTAGATTTAGATCTTTGGTTTGTAAAAAAAAAAGGTGTCTGTAGGTGAAGTCTGGGGTTCCTGTTACTCACACTCTCATGGTATTTTTGTGGGGTATGTTAGAATATGCTGCTTTACATCCCCTGGGAGCAATAACATTTCTGTGAATTTTTTATGTTGCCTTTTCTCATCTGCATGGTGTTTCACTGAGCTCTGGGTCACTGGTCCCATTTTCATACTTGCTACTGTGTTGTTTCACTCTGTTTTTTGGATGGGTGGTTGGAGGTCAAAGGTCAGGGTTAGGGTGTTTCTGTGTCACAGGGGGTCGTGGGGAAAAAGGATGAACCCTGATACAATGCCATAGACATTCTCTGAACAACCATCCAGATTCCAGAACTGCAGCAGGGACAATGTTGTTCAGGCGGCTGAGTGGGTGTTTCAGACGACATGAGGACTCTGATCCACCCCCACCCCAGCCTCGAACCTCCTCTTTACCATCCTCACACATATGCTACTATGGCAATAAAAGACAATAGCGGGTACTTGAAGTTAAGCTGGGAGATGACTTGGAGAGTGGGCTATTGTTGGTGTTAAGCATTGTTGGGCTGACAGCGTCCTTACTGAGGAAAAAGTTTAAATGAGGGAACAAGGAGAGGAGGAGGAGAAGAGTCTGAGCTGAATTTTATGGGATCATTTTCATTTCTTCCTTTGGCTAGGGTGAAATCTTCCCAACATAGCAGATTGAAGGTTTGCCCTCTGTGTAATTATGGGATGTAGCGTTGTAAGATCTTCAGGCTCTGTGGGCAAGGGAACTCAAGAATCCCATCCCTTAGGTTTAAAGTTAGCAAAAAAATCTTTCTTTCTTAAACTGCTTGACTTTTTTTAGATCCAGAACATCATTCCATCAATTAACCACTTTATGGCAGCATGCATGTGAACAGCTCTTTATTTAACCTCCTAAGACCCGAACTCTTGCAAGGCATGCATTTTTATTTTCTCTTTGATATTTAGGCTAATTGGGACCTGATGAGTGTAAAAACAAAGAATGATCTTTTTACATGATGTAGTTTCTGAGAAAAATGATGTCCACATATGAGGACATTCGTTTTAAATTTTGAGAGAAGGCCCTTGTGAACAAAATTTAATATTGTGGTCTTGACAACCAAAAATGTGATGTCCACACATGTGGACGCCAGGTCTTAAGGGAGTTAAACATTCTCTTATATGTTTAAAACAACAGGAAATCAACATAAACAAGCTTCACGTATGTAGAAAACAGCCCTCTAAGGAGTTGAAGGTTTTAATACTTTTAAAGTTTCTGTGAGAATTTTTTTCAGGTTGAATGGACTTAATTTTGAAGGCTCTTTATAAACTAAACAAACTATCAACATACAGACTGATTACTTCTATATGGGTATTTTTGACACCTTGAGCCACTGCTGGAGGTTAGGTGTCAGAACAACTAAGTGACACAAAAACAGGCTTTGTTTACATTTTATTGTAAATGATTACACCTAATATGATCTTGTTAAATGGACCACTCTTAGTAAAGAGAGAATTAAAAACAATAAAAGGAAAGTATGAATTAGCTGGCTTACTACAGGACATGATCACTTAAGAAGGCCACAAGTAAGGCTTATGTTTTGGCAAATAAATGATCAGTCAAATGTTGTGGCAATGAAGTCTTTTTCCTCATGCTTTAACTGGTATGATATTAATTGATTCATTACCTCATCAAACATCCATCACACTTGAAGATGCCACACATGACAAGGAGCGTGTTTGACCTGAGGCTGGACGCTGACAGCAGATGTCCTTCACTAATCAGTGTCACCAGCTTGGCCCCGACTGAGACCTGAAGTAGAGCAGGTCTTCTTTGCTGTCCACTGAGATGCTTAATTAAGAAAAAGACAAGCGGGCTAAGGACCAAACCGATCAATATGTGAGACCAGAGGAGGTTGAGGTCACGGGCGGGGTTTGATTTTGACCTGGCGTTGTTTGGTCATGAGACGTTGGCGAACTTTGACCTTTTGTTCATTAATTATCATAAAGCATTAGTTCAGGAAAGACAACAAAAAGAGAAATAGTGTGTTAATGTTATCATTGCCTGGTTCAATATGGCGTCATCATGGTGAGTGTTAAATTAATTGAATGTTTTTGTCATTGAGGGCACTTCAGTTTTACTGGGTGGTCTTCTTCCTCCCTGTCAGAGCTCTGGACAAGAATTTAAGTCTTTATTTTAGACATCAACTTAGTTATTTCTGACGAAGCTTCCTCTCATTGAAGAAGTCAATTTTCTCCACCACCTGCAGGTGTTTTAACAGCTGAGTGGTGACTGTTTACGTACTCCTGCTCTTTTGTGCTCAAATGCAGATCGTTTAGCAACGCACTGAGACCAAGCTCTGTATTTTTGAGAATTCACCTTGTAGCTGCTGTATAAACTAAGCATCAAAATGTAAATGAAGGACTTTCTGCCTTCAGCTCATCTTTTGTCACACAAATAAGTAAGTGCTGTGACTGCAAACAACTGTTGAAACATATCTCATTGAAACTGCTGAACAGTCTTTGTTGTTTTGCCTTTCAGGATGATGTGTCTGCAGCTCGGTATCAGTGAACAATTAACAAATGAGAAATAACTCACAACTACAACCCCAAAAGCAGGAACACATGAATCCCAGCAGATCACTGTTAGGAAGCTAAATAAACTCCTAATCTCCGCCAGTTTCCACAGGATAAAGATGGATCATTTCACACATAAAGTTTGGTGTTGGGGTCGGACATGTCAAGTTTTATGTCAGTTTTTTTGTGGCACAGACAACAGTGAGGACTTTGGACCAGGCACTGAACATTGCAGACAAGGAGTAACTGGGGCAAGAATATTCTGACTTATATTGGCAGTATGTAGGAACTATGTGTTACAGCATGAACTAAACTACCAAATGCATCACCTTTAAATGCCACTGAAACCCCTGAGTTCCACCATTATTACTCTGAGACTCAACAGTGAAGGTTTCTTCTGCGCCAATTGAACAGCACAACACGATAACTAATATAAACCTGAGTGAAACTCATAGGTTATTGTACAAACATATTCTGGTTTCTTTCATGTTTTTCTAACCATTGCTTTTAATTCAAGTGTTTTCTTTATCACTCTTGTATCGTAACCTCATCAATGAAAGGAGCTCTGGTTTCTATCACCAATGTTCCCAGGATGTGCTCACACTGTCAGTCTCAAGAGTCTGATCTGGGGGGAAAGGGGAGTTTATGTTTACTGCCCCATTTACCCGGAACGAACTTCAGAACTTAAAGACTTAGTCTCTTTAATGTTAAAAAAAGTGCTTAATGACTTGGAGGCAGACTCAACTGTATGCAGATGTTCCCTCTAAATGGGGTTTAACGATTGCATGGGCATATAATGTTTTGATTGTGATCATTTATCTGATGTTTCTTCATTATGAATAGCTGTAAATTTGTCTGTCAAGGTCTTTGAAAGAACAGGGAACTGTGCTGCTGGCTGGCTTGGCCAGGACATACTAGGCCTACCAATCTTAATGTGTTTTTAGAGAATTTCCGAGTTTGGGATCAATAAAGTCTATCTATCTATCTATCTATCTATCTATCTATCTATCTATCTATCTATCTATCTATCTATCTATCTATCTATCTATCTATCTATCTATCTATTTTTTTCCTGGTTAAATAAAAATATTTAAAATGTTGAGGATTTGTCTTTTGTTAATATTTCTGGTCACCATAGTAAATAGCTAGCCGATAAGAATGTTTTATTGTGGTTCTTGTGACTAAGTTGTTATGTTTTGTCTTGCTCTATATCCAGATATATTTAAAAAATGAAAAAATAAACAAGCAAATAAATAAAAAAGCCCATCAAAAATCTACAGTAGTAGACATATTTGTAGGATCAATCAATGTAATCGATGAGTATCAACAAACAAATCATTGTCTAATTGTCTGAACTTTACTTTATATGTATATACATATATATCAAATTAGATATTGTTAGTTCAGCTTGTTGCATAGCTGAATATTCTGTGAAACCCTTGATTTATAATCTCATCTCAAGTTATTAACCTCATGTGCTGCTCTCTCTCTTGTGGCAGAGATGTAAAAGAAAGCCTTTATAGAAGATAAAGTTGACAGTGAAAGCAACATCTTAATATCTAAGATAGATGAACAAATGCCGGTGAACTGTGTCAGTGACTGTGACCATAATTGGAGCTGTAGACGGGGCGGGGCGTAATGCCCCCTCTTCGCTCGTGCAAACGAAGGGGCTTACCCGGATCTACTGCAGATATTTGCGAGGCTCCTCCCTGCACTTTTTTATCGCCTTATAACAGGATATCTCACTGGCGCGAAAAACGCACTGTGTGGCTTCTATTACACATCGTGGGGCGGACCTTGTGCCTGCTGCGTGAACCGCCGGCTTTTGTGTTTTTGTTTTGTTAAACTTCGAACTTAAAGAGACGTAAAAGCGGTGTTGAAACCTCACATCTAAGTGTTATACCTACCCAGCGTCTATCAGCGTGATCCCTGTGCTCCGGATCATTGATCTTTTGCCGTGGAGTGCCTTTCCATGCCCTGAAATTCACTTTTGCAAACCGGGGGAGAGCTGGTGAGTCCTTTAATTTTAAGACTTCGTGTGAAAGTTTGAAACGAGGAAACTGAGTGTTATTTCTGAGTCTGAGCCCACTCTTTCCTTCTTCACACGACTGCTCTGAGGAAACAAAGCGCTGCCTACATTTCAGGAAACACTAGGTTGCCTACTTTAAAACGAGAAAGTCTTATTATTCACCTGATCTACCCTTTCTCGGCCAAAACGTACACGGAATCACAGCAGATCTTTTATTTAACGAAATTATGTAATAATCATCTGTGCCTTGATAGTTCGATTCATCACTGCAGGTACATCCGCAAGATCCACTATCAAATATTAATGTGGTCCCATTTGGAGAAAGTCTGCTGTCAAAGGGATGTGAACGAGTTCTTACAATGTGGCAGGAAGTACTTTATTTCAATCGTGGCTAATCTCTGTGATATTTCCCCTCAGGTTGAAGGTGCTCAGAGGGAACATTTTGTAATTGCTGGGAATTAACTCTTGAGGATTTTATAAACTGGAATCATGGAGTTCGACTGTTACCAGCACTATTTCTACGATGATTTCGACACGGAGGAGGATTTTTACAAGTCGACCGCACCGAGCGAGGACATATGGAAAAAGTTCGAGTTGCTGCCCACCCCTCCCATGTCCCCCACCCGGACTCTGAGCGGAGCTGCCTTGCACCTCTCACCGGGGGACAAGCTAAACTGGCTGTCCAAAGTCCTGGGTCAGGACGAGGATTATGAGGGCCAGTTCGTCCCGGGCAGCGAGGAGCTGCTCGGCAACCTTAGCTCCATCATCATACAGGACTGCATGTGGAGTAGTTTCTCCGCCAGTAAGCAGCTGGAGAAGGTCAACGGGAAGGTGGTGTCAGCTGCGGCACCGTCCGGTGCCTCCCCGTTGGCGCAGATCTCCGTGAGACCGAGTAAGGCGCAGTGCGTCTCTCCCGCTGGCGCGCTCCCCACCGTGGCGACAGACTGCGTCGACCCCGCGGCTGTTCTCACCTTCCCGGCGAACAGTTGTAGGAAGCCGGCGTCGTCTGGCTCTGAGTCCCGCTCTGATTCCTCCGGTAAGGAAGCAGTCATGCTGTAAATTGCCCCACCCTGCCCCTGCCTAGGGATTATATTACCCTCTAACAATGCGTAATTTGGAGAGCTGGGCTGCTGTTGCATAACTGAGGTCTGTGGTGCAAAGGGGTTATCAAGTACACCAGTCCGTCACTTTATAATCCCGATTTTTACTCTCACGTTGACAATGCGCCACATGCTCTCTAGAATACCAGTGCTATCTTTTGAAAACCGCGCCCCGTCACTTTTACTTGATTTCTCCCCGCTTTCAATACCTGTCACTGACTCTGCATTACAATCAGAGTGCGGCAGAGGGGCGGGGTAACTGAGCCAAGATGATTTATTACTACTACACACACAGAAACACACCATTAGAGTTTACTCTTTCACATTTAAGGTATTAGTGACTGCCCCCTGCCAGTAATTCTGCTCATTTAAATAGCTGATGAATGGTCAGTGCTCAGTAACAAAAGCCTGAATTCATGCAAGCTTTGGCATGGATGACCAACTCTGTTAACACCTCAGTGTCTGATTGGCCCCTCTTTAGTTAGGAGGAGAGGTGATTTGCACATCAGAAAGTGGAATGCACTTCCTCAGAGTAACTAGTTAATATTTGATTGATCACTATATCTCATTCAAACATCTGTCATCTTTCACCTTGATAGCTACTCTGAAAGCTTTCACCTGTGAAACCTGTTTAGCGTGTTTTCATGAGTTTTTTTCCATTTGATCCCAGATGATGAAGAGGAGATCGATGTGGTCACTGTGGAGAGCAAGCAGAGCAGAATGCGTCTGGTGAATGTCAGAAAACCTGTGACTATCTCAGTGCGGGCTGACCCCTGCCCCAAACGCTTCCACATGTCGGTCCATCGGCAGCAGCACAACTATGCTGCCCGCTCGCCAGATAGCGAGCCAGAACCAGAGGACGATGATGAGGATGAAGATGAAGAGGAGGAGGAGGAGGAGGAGGACTATGCAGACGAGCCTCAAACTAAGCGTACCTGCATGACCTCGACACAGAACTCCTCTGCTCGTATCTCCCAGCCCACCTCCCCCTCAGAGACCCCTTTGAACTCTGATGCAGAGGACACTGACCGCAGGAGGAACCACAACTTCTTGGAGAGAAAGAGGAGGAATGATCTACGGTCTCGATTCCTCGCCCTGCGGGATCAGATCCCTGGTTTGGAGTCAGCCAAGACCCCAAAGGTTGCAATCCTGACTCATGCAACAGAATACCTTGTAGATCTCCATAGCAGAGAGAAACGGCAACTCCAGGAGAAGAAACGCCTCAAATCCAGACAGCAGCAGCTTCTCCGAAAGTTATCTGAGCTTAAACGCTCCTGAGACACTTTTAAAGAAAAAAACTGCCTCATTCATAGTCAGAAACCTCTCAGTCCTTTTAAAGACAACATGCCTCATGTAAATAGCTGTGTGTTTTGTCTGAAATGAATTCACGTTAGCGTGGGCTTTCTACAAATTGACGGCCAATGAACCTGTTATGGGGAGGAGCAATTTGTGTGCTGTGTTTTTATATTTTCTTTGCACGTTGTTTCAATAATGAGCAGGGGTCATGACTTTGGTTTTATAGCTACAATATTTTCTTTTGTTATGATGGGAATACAAGAGAGGTATCTGTTAGTAGTTTACCTGTGAGATAAGGAATTAATGTAGCCCTGTGTGTGAAAGCTGGTTAAGGCGTCTTAATTTTAACCATTGCACACTTCTAATGGAGAAAAGTGTGAAAGCCTCTCTGTGTACATATTTGAGTGAGTCAGTTCTCTGTGTGGATGGATTGTTTGACTGAATGTTTGATGCACAAAATGTTCTGTAAATAATAGCTTATCCCTCCAGTTGAAGGAGATGAAATCAAGAGTTGTCAATGAGCTTTGCTCTTCTTTATGAGGTGCCATCAGGCACCGAGGAACTTCTATTTTGTTAAGAAAACAGGAAAAATGGGCAAAAAAAAGAGAAAAAGTAGCACTGCTGTACTTTATATACACACGTCACTTTGTGATCTCAATGCTTCTTTTAATTTTGGTTGATCTGTTTTTTTTAAGCATGTTAACTTGGACAGCAACATTAAATTTTGTACCATATTTGCATACAAACCTTAAGTCTTTGTCTGTTTCATTTTAAGTCTTTTTTTAAAAAGTCCTATCTGGGAACAAGGCGCAGTGAGATGTACAAGATGAGGTCCAGATACCCTTAGATAATGAAACTTGTGTTGTTTTAATCTGAAAACACTATTCCGACTTCCTGCTGAGATCATGCTCCAAAATGAATCTTTTTAAAAGAAACAAAAGAAACGTCCTCCCTTGTCACACAAAAATGAACATTTTGTGCCCCAGCTGCAGGTCCACACAAGGTTACACTGTGTGTGTGTCCTTGAAGCTTACCCTTGAAGAGAGTGTGGTACTGTGTGGATCCTCCCCTCTGCAGTGGTTGCTGCATGCTGGGCACCTGAAGTGCTCTGAACTAGGTTACACACACACACACTTATGCTCACCAAGTACATTTGTTATCTTTGGAACAGTCCCATGGGTTTGCAGACTGGATAGTGTGAACGGCTACTTGGTTCCAGTGCTGCTCTTCACTCAGGTACACAGGTATGTAAGAGGCTGTAAAACAGCCTGTTAAAGGAACAAGCTCAACTGTCTCTTCATCATTGATTGACACTTACCCCTTGTGCATCTTTACGAAGACTATTCTCGTCACATGATATCCTTATCCCGACCTTATGTTTCAGGAAAAACACGATTCCTGTGTGGGTAATTCAAGTGGTGCGAGTTATGAGTGAAAAAGTCTACAGTCTAGTACATGCAGTTACTCTTCCCAGTTCCCTCAGCGTACAGAGTCCTGACAGAGTAAAGATCGATTATTGAGATCAAAAATGGAAAAATTTTTATGTCCGTTAAAACTATTTCATATGGTTATTATGGTATTCTGATCATGTTTATTTGCAACAGGTAAATTTCACGACTGAGAAAAAAACGGAAACTCCACAGAGGTTAGTCTCTTGAAGGCACTGACAGAAAGAGGTGAACCATTCTGTGGGAGACTGCATGAGCAGAGAGCTGAACTCTTTCTACATAATGCATTGACCTGCAAAGAATATGAGATTTCATTACCAAATGACAGTAATATTGTTCAATCCGGAGAAATCTCTGTACAAAATAGACAGACTAAAAGACTATTGCAAGGTGGTTGTGATCTTCTGGCCCTCATTTTACCAAACCTCCCCCTGGATGGGGTGCTGCTGGCCCAAGTGTGCCCCAAAAATGGAGCCTAGGTTTGATTCTAGCCTGCAGCTCCTCTTAAGCATGTCACTCCTCACTCTTTTCCCATTTCCTGTTCAATACAACATCCAATCCTCTTCAATGGAGGAAAAAAAAAGCCCCAAGCTTCACTCCTGACAATAGTTATAAGAGAGAGAGCAAATATGATCAAATAAAGAGGGAGCATTTAGTGCTAGAAAATTAAAATCCCATCAGTTTAAACAAGATTTAAAAGGGTTTCTCAAATAAAATGCAGACACATAATCTAAAAGACAGAGTTCTGAAATAGCTGGGAGGTATTTGTGTGCACATCCTGTTATGTATTAAGGTGTGAGGGTATGTATAGCAGAAGTGCAGGTCAACAGAATGAATGATGTTGTTAAAAGTTTATGGGATGAAGTTCACAAGATTCAGACAGGTCCCAGAGCTTGGAAAGCACTCCCTGTTCTACCTTTCCTGTTTGATCAATTTCCTTAAATGAGGAACTGAGTTCCTGTCCTATCAATGAACTAAAAGACGAGTCTCTGCAAGCCTGGATGATTGCGGTTTGAGCTCCAGTCGATTGAAATAAAGCTCAAACAATCATTTGGTTCAAGTACAGCCTGACAGATGAGCCCGGCACACCCTGAAGTCCAACCGTCTCACACCTCACTGCTCTTTTGTTTGAGCTGGTTGCTGTTTCACCTGCCTCTCTGGGCCCCATTTCCAGTCTTGAGGGCATTTTTTTTTCTGGCACAGTTGAGCATTTTCTGTAGAATATCAACACCGGGTTCAAGTAAGCTCTGGGGAAGGAAAAATGACCACAAGAGACAGAAGAAACTGCAACTTATTGATTTTGCAATGTAGGCTTTACAAAACTTCGAGAGCACTCATAACCTTGCAATCTTCCCCTAAGACTGAGAATAAATCAGCGAACTTACCTCGTTATAGAAAAGTGTGTGAAGCAAAAAACACTCTAGATCTAAATCTTATGTAGCTGCTTTGTTGCTGATGCTTCGCATTACAACAGGAAGTGAAAGCAGAAATCAGATATCAGGTTCTGGACCAAACATGTTTCCTGTTGAATTCTGACCACAAAATTCATCTGTAATGTATTTTAAGACTAGAAAGTCAATCAACAACTTCATGATTTGTGGAGGATTCATGACTTAATAAATAAATCACATGGTTTGGGTTGCTGCTGTTTCAAATTAGGGCGACACAGTCATCTCACACAACATGCAAAGTCTTTGGTCCACAGTGTGTTAGTAGGGATGCAAATGGCATCACTTTCAGTTGCTGGAGTCTGGGTAGAGATTGTGCGCTGATATGTTATTGTTTATCAGGAGCTTAAATCATCCCACGATGACAGATAGTACACTAATGTTATCAATAAGCACTTAATGGCTGCATGCTGCTACATTTTTGGGTTTCTTGTAAGCAATGAAGTAAGAGGATCTTTTTTTCCGGTGAGGTGCTCTGACGGTTAACTTGCCAGACCTGATTTTCTACTCTCAAGTTCATGCAACGCCCATGTGGACTTAGCTCCGAAATGCATGTGTGAACACTTTCATAAGCACATGTTCATACAGGGCTGCCTTCCTTTACCCCATATGCTTTTTATTCTCTCACATCTGTAGGGCTGCCTTTATTTCCTGCTATTAAAATAAACCTTTTAGGCCTTAACAGCTGCACCCTGTTGCTGTCCCATATACTAAATATAATGTGTGTGTAAGAGGAGACCCATTCATGGTTGTGTCACAGAGGTCTGTGTATTCCCAGGGATGTAAGGCTTCACTGGTGGTCACACAGAAGTGTGTGTGATCAGGGTGGGACTGTGGAGAATTGATGATTTGGCTGGGTGGAGTGTAGGCACTTTCTGATTTATACATCTTCTTCAAGCACATTTAGGCTAAAAGCAATCTCATAAATCTTTTTGATCATACACACTTCTTCAACGTGGCAATAAGGAGGGTGTGGTGACATTTACAGACCTGTATTAGTATAAGATTTAATGTCTTAATCTTAATCAAACTCCACACAGCTTGCAGGATTATCCTGAGAAATCCAGTAATAGTTGGCTTGCAAAATTAAAAAGCAATTGGTTCAAAAGGTGAAGTGACTAACAGAGCAGAACAGGGTTGTGTAACTTTTTACTTCACTTTATCAGATAGCTGTATTGTTTGGCATAAACTGTCGCTCTTATATGCTTCCTATGGCAAGAGAGTGTGTTCATTTTTTACACAAAGGGTATGACTGCATTACCCCAAGAAACTCTAACGCCGGTGTCTTATCTTTCAAACAAGAAACAGTTATACCAGTTATACTTGCCACTCTGGTATTTCTTGCTCATTAAACGAACATCAAGGTTAAACTGTTGCAAATATGAACTCAGAAAAATGTTTTTTACGACTGCAACATACCTTAACATTTTGATTTCTTTTCTTTCTTCTTTTTTTTTTTTTTTTTTTAGATTGAGCAACGTATGAAGCGCTTCTGTGTTCCTGGAAAGTGGGAGGATAAACTTTCGCAACGATGATCCCCTCAATGTCACTGTGGTAAATCTCTTTACTCTGCACTTTAGGGGAGAGAAAAAAAAACAGCCAGACACATTGAGCAATGTTTCCACCATGTTAACTGGTTGTGTCCCGACTGGCCTAGTTTGTAAGGCATGTGTACATTGCGTGTTTACACAGCAGGACAGAGGAGGAAATGGACCATAAACACACAGCACTGGTTTGTGATTCTAAGAGCATTGCTGAACTGGCTGTTTATCACTGACCTACATGTGAGTGAATATAGGACAAAATAATAGCAATATTGGTGGGAGGGAAGAAAGGCTTATCTTTGGATGACCTTTGACCTCCTGTGTGAGAATGAGGCAACACTGATGTGAAAAATCTCCCGTGAAGAGATTTCATACAGCTATACACTCAAGAGGAATTGACATCTGTAAGGAGGAGAAGTAGACTCATTGTCATCTTTTCCTTACTCAACACTCAACCCACACCCTTCCCTTTATTCTATTTTTTAAGGGACAGACGGTCAGGGGAAATCTAGTCAACATAAGCGGGAAGAGATGCAGACACACACATCTTCCTGAGAGCACACACATACTTATACAAATGGTCTCTCCCTGGTTTCAGCCCTTCATCTCTCTGCCTACTGACCCACATTCCTGCCTGGTTGTGTCACTGGGAATCAGCCAGGGCTGTGGCCACTACTGTCTATCTGATCCTAATGAAGCTGCCGCAGAAAAACCACACACATTCACTGGCATGCAAAAGCTGACATTCTTTTACTTGCAGTTTCTCTTTTTCTTCCTTTTTTTTAATTTCCCTCTCTCCTTTTAAACCTCTTCATCCTTGAAAACCACGCATCAGAAACAGTCTGCTGATTCCTGCCCTCCCCTCAGGTACTTATCTCTACCATTTGCTGATCTAGGTCAGTCCTCTGAGCTCTCTCTCTCTCTCTCTCTCTCTCTCTCTCTCTCTCAGGCCAGTGTTACATAACAGTGATGAATCAGCCTGAACAGCCTGTAGATGTTCCTCTCTCTTGATACATCTGGGAACAGCTGACTGGTGTCATGCAAGTGTTTTGCTTTCAACTTCTGCCAGTCAGACAAATTGGTCCGCTCTTAAACCAGATAAACACCTGAGGTGTTAGGATTTCCTGTGCCTCACCTGTTGTGCAGCACAACAGCAGTGTTTTGTTTTCGCCCTTTCTTTGGAATCTTCTTTCCCCTCTTCATCCTTGTTGTTTTGCTTCATCTGAGATAAATTCGGGAGGGTTAGCGTAGGGCCAGGCGGTCGTGTCGTGTCAGCGGAGCAGGCCTTTCAACTCGCCTGTCTAATCTGAAGCTAATCCTAATCCCGTTAGTATAAACACTGCTGCCATCTGGACCAAAACACACCACGACTTTGATTATAATAAACCCATCAAAAGGTCCTCGGAGCATCACGCCGCAAATGCTGTCAGCGGCTCGCACTAAACTCTCTGACCTGGGCTTATGACACAATCAGCCAGCGGACAGACAGTCAAGCAGCTGATGGGTAAACAAACAAATGCACAGTCAGCAGTGTAAATAAACTGATGTCATAAATTATATAATTAGTGTGCAATAGTAGGGGGAAAACACCTTTGAAAACCATGCATTAGCCTCTGTAGATACACACATGGAGACTTTGTCTCTGTAGGGTCTGCGGTCACTAGAGCATTAGCTGTGATGATGTAACCTTGGTGCTCGTAAATGGATAAGCAAAGAGAGGGGGAGGGGGGTGACAACTGCGGTACTACACTCACCCTGGCAACCTCCTCACCACCACCACCACTCCCAACTCACACATATGCACTGATTACATAAAACACTATGAGATGGCTTGAGAGTAAGTTTGTTTACATACCCTTTGAATCATCGGTGCTGATCTTTTACTGTTTTTTATCATTATGTGTGTATGATGTGACATCTGGTTATTGATGCCTGTGTACCAATTAATCATTCACTTTCTGCCTATCTGCCCACATGTAAATTAGCTGTTATGACTCTTTTGACTCCAGCTGTTGCTTTTCATTCACAAACTGACTGAATTCATAATCTTTCACTAAACTTTTCTTTATTTTTTTATTTTAATGTTTGTGTTTTAAGTGTGGTAGGAAAGGGTACACAGGCAACAGAGATGACTGTAGCCCTGACAACAAAAAGCAGATTCAAGAACCGAGGGGAGCTTCACAAGTAGTGGGACTGAGGCTGGAGTCAGAGCATCAAGAGCTGCTACACAGAGATGTGTCCAAGAAATGTGCTGCAAGTGTCATGTTTCAACAGTCAAGCCCCACCTGAACCAGGAACAACGTCATAGGCATCTCACCTGGGCGAAGAAGAAAAAGATCACGACTGTTGCCAGGTAGTCTAAACTTCTCTTTTAAGATAAAAGGAAATTTAGCATCTTGTTTTGGAATCAAGGTCCTAGAGTCTAGAGGAGGATTGGAAAGGCAGAGAACACAGGGTTTCTTTAAGTACAGTGTGAAGTTTCAACAGTCTGTGATGATTTTGGATGTCTTGTCATCTGCTGTTGGTGGTCTACTGTGTTTTAAAGTCCAGAACCAATGCTGCCTAAAGTCTACCAGGCATCCTGACTGGAACTATCAGTGGCACATGAGCATGCATGCAGATGAACACACCTGCAAGTCCTTGCTTTAAGGGATAAAATTAAGTTAGGGTCAAACACACCATAACACAGAGTTAGACACCCCATCAAGAGATGAATGTTGCCGACTTCTTGCTTCTGTAGTTATACAAACTTTAGTAATGACCGCACAATAGCAATACACAGGAGCCACGCGCTCAACCAAAAAGCCACTCTATAGCCACGAATGATGCTCAGAGCAGCACCTAACTTCATCAACAGGACATATAGGGTCCTAGCCATAGCACTAGCCACCAAACATCTTTTTAACTTTGCCAAACTTCCAGGGGCCACTTGTTTGTATGGAGACCTCAGGTGGGTCCATTGACTGCAGCAGGGTGATGCAGCGCAAGGAAGAACATTATGATCATTACTTTATCATTTTCTCGAAGTTACAATCATTATATTAATCATTTTGCACCGCAAACATGGTAGTTCTTCTGCCTTAGTGTCTCCGTCTGATTGCATTTCCATGAAGAAATGATCATAAATGTTCTTCCTTGAGCTGCGTCACCCTGCTGCAGTCGATGGACTCACCCGAGGTCTCTGTACAAACAAGCGGCTGCTGGAGGAGAGTGGGTGAATTGTGTTTAGTCTCTTTGCTAAAGAAATGAGACAAAGCTAAAAAGATGTTTGGTGGCTAGTACTATGGCTGGGACCCTATATGTACTGTTGATGAAGTTAGGTGCTGTTCTGAGTATTATTTGTGGCTACAGAGCGGCTTTTTGTTTGAGCGCATGGCTTCTGAGACAGCTGTGTATTGCTATCATGCAGTCATCACTAAGGTTGCTATAACTAGTAATATTCATCTCTTGACAGGGTGTCTTACTAAGTGCTAAGGTATGTTTGACCCTAACATAAATTTACGCCAGAATATCCCTTTAAGACTTAACAAATTATTGGTGCCTTCAATTAAAAAACTATCAAAACTGATGGAGCAGACTTTATCAGTGAATACATTTCTGTGTCTCTTTCCTCTCCTCTCTCTCTAGTCTAGATGCTGAAGTCCAAATTATCAGTACTTGAGTTTAAGTCACAAGTCCTGATATGATAAATTTATGTGCAACTCAAGCTTCAGTACCAGACTACACTGACCACAGATTGGTTTAAGGGAAGCTTGAGTAAGCAGTATCTTTGATGGTGCTTCTTCAGCCAAGCAATCCAGTGTGGTCCATTATAGTCTCAACATTTTGATGTTGAAGGTAGACCCTGATCTCGCTTTTGCTACCCTGAGGCTTCTGGAAGTGTGTTGGCAGTATGAGACCACCAGCACTAATTTTCATTTTGACATATAAATGTTGAAATATTAAATACATTCATGATTCTTAATTTCTTTTTTAGATTCAAGAAGTGGCTAAATTTGCGACTTTACAGAGAAGGATCGGTTTTAGCACCCAGAGAGCATATTCTATAATTATAAACTGAGATCTTTTTGAGGTGCCATCAAAAGTGTATTAGTTTGTGCTTAATATTTTTGACTTCAGGAAATATGTTTGAACTCATGGCTGCTAATGTGATTTCATTTCATCCACAGAGTAACAGTTTAAATCAGAGCCTCAGCGGCTCTCTCGGGCAGCCAGCAGATGTTCCATTGTTTGGCTCTGTGGTGTAAGGTTGCTTCAGTTGAAGTTGGGACACTTGCTGCATCTTTTGAATTTAGCCCATTGAGTGCCGTCAGTCCCCCAAGCTACTCAGAGAGGCTTTACCCCCAACCCCCGTCCCCTTTAACCCCCTGCAGACCTCACCATCTAACCCCCCATGTAGATCTCTCTACCCTGTTCTTTGTCTTCGCCACAGTCTGGCCCTCAGTAATCAGCATCCCCCTAAAACACACTCACACACACACACACACACACACACACACACACACACACACACACACACACACACACACACACACACACACACACACACACACTCGATCGAACCCTGCAAACCAGTTTAATGACCTATTACCTCAGTGTAAGAATGTATTGAGGGTATATTTGCATGTATATACATAACAATTCTGAAGTACACCTCCACAGCTGCAAACACTCACGCTGTATGTGTTATCAGATTGTTTCTTATCAGATCCTAAATGTATAGCAGCCTCTGTTCCTTGTGCATGGCTACAATTCCTTCTTTTCAGTCTGTGTCTGAATGTGGCTGCTGTTGTGGTGAGGCCTTGCTGACCACTCTGGAGCTTATGTAATAATCAGTGCCCTGCTTTCCTCTTCCCCTCTACTGGCCTGTGTGTTTGTGAAACAACGAGGGGGGGGCAAAGTGTTATAAGACCTGTAGGAAATACACACCAGCCGCACACACTTCCTGTTTTTGTGTTGAACATAGTGAAGGCAGGAAGTCAGAGGTATAGCTGCTCTACTCTCTTTTCAGTGCCTGGTGGGGGACTGTTACCAGATGAAATGATGCTGGAGCTTAGTCCGCTGCGATACACACACAAACACACACTTACTGATATCATATTAGTGGGTGGGCTGGTTCTCTGAAATCTAATAAAAACAAACTCAGTGACTGAAAGAGGGGGAGGCTGCTGATGATCAGTGACGCCCTGGTAGCAGATTATCTTCATAGAAAGCATGTAGTCCTTCACCCTATCAGAGAAAAAAGTCCCCAGCTCTTTTTTTCAGCAGGAACAGGAAGAAGGCCTCAGTTTGTGTGTGCGTGTGTGTCAGTGTACATGTGGTTGTGGTTCTTTAGAAAGGAAAATAAGAAAGTGTTTTACTTCAGAGGATTCCCACTCAGAACAAAGAATCTGGTGGTGGCAAACATGCCAGAGTGGTTGCTTTGAAGGACTGATTAAGGTTATAATAGTCATCAGCCTTGCCTGGAACCCTCAGGCTGTGTGTCGGGGGGTGGGGCCGGATAAGAGGTAGGGATGGGGGGTGGGGGTTCAGGCTGTTACCCTCTTTGTTCTTGCCCGCTCCACTCATGCCTGCTTTTGTTCCCACCCACAGTCTACCACTGAGCGAGCTTTATCTCTCTATCTGTCTCGCGCCAAAACAGAAAAGGGGCGTGTTTCTGCTACTTCTTCCTCCTTGTTTTCTGTCTCTCTGTCCTTTCTCTTGGGGACATTTTCTATAAGACATGTTTCCTAGGTAACCAAGGGACTGCAGGTACAGAGTAGGTGTAAAAGCCCTGCCAGTGCAGTCCCTGGATCCATCTCTCACTCTGTTTGTGCTGGTCTTCCTCTCCAGCATTTCCCGCCACTCCATGGTGCACAAGGCGGGGAGTGAAGGGGAGGGGAGTGGTGTCACAGCCGGTATGAAGAAAGGCTGGCTCCTCTGAGCCTCGCGCCAAATGCCGGCGTTATTCAAATCAGCTCAGTGGGTGCGGCCCAACTGTCTTCATGTCCTGTTAACCCCCTCAGAGCTGCAGAACAGAGACACAAAGGCAGAGGGGAGTGTATGCAAAGGGCTCTGTGACATGAAGGATAAATGGTCTATAAATAAAGCAGAATAGATAGACTTTACCTCCTTATATGAGAAAGATTTAAACAATGTAGGTAATTAAAGATTTTGGTGTTTCAGTAGCTCTATCATACATTTAATGTGGCATTTTGACATGAAGTGGGTTTTTATCAAACAGTTTCTCACAGTTAATGTTTGAACACATCTTACTATTTAGTTGAACTCTTTTTTTCTTCATAAGCATAGATTCTACATGATAATAACATTGTTTTTTATGCCAACAGGCACTTTAAATCCTAAAAGGAGAACAACTGTAGCCACAAAAGTACACCAAAGTTTAAAAGTCCCGTTTCCAGTTTCACTTCCTCTCTTACTCTCAGTGATTCTTTATTCTGCTCTTTGTCTACGACACCAGAGAAATGAATGAAGCTCTGAAGTATGCAAGACTCCACACTAGATGGCAAAGAGGCTTATATATCCTTTGCCACACTCTGGTGGTGATGAGCAGTAAATACAAGGACTTAGTGCTGTTGATTAAAAACTCTTAACCTAAAACGATGAAACAGATCAGAGGAAAATGTTTAGGTTTGCTATATTTTAGGTACAGTGTGTAGAATTGTAAATATTTAGGTGATCATACATCAATGTAAACACACTTATTGTTATTGTTTTCCGTTTCCACCAAGTCTATTCTGCCTGAATGCTGCTAAAATACTGCACAGTGCACCTTCAAACCTCACAAGTCACAGATTTATTTTGTGCTCATTCTTTCATAAATACATAGTCATCTGGATGCACTGATGGGGTCCATTCAAACATGGATTCAAATACTGTGAAGTGAATGAAGATTGTGTGCATCTGCTCCTCCTCAGGTTTCAGACAAATACTTCTTAAGCTGTTCTCAGGTAATCAATAAAAGCTCTCTGCCTCTGCATGGTCTCTGGAGACCCTGCAGGAGAGTGTGTCGAGAAAGCCAGATACATTATCTTCTCAGTTAAAAATGTCAATTTCACATATGCTGCCTGTAGTAGTAGCTCAATAAGCATAATGGAAATGTCTTGATTAGTGTTGTAATACAATATTGACGTTAATGCCTGTACAAGACGTTGCATCGTTGTAACTCTTTACAGATAAGAAGAGCTAGATGGCACAAACTTTTGAGATTTTGCTAGTCGTAGTGTTAGCAATCATGCTTTCTCTGCACAGCTTTAGATATCAACCGTCAGTACAGGCTACCTTTGTAAAGATGATGACCCAAAAGGACGCGGTTGTCATCCTGCTGTTTCTTCAGTGTGGCATGGATGTCTGCTCTGTATCTTCTTGCTGGAAAACATCAGTAGTAACTAAACCGCCTGTCTGTTAAGATAAAAGCAAAGCTAATTTTATTTCGCACACTTTTATGCTCTTCAAAGCTGAACCAGGACTTTCATCTATCCTCCCTGCATCACCAGCCTGTTCCTCATTGATGCCGTATTTGGAGGGCTAAATTATGCAGTCTGAAGTCCCCACAGCCAATCAGATCGTGGAGGAGGGAGTTCCTGCCTGTCTGACTCCCTTGTCGTTGCCTGGCAACTGAGACTGCTGCTCCGTAATTCAATCCATAGAATGATCCTGCAGGGGTTTACATGGAGAAAAAAAAGATATTGATAGGCCTACAGGTGCACAAGGGGAACGGATAACCAGAATGGACCTCATTTCCCACGCTGCTGAGCAGGAAAATTAGGTGAGGCACACTAGTGAGAAATTGGATCAATTCAATTAGTAGGCCTAGCATCTATCAAAGCAATAACAACAAATTATGACCTTTCCTTTAACTGATCCCTCAAAAAAAAAGAAAAAAAACCCAAAGATTTCTTCATGCACAGATTTCTTCAGTGCTCTCTTTGAGGAGAGGTGAAGCATGCCAGCATTCCTGGCATCACGACACCCCTATGTTTGACACGTCAGTCTGTTTTGTCAAATATGGTGCATCAGCCACTTGTCACATCCATTAAATCACACGCTTTGCTGCTGCTGCCGCAGGGAAGGGGTTAAAAGGGGGAGGACGCAAAATGGCTCAAAGTCAGCAGCAGTGTGTGTGAGAGAGAGAGAGGAACACAGAGAAAAGGACAAGAAGATGAAAGAGGAAGGGGGACTACAACATGCACGATGCTGGAGATAAGATGTTGTATTAATTAAGTCTGTATCTTTCTTATTGTGCGTCATCCCACTCCTTCTCTGCTGTCTTTTGATGCATTCAGCTGAGTGCCTGAGTGCTGCTGCAGTCAACCTGATCTCATCTTCTGAGTGCACCACTGAATCCAAATCGTGAATGTGCCAGAGTGAGTAAGGACTTTTTTCTGGGAACTCCTGCCATAGAGTGAGACACGAGGAAAGAGAGCCACCAGAGAGGACACACTGGGGCTCAGTGTGGACCCGAGAGAGACAGGCGTGGTGAGGCAAAGAGGAACGATGAGTATAAACAACGGTCAAACTCTGACTGTGAGTGGACAGGATATCCGAGCCCCCTGGGAGGATGCTCGGGTGGTTTTGAAGCCCTCCACTCCCACCAAGAAACCCAAACCAGTGAGTATCAACTCAGTCTTCTTTATGCAGTATCCACCCATAGGTACAGCTTCCATGAAGTCATGCCTATATCAACTATTTTTATCCTCAGAGCAAAATAGTTATAAAATTGAATTTGAATATCTTGCCATCACTTTGGAGCTGTGTTATTTTACAGATACCTGTTAATGTTATGTGACAAATGACAGATGAGGGAAAGGCAGACACGCTGATCTCTCAACTTTTATCAGAGTCTACAGTCAGGTTAAACAGCAGATGGGTTTATACCAGACGTATTCACAGGAGCAGCGATGAAAACCTCACTGAGATAAAAGTTACAAAGACATGGTCAGCTGAAACAGGATACGGAGGCTCAGTTGAGGTTTTGGAAACTGTACAAAGCACGCAGGGCTCTTGTTGCAGATCAGGTGCATACTGCTCTGTAGTTCAGCTCAGGTTGATTTCTTTTTGTGATAGAGGGTGCACCAAAGTTTTCAGCTTTGCAGCTTGCAGGATGCAGTGAGTGGGGTCATAAAGAGATTTGGGGAGAAAGATGCATCTGTTTGTTTGATACTTTCCAAAGAAGGGGTATTTTTTAGGACCTTGTGTACATCAGAATTTTTTTTCCTAGTCTTTATATGCTATATGTCAGTTTCTTCAATGTTATTTTAAAATTAGCCTCCCCGCAATAGTTATCAATCGTTACAAAATGCTGAGACGAATATCTAAACACAAAATAGAGAGCTATATATTGACCATGTACACTATTCTGTTGTTTTCTCAGCGTCCAAAGAGTTAACAGGTGGCACTCAGTCTGGTATGTGTGTCTGCACTATCACAGTCCAGCAGAGGAAAGTATTCCCTATCAAACTGTCACTTCTATTCAGTCTCCCCAGCTCAGTTGTGTGTCAGGCAAAGGCAATAAAGCCTTCATTAAGTAATTCATTTCCGAAATGTCCGAGGCAGCAAATCAGCAGACTCTCCTCCAGCACTTTGATATTACTTGTCATGAAAAATCAGCTCTCCTGATCCCAGTAAGGCAACAAGCAGACATCTAAATATAACATTTCATTTGCTCTATCCTCTAGCCAAAGCCTGAGAATGCCATAACCATCGCCGTGTCGGCACGAGTTCTCTTCAACATGGAGAAAGAGCAACAGATCTATGAGCAACAAGGCATGGAGGAGTACGTCAAGTATCAGGTGGAGCACGAAACGCAGCCCTTCAGCCCAGGACCTGCTTTCTCTTTTGTCAAGGTCTGAGTCCACGAATAGTAAGAGGTGGAGAAACAAGCGCACACACACGCAATATATCAACCCCTCTGCAGAGCTAAACCACAGTATCAGTGTTTTACATTGGGTCGTGTCTCTGGAGGCGGTGACTGAGAAAAAGGATTAAACACCAACGCACTCACTCACTCACACACACACACACACACACACACACACACACACACACACACACACACACTCTTCCATCCCTACTGCAGTGATATTGTTATTTCTCGGGACTTCAGTCTGTGTTTGTCATGTTGCCAGGCTCTGGAGGCTGTGAACACTCAACTGAGAGAGCTTTACCCTGAGAGCGAGGAGCTTTTTGATGTTGTGCTCATGACCAACAACCACGCATATGTTGGCCTAAGACTCATCAATACCATCAATCATCACCGTGAGTAACTGAAGCACATCACAGCTGCAGTGTCTTTGAGGCACACTTGATGAATAACCTTTTCTCTTGTATTGTCATCCCTCTGGTGGCTCAGGGGTAAAGGTTTCTTTCAAATGCTATTAGTGTTTTGATCTAAGCACCTGCATTAATAGTGAAGTGCCCTTTGGCAAGGCACCGAGTCCCAACTTGCCTTCAGCAAAGACACTGATGCATGTCTTCCTATGATGGATAGCTTGGCACTTGTATCAGCTTCATCCATCAGTGTCTGAATGTGTTTGGGAGTGAGTGACTTTGATGTGTGGTTTGAAGATCAAAAAAAATGTTGCAGATGTGCATTAAATTTCCCCCGTTTTCACCATGTTTACATTACAACATGGAACAGCAAGAAGGAGGCAAAACAGTCTTAAAATCCCTGGGATGTTTGCTATAGGTCACTGGTGACATCTTTTTCTCTGTACACTGACAATGTTATTTTTTTCTTTATCTGTCCAGCTGCAAATCTCTAAATTCTCATAAGTGCCTTGCCTTTACTTTTCACATATGCACACGGAAAACAGGGTAGGAGTGCCCTTTTTCGCCTAAGATTTTAGCACTCTATGCTTGTACGTGGAAAGCCAAAGAACCATACCGCCACATATAATCTATTGCAAAGGAGAGGGAGATTGCACAAGAGGAAAAATTTCCCATAATTTGATCTAATATCTAAAATAGCTTACCTACAGCCAACTTGATTCATGGGCTCACTAAAAGATCAAGCTGAGACCTATAAAAGTTTCTACTTTTACCAAATAAGTGTCCTGTACATAACTTAAAAATAAAAGCATTGCGAGGAATCAGTCTTTTGTTCTGATAAGCATTTAAGGAGCGCTTCTACCCTAGTTTTTCAACAAATTCAGCACTGATCGTTCTTCTCTCAATTTTGTAAATATATGTGTAGGGTGACCAGATTTCAACTGATATACTTAAATGACTCTCAGATTGAGATACTCAAATAATAGCCACTCAAAATTTACCCGAAGATGCCTTATAATTTCAGTATATTTAAAGTATGCCTCCTCTGTGTGAATAAAAAATCATTATATAACCAACTAAAAGACACAAATTCAGATAGGCTTCTCAGAGGTTACTTAACATATTTATGACAAGTTTAAAAAATAACAAATAAATAATGATAGAAATAAGATATTTCATAAATGAATAAATAAATGATAAATAACCCAAAAATACCTCTGCTTTATCAGCAATCCAACTTACACAAAAATAGCTCTCACAAACTTGTGGAAAAAAAAAAAAAACTTACAAAAAATATGTATCACTTTAGTTTTCTTTTTCATCCTAGTGGCCCAATGAAAACCAGGACATTTTCATCAATTTATGAAAAAGAAAACAGGACCACCAGGACAGGATATGAAAACATGTCCCGGGAAAACAGGACGCTTGGTCACCGTATACTCATGTAGCCTGTGAAAAAATAGGCCTGAACAGCCCAGTCTTTTAACATCTTTCCGTAATAAGATCAAGAACCGTCACAGAGCCAACATGCTTCCTGTGTGAGGCACCCAAGGGTACCACTGGCTGAAGAAAAGCAAGCCAGATCAGGGTTTACCGTACCAGACTGTACCAACAGTCCTGAACCATACCAGACAGCTTGGTGGGAACAGACTATTTTTGCTACTTTTGCACTGATTGTTGACATTTTTCAAGCAAATTGACTAAAATCTCGGTTTTTTGTAGATGGGGTCACGATTCATACTTGATCAGGTTTTTTTTATCATATGAGCCCCTGAAAAAGTATGGGTCCTAGACCAGGTTCACTTCCTGACTCACACACTCACAGTAAGGGTGGTCTGGAATCAATGTGCCGACAGTGTGTCGATTCTCTTGCTGCTCTGCACAGCTGGTCCTGTCTATTCCCAAACTGTGTGACTTCATGACCCATGTCCGCAAGACCCAGTCCATGGTCAAACAGACATGTGAGCATGCACTGTACATAAAGTCCACTCAAACGTCCTAAAACCCTTGAGGATACAGACAGGAGAGCTAAAGGACAGTAAGCCCTGATGTATCTTGGCCCCTTTGCACCCATGAAGCACTTCAATTTATTTAGTGATGATATAAAGCAGCACTGCAGAATAGTGAATATGTCGAGTTGTTAAGGACTTTGTTTGCATGTTTAGGCTCAGTTAGAACCTTCACTGAGTTTTTAACATCGGAACTATGACCCATCTTTTTCATTTAGGCTCCTTTTGGGGGCCTTGAAACCTAGGAGAGACGGGAAATGTGGGACGAGACAGGAGGATGTCATCCACCAAATACTGCCAGGGGGAAATACACAGGGGCCCTACTCTATAAACTGAGTTACACTAGCACCCCTTATGTACAGGATTAATTCCTAATGAAGTCCAGAGTGTTCATAGATTCTCACTCCGTTTAAGGGGTCTCTCTCTCTTTGAGGTTAAGCTGGGACTTTCTCATGGTCCACAATGTGACCCCAGGGGAATGGTGGGAGTTGGGGATCTGCAGCCTTAACTCCTCACAGAGGGTTTGTCAGTCTTACACTGAGAGCCCACTGATGCAGTGAAGCCGAGTGGAAAAATCTGCACAGCCAGAGACAAGATGTCAGCCTCTCCTCTTTCATGTCACTTTGGGTTTTTCTTCCTCTTTTCTTGATCTGTCTCCCAAAGCTGCAAACGAACTAACAGTCAGTATTTGACTAATTTTGATTCTACGCTGCTCTTTCAATTTTTGATTTTTCTTCTCTGCAGAATTATTCATCGAGCGCTTCTGTATGACTGGAGGAAACAGTCCTATAGGATATTTAAAGGCCTACCACACCAACCTATACCTGTCTGCCGATCCCACCAAGGTTCGAGAAGCTCTGGAAGAAGGTACATGATGCCAAAAGAAGGTTATAATTACCCAAAGAGGTGAAATCTAAGTCAGATGAACTAATGTAAACCTTATTTCAACAATAAATTCAGGTATTGCGGCAGCCACCATGTTCACCCCGGAGAAGATCACTGAAGTGTCGGACACTCAGCTGCGTGTTGCCTTCGATGGAGACGCCGTCCTCTTCTCGGATGAGTCAGAGCGCATTTACAAAGCCCATGGGTTGGACAAGTTCTTTGAGCATGAGAAGGCGCACGAGAACAAGCCTCTGGACCACGTACAGACACACACACACACACACACACACACACACACACACACACACACACACACACACACATACAGACGCATCATCAACTATTTAAACATCAATATTTTTAGTTTTTATATTAACAAAGAGAACAACCACAGTTTGATAAGCTGCAGGTTTTACTCATGCTCTTTAACAATCATATCTTTTAAATATGATCACCTTCATCTACGACAGACAAAACCCAGTTGTATTAACCCTCCTCCTGTGTTAGGGTCTGCAACGTCCCGTTTTTGTTTTTAATGCTTAAAAGAAACACTTAAATTAGCGTTTTGCATCAAGACTTTTTGACTTGGTCAGGAAACTCTATTTCAACAAAATAAAAATTAAATTGACTAAATTATAAAATGCTTTTATTAAAATTATGGCACTTGTCGTGTTGTTAGGGTTGCTGTTGACCCATTTAGATTAATATCTAATAATTACAGCAAAAACTAAAATCGTAAGTGCACTGTCAGGCACCACACTGACGATCAGATCCTCTGCCAATCATGTGAGATTTAGAAAATTCTCATTTTGCCGTGTTTTTCCCTGCACAAAAAAACACGTCAGGCATGTCCAGACATGTAAGATCAATTCAGTATAGATGTCTGTATGAGGGTAATACTGACAAAGAAAAGCCCATAAAAAACTATTATCAGCAATATTTTCATGGATAATGAAGCCTTACAAGGTAACCTAGAGATGAGAACCAATTTGGATGATAGAAATGAGAAATGTTTTTAGGGTAATTTACAGCTGATTTAAGACACGACCCTTAACATAGTGGGTGCATAGTAAAAGCTTACACAGGAGGAAGGTTAAGGCAGCAGGTTAATTCTGCTTATTGAAGGGCAGATTCAGACTTTTTTGACTGGATTGATACCAGGACACTGACTTATGCAACAACAGCATTTGGTCCCTGATAAATCATGGTTCAGAATTGGTCAGGTGGCCAGTTATGCTTTTTGTGGGACCCTGGACAGCTCCTGGATCTTCCTTTATGCATTTGAACAATCGGTTCGAAACTTTGGAGTCCTAAATAGAAAATAAGGCATGCAACTGTGTAGATCTGAACACAACACACACACTGCCAAAAAGCTTCCTATCAGAGACAGTGAGCTTTCTTCTTCTCTGTTCTGCAGGGTCCTCTGAAGGGATTCTTGGAGGCCTTGGGAAAACTGCAGAAGAAGTTTTATGGTAAAGGCCAGCGCATGGACTGCCCCATCCGGACCTACTTGGTGACAGCGCGCAGTGCGGCCAGTTCTGGTACCAGAGCCCTGAAAACTCTGCGCTCATGGGGGCTGGAGATTGATGAGGCCCTGTTTCTGGCAGGAGCGCCCAAGGGTCCCATGCTTGAGAAGATCAGGCCGCACATCTTCTTTGATGACCAGATGTTTCATGTAGAGGGTGCAGCAGAAATGGGGACAGTAGCTTGCCACGTGCCCTATGGGATAGCTCAAAGAATCCCCAAAATCGGAATTAAAGACAGAGGGACATCTTCAGCACCCAAATAGCCTGTATGTGCAGAGGTACAGAAGCCTAAATGGACATTTCAGTTTGGTCTTCTGCAGCTGGGGATGTGAGAAGTGTGTTTAAATCAATTTAAGTGTCTTGAAAATGGGTTGAAAAAGTAATAACACCCCGAGTGATGCAATATGATGATGTGATATTATAGCCATGAGACGTCACTTTAAGCTCATTTCAAATATTTCCATCATAAACACCAAATGGTGTTTGATTTCAGAGGGTTGTTTTAATCTACTGGCTGTGCTTTTACAGCTTCAAAAGATATTTCGAACTAAGAACCACAACTTCACTGTTCATCTGTATCCATGATTTTTTAATTATTCATCATTATCCCATAAAACCCTAATTCCAAAAAGGGTTAGGTTTGCAAATTATCTAAACCAGCAGTGCAAAGATAACCTATAGATTGGAAACGTGGCCGATTATAAAAGGGGCTCTCCAGAGAGGATACGGCCCTCAGTGAAGAGGTTCATCTCTCAGAACAATGTTTGGGTTGCCACGTTGAAAAGACTCTTCTTATAATACCATTTGGCCAAAATAATTGTGACAGGAGCTGCAGAGTTTACAAGAACTTGATTTCTACTTATCGGAGATTCACCGACATTAATGTCTGCATTAAAGAAAAATACCAATCAAGGGGACAGCTCAATAAGTCAAGTATGTTTTTTAAAACAGCCTAAATATTTTTAATATTACAGCTTACAAGGAAATTTAAATAACAAATAGAAACCACCTAGGCCTACTGTTTTTTTTATACTCTAAAATTTGTAGATGACACCCATTTAAAAGACCAAAACGCCCCACAAACCCTATTTAAAATCAAGAAGAATTTAGTGTACTGGGAAAAGGTACAAGTTCCCAGTCAGATGCCAAGTTGCTGAGGACACATCTTAAGAGTGTGTCTGACTGGTGACAGTCCTTTCCACTTCATTTGATAACTTTAAACACTTTAGAGTTTATCTGTGAGTATGTGAAACTGGTGCCTTTCTCTCACTAGTGTCAGATTTACAGCCGTCTTGCATGTTGTTGGTAAATATATGTTGTAGATGTACTATTCTTAAAGATGTGAATGTACTGTAAGATTTGCAAATAAGTAATATTTATTTAGAATGTGTTTTATTGCGCACACTACATATTTTCTTGAGCTGATTTTGCATTCATTGTGTGTAATTTTCATGTCTGCCTCTTGTCCCTAAAGTGCCCAAGGTTAGTTGTTTACCTCGTTGTTGCTGTTGGTCTTACTTCAAAACTAGGTGCGTTGGTATTTGTGCTTTGATTTACTGTCATCTTTGTGTGTGGGTATGAGGAACGCTTTAATTTCTCAAACACTCCCTTAAATGTGCAATCTGTGTCGTTCTGGACAAAATGAGCACTGTGGGCTATTATGCAGTTATATTTTTCTCTCTCCACATTGAAGTAAAGATATATCTAAAATCGCTCCCTTTTTTTTCTTTCTCCAAATATTGGGAATAGTTCAGGTAAGGTAGTACTTTAAGACGCTAAGACAAGTGGCCAAATGGAAATCTGAGTATTGGGCCAGGTGATTCTTGCACTATACAGCAGGGGGAGACAGATAACACATTTTATCATGTTTTCATTTCAAAGCTGAACTGTCATCACCCTTAGCACATGTATTAGCTGGCTCCCTCTCCCTGTTGCTTACTCTGCTCACTGCCCACAGAAACCCTAATATAATTCTTAAGAGATGAATACTTACATAGTACAGTATAGTATGGTATTGTCAGCATGGTTTAGGAGTGACTCCACAGCGAAGTTGCAATACAAAAACACAAGAACTTAACTTTTTGGAAAACTTAAGGGGTTCTTGGATGCTCTGTTTGTTTGATTATCTGCACAGAAAGCCTTAAGAATGATGATTTCATATCTTATCAAAAGGTGCAAGACAAACAAATGAAGATAAACAAAATTTGTTACTCTTAAAAAACCTTTAAATCCAAATAACAAATGTCTATGTTCCGCTTTACAATTATGAGAATAAATTTCGGTTCCTCAGAAAAATGTCATTCCCTCTAGACATACAAGTCGACGCGTAGCCTAGTTACTGTAATCCCGCCCACACCTCCAAACAGGTTTTATATAGCAATACTCTGGCTCAGTTTATCACTCTCCAAACAAAAGATCATCCTCTCCAAAGCTGGCATGGCAGGATTTTGTGAGTCAATGTTTTTTAAATTCATTAAATGTATATCATTTAAATAAAATAGGCTACTAATTGGCAAATCTCTTTCTGTGTTCATAACAGGTGATTACCTTCTTTTTAGTGCACTTGTTGATATCTGTAAGTACATTTTACAATTCTGTTCTTTCAAATCAATTAGCAGATCACAAATAATGAGTGGTCTTGTGTGTGTTTCATGGACAGGCAATGACATCTATGATGCACGCGAAGGGATTTGTAAGTGTGATTTTCTCTTCTGAAAAACTACTCTCTCCTGCCAGAAGGAGAAGCGCTCCTTCTGTCAGCTAACAGCTAAATGAAACTGTCTTAATTCTTTAAAGATTTTTATTGGAAGAATGCAGATGCTGTCATTCTGATCCATGGTAAAAACTCCACCAATGAAAGAATAAGTCTACTTGCTGAACTCAGCCAATTAACTGGATCACAAAGAGCAGTTTCAATCACTATTTAGGCTGTTTTAATCTCCATCTCCAAAAAACATCCACAACTATCAGACTTAGCTTGCGGTCTTTCAAAACAGAAAAATGAAATTAATTAAACTAAAAAAATAGATAACAGTAAATAAACACCTCGTTACGGGGTGCAAATTTGATCAAAACAGAAAAATTAAATAACAAAACCTATTGCTGTGAAATGTCATTAAAAGCTTGAACACCTCTGTCAAGTAAGGAATCCAAATATTGAAGTATCTTTATTCATCTGTAGCCCTAAAGCTTTCTCTGACTTCATTCCTTATAACTAGAGCAAAGGGATTTTACCTACCATTAAGTTTTTTGTAAATCCAGCATTTCCGTTGGTTTCAGAAATCAGTGGTCTGGTCAAAGAACTAAAGGCCTACGTGAGGTGTAAGCCCTCCTTATGGAAGAAGTAAAGAGTTCTCTTAAACTGCTGGCTGGTATCATTGAGCTTGTAGCATAACTGCTTAGGCTTTCTTTATAGTTCTCTAGTCATGTCATCTCCATATAGTCACTTTATAAGCATTTGCATAACGTGCTAATACCATGACCCTCCTGCTGGTGCCTTTAAATCAGCAGTTGAGGGCCAAATATTTGCCTGTATGGTCATTTCTGCTTTGGCTTTTCATGTTTGCATGCAACAGAGGGGAGGTGTTCCTCCCAACCAATAATACATAGCCCAGTACTCCAGTGTATTACATAGCAAATATTTTTAGAGAATTTCTGAGTGGAGAAAACTTCATTTTTCATCTTGTGTTTCATTATCAGGTAAAGGTGCTGTCATTGGCGCAGGTGAGTAAAATAAGATACATTTTCCAGACATTTGACTAAATTTCTCTCTTTTGACTTTTTTCACTAAAGTTAGGGATTTTTTTTTTTCATTTTTATCAGGAGGGGCTGTGACTCTGACCTTCACTCCTGCTTTACTGGCCCTTTTTGGTTTCACTTCAGCTGGAATAGCTGCAGGCTCTATCGCTGCCAAACTGATGTCATATTTTGCAGTTTGGAATGGAGGAGGACTGGCAGCAGGAAGTCTGGTTTCCTTTCTACAATCACTTGGTAAACCGATATTTTTATGATTTAATTAAACCACCTATATAGATATGCACAAAAGGTGCATTTAAACCCAGGCCTACATTCTAAATGATAACACCTCAAATGTGAAAAAAGAGTTGGGACAAGGGCGTGGTTACCATTGTGTCGAATCATGTCCTCTCTTAACAACACAGCAGGACCACTGATTTCTATTTGAGAACAGTTTCTGGAGTTATTAAAATTACAAGTTTTCCCAGTTTTACCTCATAAAGGATTTTAGCTGCCTAACAGTCAAGGTCATCTTCTTTTTTTTATTTTTAATGTCAGAAGGCGTCAAATACTTTCAATCAGTGACATGTCAGGAATGCAGGCAGGCCAGTTCAGCACCTGAATTCTTTTACTATGGAGCCATGTTGCTGCAAGATGTGCAGAATGCAGATTTGAACTGTCTGGCCAAAATATGGAAGGTCTTCCCTCAAAAAAGCATTGTCTTGATGGCAGCATGAGTGGCTCTAAAACCTGTACATTGTCCAACATTAGGATGCCCGCCCAGGTGTCATTTTAAATGGGTCCAGGCCAAGAAAATTGCTGGCATTTATGAATAATGTTAATACATAGTTTCTCTTTTACATTGTAAAGTCTCAGCCTCCATTTTTGAATGCAGGGATGAACTGTGTTCACAGACTATAGTTTAAAGAATTCAGTTTAGACTTATACAGTGATTTCTACTTCAGAGGGCCTGAAGATCACAGCCATCTTCTGCTGGTCTTTGACCTTGTCCCTTTTGTACTAAATTTCTCTGGATTATTATTATTATTATTTTAATAATGATGCACAAGTTGGTAGAATAATGTTTCTCAAGATAAATAAACAAAGACTTTAAGGATTTTGACATTGTTGAACTATTTGCGAACAGGGACTCTCAAAGAGTGGAAAACCTCTTCCTTACCTGCAACTATGAAAACGGAGGAGATTTTCTGGGGTATCAGAAAACTGGCCTAATGGAAAAATTACTTTTGATTCCTCTTAACTTCAAGACTCACGTTGAGGAAGTCTTAGAAATTGTACAAAAAAATCTGTCTCTTACAAAAATGACACACACCAGGTAGAGAAGTTTGCATTTGCCTATTGGTGTGCTTGCTAGGTTTTATGTTAAATACCCCACATAAGAATTAAGGATTGCCTATTTGAGAGTACAGCTGAAGCCTGGATTAAAATGAGGGATTTTACACAGTGTCCAAACCATAGACTGTATATAGAATGGACAGCGTCTGCCTCCTCACTGGGTGAAGCCACTCCAAGAATAGCACCCTCTGTCGACAGGCTGCAGTATAGGTCATAAATCCCGCCTCCGCCAGCAAAGCTTATGGAGCTGTGGAAATGTTGAATAAAAACAACTGATAAGTGGGACAGTGTAAAATGGAGTGGTAGACTTGAAATTCCTGAATGTAATGTCATCTCCTTTCAGGTGCTACTGGTGTGACAGGGACTGCCGCTGGAGTTGTTGGTACGTTTGGAGGATGGCTAGGATGGCTGTTGTCGTACATTTGTGAACCAACCCCAAACCCAGACCCAAAACCCAGACCCATGTGCTACTGCCATCTGTCTCTAGTCCCAACAGGTCGAAAAATATATCCGGAAAAGGTGTATTCAAAAACAAAACTGCTAATATTTTTCAAAAATGTTAGACATACTTATACCACAGTTAATTCAATAAAGTGATAAGGGTATGACAGAAGTACAAAAATAGTGAATTCTTCATTGGACATAGTTCATTAACAAATATAACAGTTACAGATTACAGTGGGACTGCATTGTTTGCTCCAAAATACAGAGACAAGGGTAAAGGATGACCTTTATATTCCCGAGCACATTTAAAAGTGTGGATTAGAAATCCAACTGAGAAAATGCTCTTGAATATAATGTCATCTCACTGCGACTGCTGCTGGTCTAATGGCTGCTGTTGGAGCAACAGTGGGATGCCACTGATATAAATATAATCTTAAGGCAATGCTTTCATTTAAATCTAAGGACAGCATGGACAAGAGCTGAATGTGCTCTTCACTGTGCTTTTCTATGCTTTTTAAAAATGTTCTGCTTATACTGTCCAATTTCTAAAACAAAATAAAGATTATCTCAAATAAAGCAACCTTTCTTTTGTTTTCTCACTTGTTTGTGTGCTGCTTTGGTGTGTTATGAACATAGACTGTATATACTATGGACAACTTGGTTCCGCCTACCGCCTGTATATGGATTTGAAGCCAAATAGTTCTCTGTTGCTGCGTCCGAATCGCCCGCTCGCATACTACATACTACTGCTAGATCCTACTCCTACATACGAAACACATTGGCCAAATTCGGACACACTAGACGAGCGGTGGGGAAAGACGACCCCCGCAGGCAGAGAGTAGGTACTGCGCCCGTGCAGACAGTTTTAGACTCCTTGAATGGTTATTGTGCAAGTGATGGATGCCACTGTATTATATTCCTGCGCTGCTTTAGAAATTCACAAAGTAGCTTTTCCATTACTTTTAGACTTCATTCACTCACGTGGTGATCGTTTGTTCAATGAGATCTGCCTGATTACGCCAGCTGTGCAGTTTAATGATGGAATAAGTGAGCTTTACCTCCATGATGTCGCCACATATTTGCTCATAAAATGATTACTTGGGCAAATATGACACCATGACATGACAAAGAGATACAACCGCACATTTTTTAGGACAGTGTGTGAAGTTAAATGCAACTTACATCTGTACTGCTGCGGTCCTGCCTGCTGCTCTGGTATGGTGCACGCTGCTGTGGCCAGCCGGCGTTCGCGACGCATCTAAATAGGCAGCAGCTGGTGGCGCTAGCATCACATGCGCTTCTACAACTTTTAAGAGGGCGAAGAGAGGGTCAGTAGCATGCCCGTAGGATGCACCGCGACCATCCTACAATGTGGGCGTGTCTAGTGTCTAAAGTAGTATCTGAAGTAGCATGCTACTCGCTCTGGTGGCCACTTCGGACATGCTACATACTACTTCGACTACTTCGACTACTACTTGGCAATTCGGACGCAGCATGTATTTTCTTCATTTCCTGAAACCAGCGCTGCGCAGTAGCAATGCTGTGATGCTTTGCTCAAACAGCGTATCCCCCGGGAGAGCTACGCAATCCCTGAACGCCCATAGGCTGTATCAGGTGTCAATCATAGCAAACATGAACCCCTAAAAACTTTTAAAAACGGAACTTCACAGAAAAAAGAGGACTTGAACACAAACCAGTCTTATAATAACTACATGTCAACATCACAAGCCACACTATTAAAAAGCAGTGTGAGGAGTTTTGAACTGGTTTTGAAATAATCCTACTCACATACTGATACCTTTTCATGACCTACAGATAGTGATTGTGATTAAGGCTGAGTAAGGCTCCTATTCCAAAGGGATCACCAGAAATAACTGTGTGCCTTAAATATTATTACCAAACAATTGTCAAATTGACTGTATATCAAGCTAAAATGTGGCTTATATTCATGCACCCACTGATGAGTACTCCCATTTTCTATAAAGTTTGATTCAGAATTTATAGCTTTACAAATTCACTCAGTTCATTTTTATGTGTAACACCACAGTTGGCATGAAAAGAGCTTCAACAGTGAGTGAATGATTTAAGTTTCATTCACTCATCACTCATGCGGACCTTTCATTGGACAACACATGACAAACAGACACTGAGCCACCAGTTATATGTCTTTATCAAAGGTTTATTGCACAAAACAATGTAGACGTTCTCATTGTACAAAAATCTTATCTACTGAGTTTAGTTTATCTTGCTGTGGTAATTTATGATGACCACTTTCCTTCAAATAAAAAAAATAAAAAAGTGACTTCAGCTTGTTCCTTCAGGATTTTTAGATAAGGATTGCAGCCAGCCCTACTAGTGTTCCTCCAGCGCTGGCCACTGCTGCTGTAGCAGCTCCTGATAAACCAGCAGCACCTGCAGCAAGACACACACAGGTAGGTTGAGTCAGTGAGCCGTCTACTGTGTGGAGCAAAGACTATGTATAAAAATAAAATGACTAAGTAATACTACTACTCTTTTACACAGAGGTTGTGTGATTATACAGTTATCTCATTTTAACTAATATCCCCAACAAACACAGTTCAGCAAATTTCTGTCATATCAAAAGAAATCTTCATACTGTCTTTGATTTAGAGAAAAAAGGCCTGTTGTGGTCATCCCATTATCCTGTAGCAGAAATTTAAACCATAAGAGCAAATATTTTAAACCACAGGTAAACAGTTCTTACCTGCTGCCTGACAACCAGCCACCAGACTTCCTGCTGCCACTCCTCCACCGTTAGCGATTGCAGCCGCCGACATCATTTTGGCAGCGATGGTCCCTGCAGCTATTCCAGCTGAGGTGAAACCTATGGCTCCCAGAACCACAGGAGCTGCAACCACAGCCCCTGCTACACTCAGAAATGAGCACACAGAGGAAAAACGTTACTCTGGTGATAGTCTGCTACTTGGGCCTCTCTACACTGACCCTGTATGAGTAACAACTGTGAAAGGGAATTTCCTTTGTAATAAAATAAAAATTAATGAAAGAGTAAACACGAGTGATCTTACCTCCTCCTCCTACAACTGCAGCAAAAGTTACTGAAAGATGAAAAAAAAAAAAACAAGATTAACATTTACCAAATGATAATCACAGTTTACAACCAAGATCTTTCAAAAAACAAACAAACTGTTACAGTTAAACTCAAAAACAGAGATACTTACACAGTCCCATGTTGTGCCTGTAAATGCTCAAAATAAAACGAGGCAGGGTTTTATACACTGTGAGGCGCTGAGGTCACATTTCAGGAGAAACGAAACTGAATTCAAAGCAAGAGGGTGTTGCAGGTTCATTATCAATTGAACTGCATAAACCCAAGTGTTTGACATTGATAAATATGTTAGTCGTGAGTCATGACTATCATTGAGCTTAGGAGAAAAAAAAACACTTTGACTTTATTATGTACCAGAAAATCCATAATAGTTCAATCTCAACCACAGGCAGTATTATCATGTACTTATTCACAAAAAAAGGAGATCAGCAACTTGCTTTTCTTGGAGCTATTCTTCTTCCAAGTTTCATGCTCCATTTTCCAAACCTGTTGGTTTTCTGAGGGAAAACGATTCAAATTACATGTAAATCAGCATTTACAGATACACACCCTGGTGTCTTCCTTCTTTCTGCTGCAGCTTTGATGGAGGAGGGGCTAATTAGACTGATGTTGGTGGGGAAACCCATAACAAGGGCCAACAATGCACTTTTTTAGAGCAAAGAAATAGTCAACAACATGATGATGAAACACAAGGTGCCTTTTAAAAGCTCAGAATAGAATAAGGCAGGGTTTTATACACTGTGAGGCGCTGAGATCACATTTCAGGAGAAATGAAACTGAATTCACAGCAAGAGGGTGTTGCAGGTTAGTTATTATTTCAACTCTATACACCCAAGTGTTTGACATTATTAGATATGTTCGTGTGAGTCATGACTATCATTAAGCTACAGAGACAATAAAAAACACTGACACCTTTCATAGTATATAGATCAGTTTAGATCTAGATAACTCTACAAACCTTGACAATAAGAGCAAACAGTTCTCAATACAACACCCACAGAAAATAGAAAAGACTTTTCCAGGTACAGCAATCAGTGCTTTTACGATGACAACTATCATTATAAATGGCAGGATATATGAGTGCTCTCTGCATATATCCTCTACTCAGCCTCGACTTTATTATGTACCAGTACAATTTTACATTTACAGATACACAGCCTGGTTGTTTCCTTCTTTCTGCTGCAGCTTTGATGGAGGAGGGGCTATTTAGACTGATGTTGATGGGCAATCCCATTACAAGAGCCAACAATGCACTTTTTTGGTGAGAACATGATGAAACACTTTGAAGCTGTCTCTTAACTCTCATTTATAACATAAGATCACAGTAGTGTAGCAGTGAATGGTGCATTTGAATAACAAATCTAAAAATCAAGATCATAAGGGATATTTTATTGTATTTATTTGATTACCTTATCAAGAAAACCTGATATCATAATAAGCTACGAAAACCAAATTCTGCAGTATGAAAACACAACATGCAGACGCATTGTTTTGTATTATTAATGACCACAGTCATTGACAATAAAGAGGTCACGGGTTCATGTTTAGTTCATTTAATGCTAGGATAAACTGGGAGGGGTTCTACAAACTGGACTGGCTTGTTTGGCCAGGAACCATTTCTCGAGAAAGGAAACTAGGTTGTCATCAGAACTCAAGAGGGTGTCACAAAGTCCATGTTGTTACCAGTAAACAACATGTTGTCAAGAAACAGTTTGGCACACCTATGGGGCTGGTTCTTGGAGGGTTAATTGTATTTAAACAATCACACAATTGGACTTCAACCATGTCATTCTTTGAGGTAGTGACTTTAAAAGGTTAAGAACCATTGCAGGAAGAAACATCATGATAGGTGTGGCAGCAGTTGCCTTTAAAAAGCATCCATCCACCATAAATGATCAAAAATGACCACAGCCAAATATGCTCACAATTAATTTATTTTTATTTATTTGTTCCTCATACAGTTGAATGTTGGATGTGGTGAGAGCCCAACTTGTCCTCTTCAGCACTATGAGGGTCACATGTTATTGATTCCCTGGGATTGGCAATAGAACAGACGGTGCATTTTTCATATTCTGGTGAAGAGCACAAAAAATATTAATATATACATACCAAGCAACTCAAAAGAGAGAACAATAATTTAGAAACAAGAAATAATCTGCATTGTCTTCAAATAGCATTAGTGTCACCGATAGCGCCATTTATATGTTACCTTTTTTCAAGCGTCCTTCTTCTGGCAAAATTACAATGCGGTTAATGAATCTTGTATTTTAATTGTCCTGATTAGCCACCCCACAGCCACCCCACAGCTCCTCCAACGCCGGCCACAGCTGCATTAGCAGCAGCAGGCAGGCCTGCTGCACCTGCAGAAATATTACAGAGGACTTTTGAGCTGCAGGAAAACAGAATCAGTACCACTTTCACAATGTTTTCTTCAATTTTTGCTGATAAACTATAGGGGAGAGTGGGGTAAGATTAACCATTTTTCATATTTCAGATCACTACATCAAGGCAATCATAGATTTGTCTCTAACTAGTGTTCCAAGATGTTGTGGATCCCTGCAAACCAACAAAATGAGTGTAAACACAACTGTCTTGATAATAAAACATGCCAAGAAAAGTGGTCTCCTACAGTCAACTTACCCCATGTATGGGGTAAGTTGACTGTAGGAGTGGAGTAAGTTGAGCCGTATCCCTACTACCCCCCCACTCTCCACTCCAGCCCTCCCTCACCTTCTCTCTCCCTAAATAACAATGATTTCTTCACATTCATTTGTATTTTTATCTATTATACACTATTCAACTGGTACAATCATTCTTTTAATTATAATTGCATATAAGCTGCAAAAAGCCATTTTAACATGAGAATGCCTTTAAGTGATTCAGAACATTCACAGCTGTATTTTTGAAAAGAAAAAGGAACACATTTCGACAATCTGAACTGAAACTCTGATCCTCTCATCAGACTAATTAACTTAGTTAGTTACCTCAATACCACTATTATGACTTTATTAGTCCGCTAAGCTAAAATGGTGGACTTTTATGTTAGGTTTTTGACCTTGTGTTGTGGCTCACAGATACCAGAAGTGTTTGTATAAAACTAATTTAAAATGATCTTTTTTGGTCTGAGCACAATTCTAATAAAAAATTTATGAAAGACTAAATTCACTTTCAAGAGTGAAAAATGTTTTTTTTTTTTTAAATAAATGTAACCCCTTCACCCATGTGCTTCTAAACTTCAGACTCCATGAATTGATGCCCATCGCCTAAATATTTGGTCATATGATTAATTTGTTTTACCATTTTCAAGCAACAGGGGGCGGCTCAACTTACCCCACTCTCCTTACTGTTGACCAATTTTGTCTTAACGAGTTATAACATCTTTATCTTAGCCCAAGGTTACCTGCTGACTGCAGAGCAGCCACGACACCCCCTGCTGCCACCCCACCTCCATTAGCAACAGCAGTGGCAGACATCAATTTTGCTCCCAGTGAACCCGCTGCTATTCCAGCTGAAGTAAATCCTGCTGCCCCGAGAGCAACAGGGGCCAGAACCACAGCGCCCACTGCTCAAAGACAAAAACACAGCAGAGAAAAACTTCAAGTGTAAAAAAAATATGTTGGCCATTCAAGACGGATCATGTGTAACTCTTTTTACTTTTCTCTGAAACACACCACCCCAGAGTTTAAACAAAAAAAGTTTATAAAGGAAAATTTTACCTCCTCCTGCTACAACGGCAGCAGCTGTATCTGAAACACATTAAAAACAGCAATCGGCTCTTGTTTGACATAACCTCTTACAGGAGTTATTATTAGGTACTATGAGTAAAATGATAATTTGAAAAGATAAATAAAACAGCAGGCTTAATCTCATTAAATAACTAGTTTTTCTTAGGAAACAGAGATACTCACAGAAGTCCATGTTTCGCCCTTATGCAAATTCGGTAGTTCGCCACAGGTTCGGGTTTGCTTTGGGTTTCAGCCCATTTCATGAGAAACGAAACTTAGTGCGCCTGTGAACGAAATACATTAGGGGTGGGCAATCAGGTTTACTTTCCAACCCAAAACTCCACCAGATGTTTCACTGATTACCTCACTAATCAGTGAAATCACCTGGTGGAGTTTTTTCGTTATTTTTAAGTAAGGAATTTATATTCTGTGAAAATCCATGCACCACGGATTTTGTACCAGTAGAGGACAGTATTTCCCTGCTAACAGGCAGATTTCAGAGGCAACGCAGCAATCCAAGTCCCTCTATTTTTGTATAGGTTGACAAAAATTTGCCTCCTTTGTCAAAGTCACAGGTATTCAACTTTTTAGCTATTTATTTTGTCGTTAAAACAGCTCATCATATTCAGTCAATGACATTGCAAATGGCGAGGCTCAGGTGGATTTAAATAACTTTATTTTACAATGACATGTATCAAAAGCAATAAAAGTTTTATTGAGATAAGACTGTTCTTGAGCAGGAGACTGAAGAGTTCAGCGATTGCTTGAATTCACTGCAGTAAACCAAGAGAAATGAAATTTTACTTCTCATTATAGTGTTGGAAAGAACTATCAATGCACAGATCAGCAGCACAACATGCAAGAACCCAGTCTCAGAACATCTGAAATCAATAACAATTATCAAATTTATGGACACAAATGGTTGAATTAATACTTAAACACTCTTACACATGTTTGGCAAATACATCACAAAACAGATCATGCTTTCTTGAATTCAAAAGGTGCTGTTCATCTGCCAAAGCGGGTAGTTAGCCAACCGAAAGCTCCCCCAACACTGGCCACAGCTGTTGTAGCAGCTCCCGACAGGCCGGCTGCACCTGCAGAGAGATTACAGAAGATTTTATTTAGCTGCGAGAGAAATGGTAGAATCTTGTTCTAAAATTAAAGACCTAACTGCTCGACTTTTGTCATTATGGCCGCTCGATTGCAAGACGAAAACAGATTTTGAGATTCCATCTTGTATTCCTGGCATTAGGCCTGTCACGATAACAAATTTTGCTGGACGATAATTGTGCTACAAATTATTGCCGATAAACGATATTATTGACACCGTTTCTTAAATTATAGATAATGATAATATATGGCGTAATAATGCGAGTACACCATGTCAAAGGCAATAAACTTTAATTGCTCAAGATTAAGAACTTTGAACCAGGATGAACAAATATAATAAACAAACAAGATAACCAAAAAACAATGAAAACAAAATGGACCCTCATTCTGTTTTATCAAAAACTGCATTCAAATAAAAAACAAAATCACAACTACAAACAATTAAAAAATAGACCTCGTCTCTGGTACGGAACAAAAACTTCACTCCACACATAACTATTAAACAATAAATAAAGTGGAGTCTCGAGTCTGTAAACAAAATTGCACTAAATAATTAACTTTGGGTGCTATTCCTCAACAGGTCAACAAAGAACATGCATGCGCACCTCAAGCACAATCATCCCCGCGGCTGATTTAAAAAAAAGTTTAAAAAGGACAAAAATCAACATTGAGAGTTTGCTTATCAGCAGTTGTCATGATATGTTCTGGTATTTAGTTTTCCCCTGGTTTTGTTATTTGAGTGTTTTTTCTTAGTGTTTCTGTCCCCCTGTAGTCCTGTCTTATAAGTTTTATAGATTTATAGTTTTATATTAAGTTCTTGTTGTTTCTTATTTAATTCCTTTTAAATTAACCCCCCTTTTTTTTTGGTCTGCATTTGGGTCCGTTCCCTTTTTGTTTAACTCCGATTCATGACATCATGTTGAAATTTTGACTTTGTTTTTTTTCAGAAAAAAAAGAGTGGTTTAAAGGAGAGGACAAAGTGAGAAAACATGGTTAGGAATTTCAAAAGAAAAAATAACATGGCAGTGCAGTGCCTGACATGATGCTGATGGCAGCCAGACAGGTGACCCAAGCAAATAAATCAATCTGGACGACAATAAAGGACTTTAATGTCTTGTAATGTATTATGGTTTTTCATGTGAAAATATTAATGACACTTACTGATTATGCATTTCTGACAGCATAAGGTAATTAATCATTATTTGAGAGTGGTGATTACCTGCTGACTGTAGAGTAGCTACAACACTCCCTGCTGCCACCCCACCTCCATTAGCAACTGCAGCAGCTGACATCAATTTAGCTCCCAGTGAACCCGCTGCTATTCCAGCTGAAGTAAATCCTGCTGCCCCGAGAGCAACAGGGACCAGGGCCACAGTACCCACTGCTCATGGACAGAGAAAAAGACAGAAGGTAGATGTAAGGCTCCCGTACATGAAGGTAAGTGTGAAATACTTGACACTTCAAAAATGCTGACCTGCCCCGGCTCCAATGACGACAAACGTTCCTGAAACACAAAGTAAAAGTGATATAAGTGATTACGGTTTATGCGGAATTTCAGATGAACTTGTAAAAAACAAAATGAAAATGATTCATACTCTTAAAACAACAATAATACCCACCAAGCCCCATTCTTCTTCTTCTTCTTCTTCCTCTTCTTCTTCTTCTTCTTTTTCTTCTTCTACTTTTGGTTGATCCCGGTTCACTGAAATGAACGGTTTTGCTCACCACTATTTAACGGCAGATGGCACTCTTGTGTACGGTACATTACCGCCCTCTTCTGACAGTTCTTATACAAAAACCCCTGTGCACCACCCATTCCCATCTCATACACGCACACATTCATACTCCTACAGACTAAATCCTATCAATCAACCCCGTCACCCTTAAAAACTCGACTAACACTCTCACATATGACCTGTCCCCCATCTGTAATACTCCCTTTTGTGTAAGGTCTTGCATACCTAATTCCCTCAACTTATTTCTCATCTCTCCCCTTTCTGTCTCAAAGTTTGTGTTGTTTTTTTAAATGATCAAATATATGATAAGAAACTAATGTACATAAACTGATAATAGTTTATAAAAACAATAATGATACTAAGTTCTAAATCTGTTTAACTCATCTAATTGTTTGATTCTCAGGTTAGTTGGGTCAAAGTAGATTAAAATAGAGAATATTTGCAGTTTTTTAAGTGTACTACAGCTACATATAAGGAGATATAACTGTAAAAATCCTAAAAAGCACCTGTTCACATACAAACATAAGTAGACAAACAATCTCTCTCACTTCTCATCTGGTACTAATCACTTTTAATATTTTGGAGCTGTAGTCCAGCTATGGTGAAATTTCTGTGGCTGAAGTTGCCTTTTTAAACTTAATGTTAACTCAACGGAAAGCACCTCATGAGTGTAGTCTGTGGAAAAAAAGTTTTATGAATAAACTCTTGTTTACGAAGACTAAAAGAAACAGCTGATCTGAGAGTTTGCTAGAATATATAGCTTTAATATAATAAATGAAAAAAAGGAGAGCACTGCCTGTCTGTTAAGGTTGTTAAAAGTTGGAATTTTCTCTCTTGCAGATCTGTGAGCATGACGGACGTCACGCTGGAAGAAGAGGGGCAGATCTTCCCTGAACTGACGCTCCAATTTAAGAGGATTTTCTTTGTATCACAGCTGTAGTTTCATGTTTTGGTGCTGAGATTTAACAGCTGAGACTTTGGCTGTTTTTTAGGCTCTTTTGCTTCTAGTTTAACTGTGGAGAAAATTATCTGACACTGTTACTCACAGAAACCTCTCTGCAGCCTCAATAGTATCACAATGAAGGTTTCAACATGATCTAAAGGAGCCAAGACTCCATGCTTATGTTTATTAATGTTAAATAAATTCTCTTTAGCTTCACCAGGCAGAAAAAAAGGCTGTTTGGTTGTATCAAAGATGTACTTGGCACAGATTAACAGACATTAAAGTGACACTACTCTGTATTTCAACACAGTAGAGTTAAAAAGTGGAGAGAAGCTGAAAACTAGAGAGCAGGTCTCAAATGGCAGATTTATCATTTTTAATGTTATTGTTTTGCATTTAATAAAGTAATACAATCAAAAATACCAGAAACAAAATTGCTAAACTTAAATTAACCTTATTTAGATAATACAGACCAGACTAACTTTGGTATAGTAAAATATTATGACAAAAACTTTTGGGGTTTTTCTAACTGATTAAAATAAAATAAAATAAAAAAGACAGTGGATAATTGGATCAGAAAAAAAAAGAAAAAAAATCAAAGTTCTGTCTCAATGCGTTAACATGTCTTATACTTATGTTCATATGATCCACTGACTTGCTTTTCATGTTTACTAAATAATAAATGAGAAAGAAAAATACAGAGTAGTGTGATACATTTGATAAAATATGTAAATATAAATAATCATAATAAATAATAAAAAAACCACAGCAATTACCATCCGTAAGTACCATCCGTTAGCCTGATTATTCAGCTGACCGGTTAACAAAAATCTGGTACAGAGCCTTTTTTCAAGAATATGTTGTTCTGTTTCAAAATTAGCATTTACAGAAATATCAACTTTCAATAAAATGGAAACAGGACCGCACATGATAGGAGATTAAAAAATGTCTGTAGAGATGAGTATAAATAGATGGCAGGTATGCTTCACCTTAAAAACTACAACTTTCTCTTGTTCTTTCAGGACTCTACACCAGACCATCCCTGGAGTCAGGTAGACCATCATCTTCATGTGGTGGCCTTCCTCCCTTGGTGTCCTGCTCAGGCAGAGGTACTCAGCTGCTGCTGTGATGCTGCTCAGAGTCTGATTATCAGTCCACCTTTTCACTGACTGATCAGAGACTGATAGTTAAGCTGTAGAGATAAACGGAGACTCCTCTGTAGGTGGAACTACCTCTTTAATAACTTGTAAGGTGTCTCTGGTAATTGATTTTTAACATCTGACCCTTTCTTTATTAATGAATAAATAGGAGTCTCCATTAATCTCCATAACTTTACTCTCAGTCTCTGCTCAGTCAGTGAAAAGCTATGGGGAGAGATTTGTCTCAAAATTATGCACAAATATATATAGCCATTTCTCGAGAAAGGAAACTAGGTTGTCATCAGAACTCAAGAGGGTGTCACAAAGTCCATGTTGTTACCAGTAAACAACATGTTGTCAAGAAACAGTTTGGCACACCTATGGGGCTGGTTCTTGGAGGGTTAATTGTATTTAAACAATCACACAATTGGACTTCAACCATGTCATACTTTGAGGTAGTGACTTTAAAAGGTTAAGAACCATTGCAGGAAGAAACATCATGATAGGTGTGGCAGCAGTTGCCTTTAAAAAGCATCCATCCACCATAAATGATCAAAAATGACCACAGCCAAATATGCTCACAATTAATTTATTTTTATTTATTTGTTCCTCATACAGTTGAATGTTGGATGTGGTGAGAGCCCAACTTGTCCTCTTCAGCACTATGAGGGTCACATGTTATTGATTCCCTTGGATTGGCAATAGAACAGACGGTGCATTTTTCATATTCTGGTGAAGAGCACAAAAAATATTAATATATACATACCAAGCAACTCAAAAGAGAGAACAATAATTTAGAAACAAGAAATAATCTGCATTGTCTTTAAATAGCATTAGTGTCACCGATAGCGCCATTTATATGTTACCTTTTTTCAAGCGTCCTTCTTCTGGCAAAATTACAATGCGGTTAATGAATCTTGTATTTTAATTGTCCTGATTAGCCACCCCACAGCCACCCCACAGCTCCTCCAACGCCGGCCACAGCTGCATTAGCAGCAGCAGGCAGGCCTGCTGCACCTGCAGAAATATTACAGAGGACTTTTGAGCTGCAGGAAAACAGAATCAGTACCACTTTCACAATGTTTTCTTCAATTTTTGCTGATAAACTATAGGGGAGAGTGGGGTAAGATTAACCATTTTTCATATTTCAGATCACTACATCAAGGCAATCATAGATTTGTCTCTAACTAGTGTTCCAAGATGTTGTGGATCCCTGCAAACCAACAAAATGAGTGTAAACACAACTGTCTTGATAATAAAACATGCCAAGAAAAGTGGTCTCCTACAGTCAACTTACCCCGTGTATGGGGTAAGTTGACTGTAGGAGTGGAGTAAGTTGAGCCGTATCCCTACTACCCCCCCACTCTCCACTCCAGCCCTCCCTCACCTTCTCTCTCCCTAAATATCAATGATTTCTTCACATTCATTTGTATTTTTATCTATTATACACTATTCAACTGGTACAATCATTCTTTTAATTATAATTGCATATAAGCTGCAAAAAGCCATTTTAACATGAGAATGCCTTTAAGTGATTCAGAACATTCACAGCTGTATTTTTGAAAAGAACAAGGAACACATTTCGACAATCTGAACTGAAACTCTGATCCTCTAATCAGACTAATTAACTTAGTTAGTTACCTCAATACCACTATTATGACTTTATTAGTCCGCTAAGCTAAAATGGTGGACTTTTATGTTAAGTTTTTGACCTTGTGTTGTGGCTCACAGATACCAGAAGTGTTTGTATAAAACTAATTTAAAATGATCTTTTTTGGTCTGAACACAATTCTAATAAAAAATTTATGAAAGACTAAATTCACTTTCAAGAGTGAAAAATGTTTTTTTTTTTTTTTTTTTTAAATAAATGTAACCCCTTCACCCATGTGCTTCTAAACTTCACAGACTCCATGAATTGATGCCCATCGCCTAAATATTTGGTCATATGATCAATTTGTTTTACCATTTTCAAGCAACAGGGGGCGGCTCAACTTACCCTTTGGCTCAACTTACCCCACTCTCCTTACTGTTGACCAATTTTGTCTTAACGAGTTATAACATCTTTATCTTAGCCCAAGGTTACCTGCTGACTGCAGAGCAGCCACGACACCCCCTGCTGCCACCCCACCTCCATTAGCAACAGCAGTGGCAGACATCAATTTTGCTCCCAGTGAACCCGCTGCTATTCCAGCTGAAGTAAATCCTGCTGCCCCGAGAGCAACAGGGGCCAGAACCACAGCGCCCACTGCTCAAAGACAAAAACACAGCAGAGAAAAACTTCGTGTAAAAAAAATATGTTGGCCATTCAAGACGGATCATGTGTAACTCTTTTTACTTTTCTCTGAAACACACCACCCCAGAGTTTAAACAAAAAAAGTTTATAAAGGAAAATTTTACCTCCTCCTGCTACAACGGCAGCAGCTGTATCTGAAACACATTAAAAACAGCAATCGGCTCTTGTTTGACATAACCTCTTACAGGAGTTATTATTAGGTACTATGAGTAAAATGATAATTTGAAAAGATAAATAAAACAGCAGGCTTAATCTCATTAAATAACTAGTTTTTCTTAGGAAACAGAGATACTCACAGAAGTCCATGTTTCGCCCTTACTGCAAATTCGGTAGTTCGCCACAGGTTCGGGTTTGCTTTGGGTTTCAGCCCATTTCATGAGAAACGAAACTTAGTGCGCCTGTGAACGAAATACATTAGGGGTGGGCAATCAGGTTTACTTTCCAACCCAAAACTCCACCAGATGTTTCACTGATTACCTCACTAATCAGTGAAATCACCTGGTGGAGTTTTTTCGTTATTTTTAAGTAAGGAATTTATATTCTGTGAAAATCCATGCACCACGAATTTTGTACCAGTAGAGGACAGTATTTCCCTGCTAACAGGCAGATTTCAGAGGCAACGCAGCAATCCAAGTCCCTCTATTTTTGTATAGGTTGACAAAAATTTGCCTCCTTTGTCAAAGTCACAGGTATTCAACTTTTTAGCTATTTATTTTGTCGTTAAAACAGCTCATCATATTCAGTCAATGACATTGCAAATGGCGAGGCTCAGGTGGATTTAAATAACTTTATTATTTTACAATGACATGTATCAAAAGCAATAAAAGTTTTATTGAGATAAGACTGTTCTTGAGCAGGAGACTGAAGAGTTCAGCGACTGCTTGAATTCACTGCAGTAAACCAAGAGAAATGAAATTTTACTTCTCATTATAGTGTTGGAAAGAACTATCAATGCACAGATCAGCAGCACAACATGCAAGAACCCAGTCTCAGAACATCTTAAATCAATAACAATTATCAAATTTATGGACACAAATGGTTGAATTAATACTTAAACACTCTTACACATGTTTGGCAAATACATCACAAAACAGATCATGCTTTCTTGAATTCAAAAGGTGCTGTTCATCTGCCAAAGCGGGTAGTTAGCCAACCGAAAGCTCCCCCAACACTGGCCACAGCTGTTGTAGCAGCTCCCGACAGGCCGGCTGCACCTGCAGAGAGATTACAGAAGATTTTATTTAGCTGCGAGAGAAATGGTAGAATCTTGTTCTAAAATTAAAGACCTAACTGCTCGACTTTTGTCATTATGGCCGCTCGATTGCAAGACGAAAACAGATTTTGAGATTCCATCTTGTATTCCTGGCATTAGGCCTGTCACGATAACAAATTTTGCTGGACGATAATTGTGCTACAAATTATTGCTGATAAACGATATTATTGACACCGTTTCTTAAATTATAGATAATGATAATATATGGCGTAATAATGCGAGTACACCATGTCAAAGGCAATAAACTTTAATTGCTCAAGATTAAGAACTTTGAACCAGGATGAACAAATATAATAAACAAACAAGATAACCAAAAAACAATGAAAACAAAATGGACCCTCATTCTGTTTTATCAAAAACTGCATTCAAATAAAAAACAAAATCACAACTACAAACAATTAAAAAATAGACCTCGTCTCTGGTACGGAACAAAAACTTCACTCCACACATAACTATTAAACAATAAATAAAGTGGAGTCTCGAGTCTGTAAACAAAATTGCACTAAATAATTAACTTTGGGTGCTATTCCTCAACAGGTCAACAAAGAACATGCATGCGCACCTCAAGCACAATCATCCCCGCGGCTGATTTTAAAAAAAGTTTAAAAAGGACAAAAATCAACATTGAGAGTTTGCTTATCAGCAGTTGTCATGATATGTTCTGGTATTTAGTTTTCCCCTGGTTTTGTTATTTGAGTGTTTTTTCTTAGTGTTTCTGTCCCCCTGTAGTCCTGTCTTATAAGTTTTATAGATTTATATTAAGTTCTTGTTGTTTCTTATTTAATTCCTTTTAAATTAACCCCCCTTTTTTTTGGTCTGCATTTGGGTCCGTTCCCTTTTTGTTTAACTCCGATTCATGACATCATGTTGAAATTTTGACTTTGTTTTTTTTTCAGAAAAAAAAAGAGTGGTTTAAAGGAGAGGACAAAGTGAGAAAACATGGTTAGGAATTTCAAAAGAAAAAATAACATGGCAGTGCAGTGCCTGACATGATGCTGATGGCAGCCAGACAGGTGACCCAAGCAAATAAATCAATCTGGACGACAATAAAGGACTTTAATGTCTTGTAATGTATTATGGTTTTTCATGTGAAAATATTAATGACACTTACTGATTATGCATTTCTGACAGCATAAGGTAATTAATCATTATTTGAGAGTGGTGATTACCTGCTGACTGTAGAGTAGCTACAACACTCCCTGCTGCCACCCCACCTCCATTAGCAACTGCAGCAGCTGACATCATTTTAGCTCCCAGTGAACCCGCTGCTATTCCAGCTGAAGTAAATCCTGCTGCCCCGAGAGCAACAGGGACCAGGGCCACAGTACCCACTGCTCATGGACAGAGAAAAAGACAGAAGGTAGATGTAAGGCTCCCGTACATGAAGGTAAGTGTGAAATACTTGACACTTCAAAAATGCTGACCTGCCCCGGCTCCAATGACGACAAACGTTCCTGAAACACAAAGTAAAAGTGATATAAGTGATTACGGTTTATGCGGAATTTCAGATGAACTTGTAAAAAACAAAATGAAAATGATTCATACTCTTAAAACAACAATAATACCCACCAAGCCCCATTCTTCTTCTTCTTCTTCTTCTTCTTCTTCTTCTTCTTCTTCTTCTTCTTCCTCTTCTTCTTCTTCTTCTTTTTCTTCTTCTACTTTTGGTTGATCCCGGTTCACTGAAATGAACGGTTTTGCTCACCACTATTTAACGGCAGATGGCACTCTTGTGTACGGTACATTACCGCCCTCTTCTGACAGTTCTTATACAAAAACCCCTGTGCACCACCCATTCCCATCTCATACACGCACACATTCATACTCCTACAGACTAAATCCTATCAATCAACCCCGTCACCCTTAAAAACTCGACTAACACTCTCACATATGACCTGTCCCCCATCTGTAATACTCCCTTTAGTGTAAGGTCTTGCATACCTAATCCCCTCAATTTATTTCTCATCTCTCCCCTTTCTGTCTCAAAGTTTGTGTTGTTTTTTTTAAATGATCAAATATATGATAAGAAACTAATGTACATAAACTGATAATAGTTTATAAAAACAATAATGATACTAAGTTCTAAATCTGTTTAACTCATCTAATTGTTTGATTCTCAGATTAGTTGGGTCAAAATAGATTAAAATAGAGAATATTTGCAGTTTTTTAAGTGTACTACAGCTACATATAAGGAGATATAACTGTAAAAATCCTAAAAAGCACCTGTTCACATACAAACATAAGTAGACAAACAATCTCTCTCACTTCTCATCTGGTACTAATCACTTTTAATATTTTGGAGCTGTAGTCCAGCTATGGTGAAATTTCTGTGGCTGAAGTTGCCTTTTTAAACTTAATGTTAACTCAATGGAAAGCACCTCGTGAGTGTAATCTGTGGAAAAAAAGTTTTATGAATAAACTCTTGTTTACGAAGACTAAAAGAAACAGCTGATCTGAGAGTTTGCTAGAATATATAGCTTTAATATAATAAATGAAAAAAAAGGAGAGCACTGCCTGTCTGTTAAAGTTGTTAAAAGTTGGGATTTTCTCTCTTGCAGATCTGTGAGCATGACGGACGTCACGCTGGAAGAAGAGGGGCAGATCTTCCCTGAACTGACGCTCCAATTTAAGAGGATTTTCTTTGTATCACAGCTGTAGTTTCATGTTTTGGTGCTGAGATTTAACAGCTGAGACTTTAGCTGTTAAATCTCTATTAGGCTCTTTTGCTTCTAGTTTAACTGTGGAGAAAATTATCTGACACTGTTACTCACAGAAACCTCTCTGCAGCCTCAATAGTATCACAATGAAGGTTTCAACATGATCTAAAGGAGCCAAGACTCCATGCTTATGTTTATTAATGTTAAATAAATTCTCTTTAGCTTCACCAGGCAGAAAAAAGGCTGTTCGGTTGTATCAAAGATGTACTTGGCACAGATTAACAGACATTAAAGTGACATAACTTTGTATTTCAACACAGTAGAGTTAAAAAGTGGAGAGAAGCTGAAAACTAGAGAGCAGGTCTCAAATGGCAGATTTATCATTTTTAATGTTATTGTTTTGCATTTAATAAAGTAATACAATCAAAAATACCAGAAACAAAATTGCTAAATTTAAATTAACATTATTTAGATAATACAGACCAGACTAACTTTGGTATAGTAAAATATTATGACAAAAACTTTTGGGGTTTTTCTAACTGATTAAAATAAAATAAAATAAAAAAGACAGTGGATAATTGGATCAGAAAAAAAAGAAAAAAAATCAAAGTTCTGTCTCAATGCGTTAACACGTCTTATACTTATGTTTATATGATCCACTGACCTGCTTTTCATGTTTATTAAATAATAAATGAGATAGAAAAATACAGAATACTGTGATACATTTGATAAAATATTTAAATATAAATAATCCATTTAATATATGAGAAATAAAAAAACCACAGCAATTAAAAATTAGCATTTACAGAAATATCAACTTTCAATAAAATGGAAACAGGACTGCACATGATAGGAGATTAAAAAATGTCTGTAGAGATGAGTATAAATAGATGGCAGGTATGCTTCACCTTAAAAACTACAACTTTCTCTTGTTCTTTCAGGACTCTACACCAGACCATCCCTGGAGTCAGGTAGACCATCATCTTCATGTGGTGGCCTTCCTCCCTTGGTGTCCTGCTCAGGCAGAGGTACTCAGCTGCTGCTGTGATGCTGCTCAGAGTCTGATTATCAGTCCACCTTTTCACTGACTGATCAGAGACTGATAGTTAAACTGTAGAGATAAACGGAGACTCCTCTGTAGGTGCAACTACCTCTTTAATAACTTGTAAGGTGTCTCTGGTAATTGATTTTTAACATCTGACCCTTTCTTTATTAATGAATAAATAGGAGTCTCCATTCATATATGTCCATGATTTTCACATTAGTTTTTTGTATGTGTGTGTGCATTTATCATGACTTATCATTTGTAAATCTTCAGTTCTGCCTGTGAATTGTTGAAAAATGTGTTTGTGGATCAACCAGCACGTGCATTTATTTTTGAGACAAACATCACACAGTTTTCAACATATGCACACACACAAGTTGAGTATATTCACATGTGTGGAGAACACCGCCTATCCCTTCCACTGGGCGGCAGTGTTGCTCCCTCTGTTGAGAGCATAGACTGTGGGGAAGATGATTGACAGCTATCCACCTTAGAAGTGGGGAGAAGTTTCTCTGCTTCTAAAGTGGGTAGCTGTCAATCATCTTCTTCACAGTCATTGCCCTTAACAGAGAGACAGAGAGCTCTTTATACAAATGTGGTCAAATATAACCCAAAATAAACTCAAATTCTGATTATTTATTTGTTGTATTTTATAGTACAGGTGCCCGCAGTTTGACTCGACATATTGGAAGAAGAAGCAGAAACTTTTGGGTGATGTTATTTATCATCTGTGGTTTTAAAATTTCATCAGTATTTTAATTACTGGAAAATTAATTATTGCATTGCACAAAAACCAATTCCATTGAAGTTGGGAAATTGTGATAAACGTAAATAAAAACAGAATACAATGATTTGCAAATCCTTTTCAACCTATATTCAATTTAATACACTACAAATACAAGATATTTAATGTTCAAACTCATTAACTTTTTTTTTTTTTTGCAAATAATAATTAACTCAGAATTTGATGGCTGCAACACGTTCCAATGAAGTTTGGAAAGGTGTTAAAAAATACTGAGAAATTTGAGGAATGCTCATTAAATCCCTATTTGGAACATCCCACAGGTATTAATGTCATACTATAGTATGATAAAAAATGTCCATGTATAATATGTAAGAAAAAGTATAGTTGATTGTGAAAAAAATGTCAGTATAGTATAATACAAAATGTCAGGAAAATGTGATATAAAATGTCAAAGTATAGCATGTTCAACAAATGTTATAGCATAGTATGTTAAAAAATCATAATAAAGTATGATTAAGAAAATGCTATAGTAGTTTGTTTAAAGATCATAGTATAGTATGATAAAAATGACATAGTATAGTATGATAAGATGTCATAGTATAGTATGTAGAAAAAATCATTGTAGAGTATGATAAAAATTTCATAGTATAGAATGACAGAAAATGTTATAGTATGATAAAAAATGTCATAGTTGAGTATAATAAAAATGTCACAGTATAGTATGTTTAAAAATCATAGTGTCATATGATACAAATGTGATCGTATAGTATGACAAAAAATGTCATTGTTAAGTATGTTTAAAAAATATCATAGCATAGTATGTTAAAAAAAATTCATAGTGGAGTATGAAAAAACGTCAGCATAGTATGATAGAAATGTCAGTCAAGTATGATAGAAAATGTTATAGTATAGTATGTTAAATATATTATGGTTTTATAAAAATCTCATATTATAGTATGATAAAAATGTTATAGTAAAGTGTGATTAAAATGCCATAGAATATTATGTGAAGAATGTCATAGTATAGTATGATAAAAATGTCATATTATAGTGTGATAGAAAATGTCATTGCATAGTATGATTAAAAAAATGTCATAGGACAGTATGATAAAAATGTCATCGTATAGTATGATAAAAGAAAGGCATGGTATAGTATTTTTATAAAACGTAACGTGTAGTATGAAAAAAATGTCAGTATAATATGATAAAAATGTCAGAGGAGTATGTTAAAAAATCATGTTATAGTATGATAAAAAATGTCATAGTAATAATGTTAAAGGATCATAGTATAGTATGATTAAAATGAAATAGTATAGTATGATTAAAAATGTCATAGTATAGTTCAGTATGTTAAAAAAAAAAAAATCATAGCGTTGTATGATAAAGATGTCATAGTATGGTATGAAATAGCATATACAGTCTATGGCTTCAGTTTAGGGAAGATGACCTCCATCATGCCCCCAGATCTGCAAGTGAGAAAAAAAATTTTTTTTTTACAACTTTAACAGACAGACAGCTGTTTCCTTTTTATTGTATGAAAGCTATATTTTCCGGCACACTTTCAGATCAGTCTTTTTAAGTTCAATAATGATGATTATCTATGAAATATTGTGGGTGGAACAAACTGTGTATATTTGTAAACGAGATTTTTCCATAGACTGTATATAAGTCTTATATACAGTCTATGGATTTTTCATAAAGCTTTCTTCCATAGAGTACTCTCATGAGGTGTTTTCCATTGTTACTTCTGTTTACCTTTGCAGTCGTGTGTTGGCTAAAAACCTGAATTAGAATTTTGTGGGGAAAAAAAAACATCAAATATATCTAACAACAAAATACGAGCGACCGAAAGCCCCAGTGCCATATACTGAATACAGTACACAGTCTGTGCCCAGTGTTGTGTCCGGTTCAGTCAGTAGACTTGATCACATGGTGGGATTTGCGCATGCGCCTGGTTTTAGGTGTGATGGAGAGACGATGCCTAATGCCATCAGCCCTGCGTAGTGCAGGAGATCTCCAAACTGGTCAGATTTACCGCAGACTCCGTTGTCTTTCAGCACAGCTTGATGTTGTAGACCGACACAACAAGCCTGATGTCTGTGGCAAATGCGAAACACACTGTGCTGAATCCGGTAAGAGGCTTGTTAATTTTATTGTTCTCTACATTTGCCCATTTATGTCACAATGAATTGATCAATAGACCCTCTTTATGCTACAGTACAGCCGAAAACTAACAGGTAGTCCCTGTGTTGTCAGCAGTTGCCTCCATACTGCCTGTACACAGGACGTTAGCTTATCGGGCAGACATTGTTCACAGTGTAACACAAAGACGATTGTGTAGCATGACTGCAGGCATTGTTAGTGCACATATAGACAGTTATAACTCCACCTCTCTCCTTCAGGTGATCCCATACACAGGGCCCATACCTGGAGGCCTGCACCCTGGGGAGATCATCATCATCCAGGGCACTGTGCCCCCTGATGCTGACAGGTAAGATACATGAGGGGAGGATGTGCTATTTATGTGACTATTTCTTTGACTGATTCACAGCACGTGATCCTTTAACGTGGAACAACTTTAAAGAACTGCTCTCCCTAAATTGGTAGATCATGGTATTCTTTTTGCAAGATTATACCCCCCAACACATAGGGGAGAGTGGGGTAAGATGAGCCATTTTTCATATATTAGATCACTACATCAAGGCAATCATAGTTTTGTCTCTAACTAGTGTATCTGTATATATTTAAAGATGTTGTGCATCCCTGCAAACCAACAGAATGAGTGTAAACAAAACTGTCTTGATAATATAGCACGCCAAAATAAAGTGGTCTCCTATGGTCAACTTACCCCGTGTATGGGGTAAGTTGACCATAGGAGCAGGGTAAGTTGAGCCGTATACCTACTACCCCCCCATTCTCCACCCCAGCCCTCCCTCACCTTCTCTTTCCCTAAATAACACACTTCTTCACATTCATGTGTATTTTTATCTATTATACACTATTCAACAGGTACAATCATTCTTTTTATTATTTTTGCATATAGCTGCTAAAAAGCTGTTTTGTAAAGAAAAAAAAACATTTTAACATGAGAATGTCTTTAAGTGATTCAGAACATTCACAGCAGTATTTTTGAAAAGAAAAAGTCAATTTCAACAAGCTGAACTGAAACTCTGATCCTCTCATCAGACTCCTTTACTTTCTCAGTTGAGTCACTGGCTCAACTTACCCCTAAACTACTATTATGACTTTATTAGTCCTCTAAGATAAAACGGTGGACTTATATATACTAGGTTTTTGACCTCATGTTGTAGCTCATAGATACCACAATTGATGTATAAAACAAAATTAAAATGATCTTTTTTGGTCTGAACACAATTCTTATAAAACTTATGACAGAGTAAATTCACTTTCAAGAGTGAAAAAATGGTTTTTTTGTAAATAAATGTCTAACCCCTTCACCCGTGTGCTTCTTACCTTCACAGACTCCATGAATTGATGCCCATCTCCTAAATATTTGGTCACATGATCAATTTGTTTTACCATTTCCAAGCAACAGGGGGTGGCTCATCTTACCCTTTGGCTCATCTTACCCCACTCTCCCCTACTTTACTGCCTGACTTGACCTCATGGGTATCTGTGAAGATATTCACTGGAATTCAGGGTTTAAAGGAGTTAGGCCACACTGTGTTGCTCTAAAGACTCTTCAGTAGTGTAGGTGCAAGGTTTAAATCTGAACATTTCTTTTAACCAAAGAAAGTTTTGGTTACAGTTTGTTGATTTTATTTATCTTGTTGAGTTTAGTTTATTGTTTTTGTTATAAGTCAATAATTTGTTAAAAAGGCATCTAGTAATTCATATTGTCCTTTAGAGATGCTAACCTCTGCCTTGCTCACAGATTTCAGATCGATTTGTCAAGCGGCTGCAGCACCAAACCGCGCTCTGACGTCGCCCTCCACTTCAGTCCTCGCTTCAAAGGCTCACCGTGTGTGGTTTGTAACTCCCTGCTGAAGGAGAGCTGGGGCAAAGAAGTAACACTCAATCAACTACCCTATAAACGTGGAGCCCCTTTTGAGACCATCGTCCTGGTGCACGATGATGTCTTTAAGGTCGGTGAATGCATACTGTTTATGAGAAAGGTTTGTGTTGTCCCTCATGAGATCGCGTATGAGATTTCTTTAAAATGAACTTATAGAATTGCTCACTTTTTACAGGTGGCTGTAAATGGTGCCCACCTGCTGGAATACAAGCACAAAATTCCAATAAACAGGGTAGACACCTTTTCTATTTCTGGGAATGTCAGGGTGCACGCTGTCGGTTACATCCCAAATTCAGTAAGTACACTCCCATCTCTTGTTTAAGATGTGCCATTGTTTTAAGGACATAACTGATCTATTAGTTCTAATTTTGCTTTTTTTGTTTCCTCTCAGGCAATATATTCAGAATCAGGTGACTTGGTGAGTCTTTCCTTTTACGTAACTTACAAAAACCTCATTGTCTGAATGAGGCCAGTATCATGTGATGCCGCAAAAATTTGTTTTTGTTAAATCTCCTAAAGGCTTTCTTTGTCTGTGTTCTGTGGCCAATTCATTTCAGCTTTCAGATTTTCCTAAATCACGGTTTGTTTTGTTGCTTCCAAGATCTGGAAACACACCAGGAGCAGGGTGGTGTAGCAAAAAGTGAGATTTGTAAGAAAAAGTGAGAGATACAGCTGGTTTAGGTTCAGGTTATATTCAGAGTTATGTCTTTAAACAGGCTGTAAAATGTCATCTTTTGTTGAGCAATCTCTAATGCTCCGATGCTATAGTGTATTGTAATTTTGAATTGACAAAGTTTTCTGCAGCATTCCACTCTTTATGTGCACTCTTGATGTTTTTACATTCGTATGTATTTATTGTCTCTTCTTATGATATCATTCTGACTGAAACCGACATTCAGCAATCATTCCTCCATTCATGCTACGTTGTGGCCTCCACTATCTTGGTTTAACTTGGCACCCAAAACAATGATTCACATTGCCTTGTGGTTGACAAATCTCTGTGGCAACGAATAGTCAACTGCTTGTTGTTACAGAGCAGCAATGGTTTGTGTAAAAAAAAAAAAAAGGTGATTCAGAAATGTAAAAAAGCTGCAGTTTTTTCAAGTGTCCATTTAAAGCCAGCCTCAGACATCCATTAACACCTGCATATTAAAATGCTATTTTTTTCACAGCAAATTAAACATGTTTACAGTTTCATTCAAACCAACTGTTTTGGTCTGCGGTGCTTATTCTTTTACTCATTGCACAGGGTGGTGGATTTTTAAAAAAAAACTTGTCTGTTTTGTAGATTTTAAGTCTTAGAGTTGTGCATAAACGACATCGTAAGTGGTTGGCTGAGTCGGCTGACAGGTGAATTGTAGCTCTTTGACAGGAGGCCAAAATCCTGCCTCAGTGCCACCTCTTTGCTTTTTTCTTTTAACTAGAAAGAGTTCGTCATACTATCACTTTAAGGTGGAATAGTTAGGCCTCTGTCAAGCCTTATCTGTAATGTGTGACACATGGTGGGCTAATGGCGGGCCAAAGTCGTTCCACGTCTGATCCTCTTTCAAAGGTAGTAGGGATTTGTAGGTCTATCATTTGGCTTCAGAACCCCCTCCTCACTTCATCCAGGCAATGGCTTTGACATCCTGTAACTCACCTTCTTTACTTCAAGTGCAGTCCTAATTCACAGCGTACAGTCTGGGGTTCTTTGTATTTTGCCGGCGACTATAGCCTGTTTCTAACTGACAAAGTTTCCATTGTTTCATTGGCCTGTGGAAGTAAAGTAGCTGAATATAGATAACAACACTGTCATCTAGTGGTAGGAGGTTTAAACACACCACAAAATGAACCAAATGCCTTGAGTCTTTGCAGGTAAACTTAGCTTAAAAAATACATCAACATATTCAAGAATCATTACATTATCATCAAACATATCACAATGCTTTATTGGACTGTGTCTTCATATTCCCTCTGATTAGATCACAGGCTTAATACAGTGTAGTAGCTTAGGCCAAAATAAATCAGATGATTAAGAAATAATCTGTAAATGAAAAACTTTTAAATCTAATCCATGACTCTTTCAGAGCCTCCCTTACAAAGGCAGTATACTCAAAGGATTGAATCCTGGACAACACATCACAATCAAAGGACAGGTCAGCATGTATCCTCACAGGTAAAGTGATATCTGATGAAATCACCTCATCATGTTTGGTTACAAAACAACAATCTGATAAACTTTCACAGACCACAGTGATGTGGTGTAGTACATTTACATTTGGTAGATTTACCTTTTAGTCTGCATTTTCTCCAGTTTCACAGTGAACCTCCGCACCAGCAGGACAGAGAACATCGCCCTCCATCTGAATCCTCGTATGAAGTCTGGCATGTTCATCAGGAACTCATACCTGAGTGAATCCTGGGGACAGGAGGAGCGAGAGCTGCCCTTTTTCCCCTTCTCATCAGGGGAGTACTTTGAGGTAGAAAAAAACTGATTTTTCATTTGGAAGGGTTTCTTCGGTCTGCTGTATCTGTATTGAACAATAACCAGATGCTCATAATTTCATAGACTTTTTCTTCATATGCCTGTGTGCTTTGAGCTGATGGCATGTTCCTCTGTTGGCATTTCTGTCAGATTCTCATCCTCTGTCAGCCTCATCAGTTCAAGCTGGCAGTGAACGGCTCACACTTATTTGAGTACAGACATCGAGTGCAGGACCTGAGCAGTATTGACCAGCTGGAGATCATGGGGGACCTGGAGCTCACAGATGTGAAGCTGTGGTGACTTGGAACTCCAGTTTTACAAAGAAGACAGCATTACATACTCTACGGTGTTCTGGTAATCAATGCTAGATTAGCTTTGCTGCAACGACACAGACAGTGGAGCTGAAAACAGAAAAAACTGTAACGACCAAGGCCGGGTTAGTCCTGCAGCAATCAGAGACCTCTGATTTTAAGCTAGCCTTGCATTATGTGTGACCAAGGACCATGAACAGGCCAGTCTACAAGGTGTTTATGGTCCATGTGTCCAGCCCTCCCCAGATGACTGATGCATGAGAGTTAGCTGCCCTGGAGTATCAGGGTGTGAGCCCCCATGACTGTTTACAGCTACAGGTTAGGTTTGCCGTGGTTCATTTCTGTAGTTCATCTCCGCTGTGACATGCCCTTTGTGCACTTTTTAATCAAAAGAGGACATTTGTCTGTACGCTTCAAGAGTAAAACCTCAATTCCAAAAGAGCTGTGGCACCATTTAAAATGTTGATATAAATAAATATTGATGGTCTGCCAATTGTTTTAGCTTTTAAACACCGTATTTGAATTTAAAATAGTACAAACACAGAAAATCAACTGTAAGATCTGACACATATTCATGAACTGATTAAATTAACTTGCAGGTTAGTCACATGACAGGTTATATGACAAATGATCAAATGATAAAAAAGACTGAATCTTTCAGATGTAAAGGTAGGAAAGCTTCACCACAGTGAGAGACAGTATCAGCAGAATGCTAAAGTAATGTTCCTCAACATGAAATTGCAAAGAATTTGGGATTTGAGCATCTTCAGTACAAAATATTAAGATTCAGAGAACCCAGAGAAATGTCTGTACAAGGACAAGGCTTGTATGCACAAATTTAAAACTGTACCATGCAAAGAGGATATACTGAAGAAGAAAACTATCCTTTCTGACATTCTGTTTTGGAAAATCATGGATGCTGTATCCTCTGCTTAAAAGTGGAGAGGTACCTCTGAGGTTTTTTTTTTTCAGCACAGTTAAAAAGCCAACATGGATGCCGAAGTGCCCATAGCCAAGGCACAGATAGTTTATCTGGGAAGTAGGACTGGGCGATTTGGCTAAACAAAAATGATCACGTTATATTTTATCATAACGTTTGATCTCGATCATAATCACATTTTTTTTTAAAGTGCCAGTTTTAAAGCATCCGTACTAAAAGCTAAAGAAACTAGAGATTAGGTCAACATTTTATTAATATACAAAGTAAATAACAAAGCAAATTAAATAAGATAAACTTAGAAAAATAGAAAAACTATTTTAACTCAATAGTACAACGAAAGCAGATAAATATTGAATAACACAGTAAACTACTTTACAGCCCTGAGTGTTTTTGCAGGTATGCAAGACCCAAAATAAACAAATCAATGAAGGCGCCTTAAAATGTAAACATTAGATGATGTAAACCTAGATGAGATGATTGCTGCCTCGGTCTGGTGGCTAATCGCATCATCACTGGAAAGTACTTCTTCAAATGATTAAACAGATCCATTGTGTTGCTGGTTCTTGAGGGCACCGACCGCCGACATACCTTGCACATTGGCTTCATTGCCTGACGTCACTTTGGAGATACCTGAACCACTGCCACACAACCGACGTCCAATAACTCTTCTCTTAACAATGGCAGTTTCAGAGGATGACAAAAAGTCACGGCTGACATCTACTTTGCTGCCCTCAGCTCTGTGTTGGGCTCCACGTTTGGTCATCCTGTTTACTTCTCTGGCATCTTACAGAAGTGAGCAGGAAAAGCTCGACTCTGATTGGCTGTTGTCACGAACACTTCTGTTATGTTTGATGGAGTAAATATGCTCACAGCTGATCACCGTGATTGAACTGAAATTTATCAAGATCATTAATCGTGATCACATAATCGCTCAGTCCTACTGGGAAGTCACTAGTTATGCTGAGCAGTTTAAGCGAGTAGAGTTCAGGTGTTTATCTGGCCTTCCTGCAGTCCTGACTTAACACCACTGAAAACTTTGGCACATCATGGAACAAAAAATACTATAAAAAGACCCTGAAGTGCTGAGCAGCTAAAATCCTACAACCAGTCCAGAATAATGAAACATTTTACTGTCATTATGGGTTTTTAGACAGTATCCCAAGTGTTTTGGAATTGAGGTTATACTGGCTGTTTAAATGCCGACATGGTCAGTGGAGACAAACAATGAAGATATTGAAGGGCTCTGTTGTTCTGGAGGATGGAAGATCACTAAAGATTTACTGTACAGCCATCTTATAGAGCTTCAAAGCATTTTACATAAAAGCTTAAGTAAACAGGACCTACAATTTCTTTCAGTCTTTGCTATTTAACCCAGTCTACATTAAGGTCACTATCCTCAGGAATCCTAAAAAGCATCAGTGTCTGAACATTTAAACTCATTCGGTGAGTAACAGTGCAGCAGAACTCAAGCACAATGCAGTACAGGGTCAGTTTAGTGTTAGACCATTCAGAAACCAAACAATTCTTCAGTCTGTATGCAAGTAAGAGACTATTGTAGACCTGCAGTGCCCCTTTGTGACCATCCCTTGTTCAGTTTATCTCTCACCCTCTGCTGCGATGATCAATTCTGCTTCAACATAAGAAAAGAAAAAATGCTGGAAAAATATGAAACGTCTTTTTCTCATGCCGAGGTTTACTTGTTTTTTTTTTTGCAATGAATGTTCGAATTGATGTAAAATATGTATGAAAAATCTTCCTGATGTACCATAATTGGTTTATTAACAAATAAATGTCTTATTGGAAGCATTTTGTTTCCACGGTTAGTTAATATGTAAATGACATGCTTTCAACCTGCATTACCACCTGTTTTTGATCACTCACAGTCTACAATTATACATTTGCATGATTAAGTTGACAGACTAGACTTACTATGCAGCAGACAAGGAGGTTTCAGCCGTTTTCTTCTCAGCAACATGTTGTGAAAATAGTCAACTGGTTCCACTTTCTGTTTCAGCTAACATCATATTAAAACGGGAGTAGAGCACTGGGAGACAAAAAAGAGAGCACTAATATACTCTGTGGACATGAAGGTACTACAAAATTTAGCCTAATTCTGCCATAAATCTCTAAGTCATAATATCAGTGAGTCGATATGCATTTATTTCATGTATGCGAGTTTGTTGGGTGAGACTTTTTTTTTACTGTGGAGAGAGCAAATGAACACTTAGCTGCAGTGCTTGTGCTCAACCACAAGGTGGAAGAAGAAAGTTAGTTGTTCAGTGACTGCAACCAAAAGACTAAATCTTCCACCATCAGTGGACTAAAACTGGGAACAAGCACTCCTGAATCACTGGATTTACGAGTGTTTGTCTCAATAAATACAGAAAAAAAGAAAAATTCAACTTGAAGCCAAATCCAGACCTCTGTCAGAATAAACAGGAGACTACAGGGTGTAGAAAGTCTCTCCCACAAGTTTTAAGCAGCATTTACCAAACAGTTTTTTTATTCTGTCTAATTTAAGTGTTGTGGCCAAAGCATGAGTCGTAAGACAAGCTTTTAAAACACATCATTCCTACATAACTTCCATAATAAAGCAATCAAATCTGATAAAAAGTTTGTGTTTTATTAATATCCACAGGAAACATAATTGGTGAGATCTGTAATAACCAAAGTACAGTACAACTGTCTCTTTTTTAACATAGAAAAAGCAGGATGATATGCAACATGATGACATCAACCATTGCACTGCTGAGAATGTATCTGAGAAAAAAAGGCAAAAGACGCTGTCCAATCAGCAACAGGCAAAAAGGCTTCAGTTTGTCATTAAAAAACTGTCAAGAGTTTTAGTCCATTGAAAGAAATTCATCGATTTGACCAAAAATGTCATGTGCGGTCAAAACACGTGTTCTTTTTTTTGCTTAGCATGGCTCACAAGACACACTCCACTTGAAAAGGAAACTCCCCTGTCATGTTTCCTGGAGAAAACAGATGATGTTTCCCTTAAGAGGAAAGAGTAAGTCCGAGCTTTCACACACCGGCCGCCACACCAAAAAATATCTTTCTTAGTTCCAGAGAAGTGGTTTGGGCAAGACCATTGGCTGAGGAAAACTGGTTTCACTTCAGTCACTTAAATTCCATTCGGTTTCAAGCAGCTGAATTTTAACCACGGCTTTTTTTTTTTCAGTTCTCAAGTCCCGCAGAGAGAAGAAAGGAAAACAGGTACAGGGTGAGAGTGAGGTGGCACTGAAGTGGCACAGGAAAGCTTAACGGGTTGGATGCATGTTATCAAGAGGTCCATGTCCCACTGTCAAACAGAGCTGAGCTTTACCAGTCCTCTGACAGAGTCCTCATGTAGGGAGTCCTGACTGGCAGGGTTGTAGAAGCCTGCCTGCACCGTGTGACTGTGACCCAGTGGGCTGCCGCAGGGAAGCATGCCCGGCGGCGAGGGCACCTCCTCTGGGGTGAGGAAGTGATGGTGGGCTATTGGTTCCTGCAGGGGGTGGCTGTGGTTAAGTGTGTGTCCGTGTCCATGGATTGGCAGCATGTCGGTGGCCTCGTGAATGCTGAGGCTGGGAGTGGATGTCGGAGGGGTGGGCTGGCCAAGGGGAAGTGAAGTGCACGGACCGCCAAGGCCCAGAGAAGTGCGGCCAGGTAGGGAGCCTCCGTTTTCAGGGGAACCTGTCAGGATGACGGGCTCACTGCTTTGCTGCTGGAGGAGAGGTGTGGCGGCTGCCTGCAAAACGAATTTGGTGCTCTGAATGCACTGGTCTTGGTCACACTGAGAGAAGCAGTGGAAAGAGTATGTGAAAGAAAGAGAGAGAGAGAGAGGGAACAATATGGCAGGAGATGCCAAAGTCAAAGAGACAGATAAGATGCCAGAGGTGAAGGAGGGAAATGGAAAATAAATAAAAGTGAGGCAGAGTTGAAAATTAGATGGAGGAGAGGAGAGGAGAAACAACACACCGGATCAAGACAGCAGAGGGGAAAGGTGATTGGATAAGGGAGAGAAAAAGAAGTAACAGAGATGTTAGTAACCTTGTTAAAATGCAGAGCCACACAGAACCAGCACCAAATTTTTCCTCTGCCCCAGTAAAAGCAGAGCCCAGGTCAGTACAGAGAGTTAAACACACTGTTCCATATAGTCATGCTTTATGGCGCATTGATCTGTTACTGCCTTGCTTTACAGTGAAAATCACGTGTAAAAGTGGAGCAGAGAAACTGGGTTGCCAATCATCAATATAGTAAATGAGCAGCAAGGGACTATCTTTGACCCCATTGGCCCTTCATCACCACAATTTCAAGATTACAGACCACAAAGGTGACAGGGTTAAAAAGCCTTAGAAAAGAAGTGATAAAGGTCTTTACATTCCTCCCTCCATCTCCCACCAGCCCCAAAGTCCAACTCACAAGAAGCATTAAAACGTGCTCTGACATCTCACCTTCCTGCCTCAATCTCACTGACCTATAAAATAGATTACAGATAAGATTTACACAGAAGTTGAGCCACCTTTGACAGTAGAAGAGATGTGCTTCTAGGATTATCAGTTCTCCTATCAGCTCTATGTAGGAACTGATCTGGACTCATCCGTTTTATGAGCTTGGTCTGTCTCCAGGTGATTAAGAAGACCGACCTGACCTGTGCTTATCGGACTGAAGTGACACAGAAACCTTGCTCATAGCCACGTTAGCACATCAGAGCTGCATCATCAATGATGTGTGAGACGTTAAATGAAAAGGACAGCGTGAAAAAAAAAAAGGAAATACAGGGCTTTGTGATTTTCTACTTTAGAACCATGTTTTATACACAGTCATAGCTGGACTAAATCTGCATTTTGAGCTAGTTCTGTAAAAATGATCCTGCATTTACTTTTTAAGTCAAAACATGTTCAGATATTCAAAGATAGAAATACAGTTTTTAACAGGCTGAATCTAGTATGAAGATCACGGCAGTCTCTGTGTTATTCCTGACAACACACAACTGTCTGCTAGGACTGAGGAGGTAATAACAAATACAGTCAAACAAATGTGAAACATGATCAAAGTTGTACATTTTGTCTAACAGGCCTGAGAAATACAGCACTGAGTCCTAACATTAACTATGTCGAGCTCTTCAGAGAACAAATAGACTCTGTTGGGCATCATTGGTGTTGTTTGTCTGTCACTCATCGTACACCTATCAACACAGACACGGTGCTTGATCTGGTTACACTCTGTGTTCGTACTGTTGAAAAACAGCTCAGGGCGGCTTTCACCTTCATTGCATTCAAGTTAAGGCAAGTATCTCATATAGCTACTGTATGTCAAAAACCAAACAAGAGCTGCAACTTAAATGTATTCCTCAATGATATTTTGATATTTTTATCAGGACATTTTCCATTTTTATTGCAAAATAGGATGATCCCCAATTGATTTCTGTGCAGCTTCTTTAGTCAAACCCATAGACTGTATAAAATTAGGGCTGGAAGATCAGCTTTTCTGAGTGAAGTCATAACTTAAAGCCACCGTATAAGTCATGAAGTCTACCTCCTCCACTGAAACAGGTAGAGCATTGGTCAAACTACAAAATAAAATACTGTTAAATACATTTTTATCAAGCATGCTTTTTCTTTTCTAGCACTTAGTTCTTATGCTGAAGTTCAGTTTCAGTGAGCTATTTAAGAGACGGTCGCCTCTGTTGATGGTCGCAGGGCCCTGCAGCGGTCTGTTACAGATTAGCAAAGAAAAGGACAAACAGCAGCAGAAAACGTCAGGGTTAGATCTTTGACATTTTATCAGTTTGATAAATGTATGTTTTGATTGATGGAGGGATGTGACGTTCGCCTTGCAGCTCCACCAGCCAGATATCCTCTGCACATGCCTCGACTCCACCAGTGCAATATGTGTAGTAGTTATGATACATAATGCCAGCGCTTCATGTCTCACAATGGGTGGAGACTGAGTTGTGTTTTCCATTTGATATATGATCAGTTACTCAAATTAAAGTCAAAAAACCCTAACACTGATATTACACCGTGTAAAACTAATTCTTTACATTTGAGAGCTGACTCCAGAGGATTTCTGCCAGTTTTTGTGTTGTTCTAACTACAATGATTTACATCAACCGACACTTCAACCAGAGATCATTAAGGCTTCAGTCAAATTAATAATGTTCCCATTTCTGACAAAAATTAAGTACCAAATAAGGATTTTTGTTACTAAGATGTGATGTGTAATGACATCATATTACAGAGTTACCATGGCAACTGCTTACATGGGATGACACACCAGGCTGTTTACACAAAGCCCCTCAGAAAGATATTTGTTAAAGTTGATGCTATAAATAATGCAGCTGAACTGTGTGACAGGTGTGAGTCAGCATTTTACCTGAGATACACCAACATTTGCTTTGTCTGCATATTGTCACAACATCACTCCTCAAAATGACAAATCCGAGGTAAAAAACATCTGTCTTGAGCTAAGTCCCAGCTTTCTCAAGCGGTGCTTAATCCTCAAAGTTCACGGTGATAGTAGGGGGTTATATCCATACATTGATTTGATTGATTTGGCTGGGAACAGTGCAAGAATTGTAAGTACAGACATGTTTATCCACACACAATCTTTTTCACACAGTCAGTCTGAGTCACAGTCTGTAACTGGGGAAGTGAAGTGGACAAGAAGAGATCCTAAAATAAAAATGGCTAACCCACTGCCCTTTATTTTTGACTATTTTTGCCTCCAAATTGACAAACCGCAGTCTAGTGTGATTACTTCTCTGCAGTCTCTCTGCACTTCTCAATCTCTCTCTTATACACACACAGACTGGACACACAATCGCGCTCTTTCTTCAAATGACACACACTCACAGATCTCTCAAGTACACAGAAAAATGTAATAAGAGACTTGTATTCACTGAGCTTTGAAGCATTTAACTTATTCAATCTAGCAGACACTCCAATGACTAATCAATGGCAAATAAAGATTTGAATGAGGTAAAGAGCAGAGTTTGTCATCCCCAACCGCAGTCATAGGAGGGTTTGACAAGAAATCTGCAATTCCTCAGGTATTGTCAAGATGGAGAGATAATGAATGGATGGATCTGCAGTCGAAAGCCAACTCTGAATCAGTTCGGAGACTACTGCTCAGCTGGGGGCACGACAGGACAGCTCCAGCTGCTGATCATGAGCGCCATGGCAAACAGATGGCAGTTATTTCTGAGTGTGCTAATGCAAGGGAATGTTCCTACAGCCCTCAGCACCGTTAGAAGTAGTTCACACATTCAGGACCTGCAGACAGATGACATTCATGTAAAACGTCTCAATGAGAAGTGACGGGGTGAGTTCGGATGAGAACAACAAGACGACTGTGGCACCAGTGAAAGACCTTTAGTAGCAGTGTGTGAATAGGCCTTAAATCTAGCATGTAATGTGTGATGCTAACAGCCAGAGTGAACAACAAGAGACTTGTTGCTTCTATTCAGGCTCTAGAGGGAAAAGTGGCCAGTGAGGTCAGTACAATGTCTCTGCCTGGGGACCAGCTCTTCACTGTTTTACACTGCAGAGTAAATCTGTTTACTGACTCAGTTTATGAGATTTAGGGTTTGCACATTTTCTTTTCATGGTTCTTGCTTTTTTAACCTTGGGTGGACAGCAAGAAACTGTGGCATCAGTGTTGTGAAGGAATGATTGGCAAAGTAATTCATAACTAATCTGATCGAATTCCAGTTTTTCAATAAGAAGAAAAACTTAAAATGAGCTCTTTCTGGAGGGAAAGGCTTTCTGAAATCATATCTCAACACACGGTCTTGTTTTTAACATTTGGTCTACATGTTTGAAATACTTCAGAGATTCTGTGGATTTTGGATACTTTGATAAAACACACTAAGGTGTAAATGAGTAACTACTTTAACACTGATGACTTTGTAGACTTTAAATGGGTTTATTTCTGGTTCTAATCTAACAGGGTTTGTGGACAATGACAGAACATCAGCTTTTCTCACTTTCTTATAAACTTCATATTAAACTTTGGAGGCTGCCACATGTTAAATAAAGGTTTTGTATATTCTGAGGTTAAAAATGATGAACAATGATGTCACAACTTCATTTCTCAACTTTTACAGTGTAACAGCAGATTAGTCTATAAACACTTAATCTGCCAGCCAGTGAATCTAGATTAAGAAAAAATAAGTCCCCACACCAAAGTCTCTGAAATAACTATTCAATGATTTATCAATTACTCACATATCTAAACTTTGTCCAATCAAAATGTTTCCTTTTCAAGGAGATAGTCGACAGATGTTTTTTTTTTACAAATTAAATTCTTTTGTGTTCATTCCAGATTATCATGGGTCAAGATGTCAACTCTGAGGATCTGGGACAAATCTGGGTTTATGAACATCAACTGAGACAAGGTCTGTGCCATCTTTTACTGAGGGGCCAAGAGACTGCTTCTATTAATATTTTAATATTAATATTTTTCTGTATGTACTTTGTGGATCAGATATGGGCTGACTAGTCTTTGTATTGTTGTTTTTGCCATTTTATGTTGTTTAATGTCCCTCGCCTCCACATCCCGAGTGGTCTCATGCTATCTGAGCTCTTGTTCTCATTAGCTACGTTTACATGGAGCCAAATTTTCCGAATATAATCGGATTAGAAGCCCAATCGGAATGAAAATGCTCCATATAAACACCTCATTCGGAATAAACAGGCCCATTCCGAATGGAATTTCATTCCGATTCACAGGGGTAGAATATTCCTTTTCCCATTCCGATTAAAAGCAAAATCCTGTCATGTAAACGGTGAATCGGAAAGTTGTCAGGCTGGGTTCTGTCTGCGCATGCTCTGTCCTGATGTAAACAAGCAGTGACGTATGACTCACATGGAAACATGATGGCGGCTTCCAAGCAGAGCACGATGCACTGGTCTGCGTCGGAGATCACGTGATCAATCAATCACGTGATCAATCAATCACGTGATGTTTGAAGGTATCACGTGTCTGTAAATAGCTGTTCCGATTGAATGCCGTGGCACATGTAAACACCAGATCAGAATAGATCGCTTCCATGTAAACAGTTCGCCTGGGAGCTTCAATCGAAATGATTATAATCCGAATGAGAAAAAAGTCTGCATGTAAACGTGGCTAATGTAGCGTAGACTGTGATATGCCATCTGAATTAAAGCACCGACTATCCTCAAATAGCAATCTCAGAGTTTGTTCTTGGATCAAGGTGATCCAAACTGACACTGCTTAAAAAAACCTTCTCCGAGGTAAAATAAAGTAGCTGATCCAGGAAGGCAAAGGTTTTCAAATCTCCATCATTCTGATTCTCATTAAATTTCAAACTGAGATTAATATTACATCTCAGGGTATGATGCCACCACAGCGCAAACACACACACACACACACACACCGAACCCCTACAACCCTGCACACAATAAACATGAACCTTCCTCGCTTCTATTGACCTAATTTACTGACAACACAGAGCGACCCATGAAAAATTGATAACATCACTTGCTCCCTCTGCAATCTTCTGCATTTCATCAGTTATGTCTGGTAGGATGGGACTCCTAACTGGGAGAGGGGAATAGGGGAAGGAAAAAGTGCAACACTTGCCCAGTTCTGAGTCCAAACACGTTAAAGAATCTTATAAAAAATAGAGTGAAGCTGTTGTTCAATATCATTTGATCTTCCTATTTACTGGCCGAAAAATGCAGCCTTGTACTTAAGACAAAGGTGAATGGCAGATGTTAAAAGCTACACCTAAGAAAACCTTCCTGTAACTTTACAGGAACAGTTAAGATTTTTGAAATGGGGTTGTATGGGCTACTTATCAATAGCTTAATATACTATGCACAAAGGATATCAGTCATGGCTCCTGTTATGAGAAGCAGCAGAAGGGTCCTCTATAAAGACTAAGCTGTTTACTTTGTGCCATGACTTTTACTTAGTTAGGGGAGTCTTACTTTAAAAAGCCTGTTCCCTTGTTTCAACGTCCAACACCTCTGCATGCTGGGTTTGATATCGGATAAGTGTTTAAGTTAGTGGTTCCTAAGAGACACCACCTAAAATCACACATCATTACTGAAAAAAGAGAGTGAACGTGAAAACATAGAGTAATGCTTGACAAAACACTATCCTGTTGTCCCCATCATGAATGACATTTCATCACGTCCATAAAGTCTGTGGTTTCTGTGGCCCGATCAGTACATAGCTTGACTTGCATGTAGGGACTCAGTCAGGTTTCTCCTAACAGGAGTTGTGCTCGCTGTTATCTATTACACACAGTGCTGTTGACAATTGAAAAGAACCTTAAACAACCTCACTTGAAAACAAGTCCTTATGAAGTCTTATTCTTCATGAAGGTGGTAACCTGATGGATGTACCTAAAAAGCCTGGTCAGTGTCTTACCATGTGGCTCTGCTGTGACTGGGTGGCGCCATACATAGTGATGCCATTGGTTGGTGGCGCCATCTGCGGTGTGTCTGATTGGACATAGCCCCGTCTATCGATAAGACTAACAAGAGAGAGACAAAGGAAAGGAGAAGTGCATTAGGGAATTCCATCAATCCATAATCATTACAAAGAAAAATGAGCAGATTAAATACAGAAGAGCAGGTTCATCAAGTCGATTGTTTCAAGCTTTAACGCGCAGATGTATGAATGAATCAGTCAGTCAGTCACTTTGGCTGACTGTTACAGTCAGCCAAATGGTCAGATGACCTTGTGTCAGCAGCACCACTCTGTTAATGATAAGAAACAAAAGCAGTTTGTGTAAAAGGATGAGTACTGTGTTGTGTACAGGCCTCAACATTTAAGTCTCAACACTCCAAACACACACACACAAGATCACACTCACACACACACCTCCTCACATGCAAAGCACTCGCTAATAAATCAGTAAGGTCCTGCAGTGGAGCACTGAAGTGAATCATTGTTTCTGTCCTGCTGTTAATGCTGCAGAACTCTGACACAGCTGGTTAGCCGACAACCTGCTGAACCCTTGTTACGTAGGCGCACATGCGTGCAGTCATGAGCCAGATGTATGTGATAATAGCTATTTGTCTGCAAGACAGAGTTTGATCTGACACAAAGAAAGCTTCACAGCACGCACACACACTCACACAAACAGCTGTGGTGTTAAACAGCACAAGCAGGGTAATCATTTAACGCAGAGTGTGTTGACAGTGTGTTCCTGTGGGACTGAGCTGGATTCAGGTGGTAATAGTTTGTTGGAATCACACAGACAAACTGCAGCAACCTACAGCAGTGGCTTTTGTTGCTGGTAATGAATACCGGAACGTCTGCAAATGCGGCTGGGAGGAAATGAGCGTTTAAAAAAAGGATGATGCATTAGAAAATGTGAGTCAGAGTCTCAGCGGGGAATAAAATGCAAAAGGGCTTTGTCTCTGTGCCTGTTGGTGTAAGAGAATTTCATGCATAGTCTGGGGCTGAGGTGAAGCATTCCTCTTTTTACTGGTGGATCCACTTATACAATGCCACAAACACACAAGCCCAGATGGCAGCCACCTGTGCACCGAGGACTGTCTTTGCCACCCACTGGAATCATCATCACTGACTTATGTTATATGACAGCCAGCTACACTGACAGTACAACTTGTGTGTGCCAAAACCTTACTTGTGTGATTTTTCAACTACTTTTCTGCTTAAACTTACCAGTCAAAAAAGTGCAAAGCAGACAGTAAAGGTAAAGGCTCAAAGTTCCCTGGGATTGAGAGATGTGGGTGATGACTTTAAGTACCACTGAGAGGGTTATATCCTTTAAGTGGAACAGTGGTCGGGAAAGATAAGAACAGATAGTGGGTATCTGAGTCCAGCATGAACATACTTCTAACCATGACGAAAGAAAGGAAAGAGCTGTGTAATGAGAGGAAATCAGACCTGCAGTTTCATGCTTACATAATGAGAATTTTCACTTTAAAGTATTGAAGTAAAAGTAGCCGGGATGTATGCAATATGTACTGAAATAACAGTCACGTGCATGAAATGTAGCTGTGACAGTCCACCAATATTTCAGATTTTCACATGGACAATTTAAGTGTGAATTCTACTAAATGAAGCCGACTTTGATCCTTGATTTGCTCAAAGCGGCTACTTTTGCTATATCATAGTCGCGGAGTGTTCAAGGAAGGCTTCAGGCAGGCTCATTTTCCTGTTACAGTGGGGAGGGGTTTGGAGTGGGGGAAGAGTTAGATGGTGAGGCCTCTTGAAGGGAATGTGAAAAACTACAGAATGAGTTTTCTCAGACCAGTTAACAAGCAGATTTTTATGTCACGATCGGGGCATCTTTACTACATGTCGTACCTCGGTGGCAGGGGTCCACACAGAGCTGCGCAGCAGTTGGTGAATATATTGCCATGACTGTACGGGTTGTAGTTGTCCTTCCCTCTTTTAGAAGACCAGGACCCTTTTATCTGGAAGAGACCACTAAAACATTAGTCCTGGCTCAGCTTCATAATGACAGACATCAGACGTCAGTGTGTAACACTTAAATCATATCCTACTATTTTCAGTGACAAATGCTGCTGACAAAAAAGACAAACTTAAACAGAAAAAATGCTCCTTTTTCTCCACATCAGGAACTAAGATATCCTGAGCTCAGGGTTCTCATGCAAGTATTGGAAGTATGAAGATAAATTTGATTAATTTCCAGGTCTTAAAAAGAATGAAAAATTAAGTATGGAAAAATAAAAGATATTTCCAGACTATTACCACAGTTCTAAAATACTGTTTTATAAAATAGAAAAGGAGGTATTTCCAAAAATAATTCTAAAAAGTAGGATATTGAAAAGTATGAAAATTCCAACTGTGTAGGAACCCTGTGAACTGGCATTTTAGTACATAGTTCAAAAGATAGTAGGGGAGACTGGGGATTGTTGTCACACTTTTTACACTTTTATAAATTTCTTGGAATCAATACATCACATATAAACAAAATGTGTACCAGATGAAAGACCAAAGTCTCAGGTATATATTTTGTATTCATGTCATTTTCATATCTTGTGTCAGTGCAGAGTTATAAGCAATCAAATAGAGAGTGTAAACATGTGGCATGTTGCCCAACCATCGGGTAAGTTGTCTCACTACATGGGGTGAGATGTTACAGTGGATTTTGCCCCAAACTACCATGTCTGCTTATTCTAGCTCTAGCTTAAAATTAGCTTAAAACAGAACAATGACTGAGGTATAAGAGGATGCCTTAATCTCTCCTCTAACAAGTCCACATGTATCACTGCTAGGATTTTTATCTGTAAGACGCTTATTTTAAAATATATAAAGTTAAATTTTTTTACTTTGGGTTGTGCAAAATGGTTAATTGGAGCTCATCTCAGCTCACAATGTGCTTTTCTCTTCTCAGACCCACACGGCCCCTGACCATGTAAAGGAAGAAAACTAGTATTCCACTTTTTGGTTACACCCTCTGGCAGCAAAGATAATTGCAATATGACACCTTCAGCATGTGACAACAAGTCCCGGTCTCCCGTACAGTATAATTAATCACATTATGACACAAACGGTGTGTGTGAGCGCCAGGAAATCTCTATTCTTCACTAAGAGGCTGCCAGGGTTTTGAAGCGTCGACTTTAGGAGATTGCATATGCAGCATAATGATGTCCATTTTGTGTTTGTTCATACTCACATCTTCATTGGTGGTCTGGTTGGAGCTGATCAGGTAAGTATGGAAGCCTGAAAGGCCCACTATAGACCAGACAGAGAAGAAACACACCACCACCTCTAGCACAGTGACAAAATTAAGTCAAGGAGTAATTAATGGTTCTTTTTTTTTTACACAGATTTGAATATATGTGAAAAAATGAAATGAAAGCAACAAAATTGTGAAATCAAATCTGACACATAAGCATGAACCCATTTAGAGCCCCGGTAGACAAAAACGGTACAAGCTGTAACAGCTAGCATATTGACCTACACCCTAAGGCTTGTCCTCTGCTTGCCAATAGTTCCTAGTTACCAGTTCATTTGGCTGGCAATGCAAAACACTGCTCATTTTCTCTGCTCCACATAAAGCACCAAACACAGACACTGTCCTACATGAATCTCTCTGTCTTTATTCAAATGAAACCTCAGTGACTCATAACGGTATCGTAGGAAACCGTCACTGAGATCATGTCTTATTCATGAAATAAGACCTGCAAATACCCAGACACTACAGACGCACGACTGAGAGTACATTTAAGAAAAAAAAATTAATTACTTAGAGGGCTCGTTAAATATTACTTGCGAGTGGCTGAGAGGCATCTATTTAACTGTGCTGAAAATAACAACCAAACACCATTGAAAATCCCAGTTCTCTCTCCTCCAAACTTCTTCCTCTTTAGAAAAGGACAAAACATGTCATCATTCACCTAGCACAAAGGACTGCTCCGATGCTATCGACACCAATTCTCTTTTATTAAAGTCCTGTAGGACACAGGCTGTTATCAGCTTGGCTTTGCACACTTCTCTCTGCCAGAGAAACAGTTATCTCACCCGGTCGTAAAGAGAAGGGCAGAGTGAGAGAGAGAGAGTGAGAGAGAGAGCAGTGTCATAGCCTGGTGCTCTCGACTTGATTTGTGGCTTAAAAGTAACAGTGGGTATCTTTTAGATTTCATCACTTCAAACTTTGTCAATTCTGTAAATGATCATATTTTTAATACCTTTTAAAAATTCTGTTTAATTTGAATACATAAATAACATCTTTGTCTTTAGAGGAGTTAAGCTACACCGTCAAAAGTTTCGGATAAAAGATCAAAGAAATCTTACAGTCTGTTGAGAAGTTGACAAAAAAATCTGACTCTTGCACTCTCTTTACTGCCTTGGGTTTATCCAGCTAAAAGCTAAAAAAAACGTCAAACTTCACTCTACTGGGAGGTCAAATTGAAGCGTTTGGCTTGTATGGATTAACCACAGTCCACATGATTATCACTGATGTTATGTTGAGACAATAAGCTGACTTAGAGGGTATTTGTAACAGCTGTAGCTTAAGACGTCTTGCACACACTTGGCATCGACCACACCAGTATAAAATCTAGTTCACACAACATCTCTGAAGGGAGAGCGAAGCCAAGTCGGAGCCAGATGAAATCAAAGAGCAAATGAATCAATCGGCGAGAGACAGATTGAGGGGTTGCCTTTGCGTGCTGCATTAGCCTGATGGAACAGGACCCATCTGACACACAGCAGTTGTGCAAAGAGTGAAACTGCGGAGAACTGCAGGAACATGGTATGGAATTGCTTCACAGAGGCACGTCATGGTAATGAAATCAAACCTATATTATGAACTTGGTTGGGGAAGTTGGTGTGAAATAAGTTATAATACATTTGACTCCAAGGAGATGTAAAAGATGTTTTTTTTTTTCTATCCATCCAACTCTTCCTTTTTGCATCTCCTTTTATTCTTTTTTTCAAAGCCCAAAATGACTACTTCACATTATTCTGGTTCTGGCGGTCAAAAGAGAGTTTTTCATTGTTATTTTAACTAGCTAAATGTTGCAAAGAGTTCTGCTCATGGTGAGTTAAGATAGTATCTGATTAAATCTCAGGGTAGAAGGTTGGAGTTTTGATAAACAAGAAGGGGATAAGGTGGTCTAGACCTAAAGATTGATTGACACACAACAACAAAATCTGATTTCACAGACACAAACATTTGACAGTGAGTGGCTAAAGCCTGATTTCAGTGAAAGGATATCTGGCAGGGCTGTCTTTTAGTGCGTTGAGGAACCCGCTCTGATGAGAACCTGTAGATGTGAGAGAAATGAGACAGTATCAGTAAGACCACAAAACAACAGGGATCAATATTCTTTTTTTTTTTTTTTCAAATTTATGGATAAATGCTAACTCCTCTACTTAGACTGTAGAAAGACTGACGCTGCAGAGTTGATTGCTTAGGCTATGATAGATTAATGCTCACATTTTACACATTTTAAAAGTGAGAACAAAAATTCTTCAGATCATCCTGTTTTTATGTGATGAGGTTCATACTAAGTTTATATAAAAATTTTACTATTATGCAATTTAAAATGCAGATTACAACATATTACACTCAGTTTCACAATACATTGCAATATATTGAGTTGTAGCAAACTGTTTTTTCTGCCAAAGATAGAGGAGACAACAATGTCACTGAACTTGGCAGATTTAGTCACCTGAAATGTCTCTATGGTCCGGTTTGCATATTCCTTAACCTTTACTTTTAACACCTGTCATAAATCCACATTTGGATATAAAGAAACAATGGTACGTTTTTTAAGTTAAAGTTTACAAATATTAAGATTTTAGCATCTACAACGCTTAAGGACAGAAACTTTCATTGATGTGAAGCTGAACTGTTCATCTTTGTACTATGTTTCCAATGTGAGCTTGTAAAGTGGATGGATTACTCATCTACTGGGATGTTCTCGAACTTGATTTGAGACTACGAATGACAGATTTTAACCCGCAGTGATGCCAAATCTGACAGCATTAGATTCACAATTACCATCAAAAAGAGGACAGGCTTGTTGTAAAAAAGATTAAATCACGATTCAGCGCTACAATTTTCTAGCACTTATTGTTGTCCCACATTTTATTCCCAGCAAAACATTGATCCACTGAGTGCCATTTACACAAACTCACAGAGAAGCACACCCACTGAAGGGGAGCCCAACAGACCACTGCAGGCTCCCAGCTGGAAAGATGGTAACAAGCCAGAATGCTGCAGCTTTTCACAACGCCCACTTACAACCTGCTGGCTCTAAACACATGAAGAGCACAGCCAGGAAGCAAGGAGTGTGTGTGTATGTGTGTGTGTGAATGTATGTGTGCCCGGGCCATGCACCATTCCTGAGGACGTATTCTTTTTTACCCCGACACTCAAGTACTTACGTAAAATGATGTGTGTGATGACAAAGGCAAAGATGAAGATGGTGAGGAAAGAGAGGGAGAGGATGAACATGTAGAAGAAACGGTAGTTCCTCCTTCCCACGCAGTTCCCCACCCAGGGACAGTGGTGGTCAAAACGTTCTGCATGGATGAAAGGAGACAGACAGACAGAGGGGAGTAAGGATAGTTCTTATATACGGACAAACCTCCATGTCTTTTCCTGAGTGTATACACAAGCAGATCAGGTTTCTTTCTATGCATCCGTCATGTTCTTTGGAGGACATCTATTGTACCAAAGGACATCTTTACCAACGAAAACGTTTTCTCAGTTCATGTTAACCTCACAAATGTGGAGCGGTGGGAAGTACAGGGAAATGAGAAGTGCCCCTTTGGGTCTTGGTATAATAACATACAAATATTTCACATAGTGTGAAGGGGCTATTTATATGAGCCTGTTCAAGTCTGCCCAACATGACTGTGTATGGCTGAAAAATTCCCACTGTCACTGTGAGACTGCGCAAGGTTGAGAGGGTTAGAGAAACTTTCCTCGGGGTTGACAGATAAAGTACCTCCAGTATGAACTCAGTTTGAGAATATCTGAAGATGTTTGGGGATTAAAAGGGATTTAAAAAAGGGTTGGAGACAAGAGAAAGTGTTGCCTATAGTTTTCCTGCTCAGGCCATGGAACTACGGGGGGCTTTCCCAGTATGTTAACACAAACATCAGCTACTTTAGTGCAGAGGAGGCAACTTGCTGTGCACAGCGGGATCAACTTAACTAATTAATCAGAACAATTATTTGTTAAGTGGGGTGAATTGACCTGCTTTTGTCTCCATTAATCAATACCTGGTCAAAGTGTGTCCACTCAGCCAGGATGTAAGGGGGAAGTTTTTTTTTTTTTACTCATTTACAATCATTGCAGCAGTTCCTATGTTCATGAGCATGAAATAAACAAAACCCACAGGAGAGGAGAAGAGAGAGTTATATTCTCTCTTTCTCTGTGTATTTAGTCACAGCTATCCTCATTGTATCAAAGTAGAGATGAGTGCACACTCAGCTTCAGCCTGTTTATAACTGGAACACCTGTGAACGTGTTTCATAGCTGGCAATCGCTTTACAGTGTCATGATGATCCACCTTGTACAGTTTTACTACATCCAAAAGCTGTAAATCACAACAATAACAAACAGACTGATACCTTCTTATTTAAACTGTTTTCTTTTCTACTCATGGAGCCACTAAAGCTTTATCTTATGTAATCTCACTGAGCACATCATTAGAGTTAGGAGCAGCAGAAGAGGGGCATTACAGCATCATGGCTGTAGCCCTTAAAGGGGAGCTGTTATTTTTTTAACCTGGGCTCTTTATGGTTCAATACTGAAATCTGTTCAGTATTAAGGGAAAGTGGAACAGCCAACAGCTGTGGAATGCGATCGTCCACTACAAGTGCTTTATTTACCCATCTAAGACTCCCATTGTTATTACCAATCCTCTGACGTGGTCGCACAGTCAGAGGATAGTATCACCCCCAGACACATCAACACCCCTGATGTTAGGCACCAACAGGTCCCACTCATCACAACACAGTTGCTGTAATCTGGCAGTCTGCGCACCAGTGTGTCAGTAAAATAAAGGCCAAGCTGTGGCTGGAGCTCCATTTTTTGATGGGAGCTCTAGTATTTTCTCATTTAGTGTGTACAATTTGGCGAACCCAGATTACTAGCCTGCAAAATGGATGATCGAGATGAGATTGGCTTAAACTGCAGATTCCTGATCAATCAGAAAGTTCACCTTTGATCAAACCGTTGAGATCACCATGGGGGCATTTTTTGTAAATATATAAATAATTAATTTAATGGACTATTAACTCTGGTGTTATTTAGTGGGAGTTATGACATTTAATTGTTTTGTGGACTAAACATGCACATCCCTAAAGGCAAATGGAGGCAGCCTCTGAGTTTGTTTGTGTATCATACTGTATATCCGAGCTCCTATGAGCTTCTTCTCCCTGAGGGAAAAAGCGTTTTAATAGGAACTCTACTGCTATGCTCTGCATCCACCGGGGAGTCCCTATCTATTCTGACCACTGACTTATTTAAAAGCTTGTTAGCCCCCTGGCGTTTACAGCACCAGGGAGGGTGGACGAGACCTTAAAACAGGGAAGGTAACCACATCACTATTTTTTTCAACCTGAATTAATGTTACAAAAAAGAAAAAACGAATTCATGAACAAGGCCAGTAAAATGTTCTAATTTATGTGCACGTTGGTCCTTTGCTCCAGGCTATGATCCGACTCCCTGCATTGTCATTCAAACACTAAACTCTGAATCCTGACTCAGGGTTTCATTCAGAGTATCTGGATCTAAGCCGGTTGGAGACCTGGAGCTTTGAGAGCAAAGAAAGAAAAAGTTACTCCAATCGCTTGAGTTCATCCCTCCCATTCACCTTCAGCACATACAAAACAACTATATATCTGTTTCTCTCTTTTCTCCCATCTACGGCACACAACAATCTTAGCATGGCTGAGGATTTGGGTTTAATATTAACTCAAGAACAGCCCCTGTTCTGGTTTAAATCTTTCACTCATTTACTTAATCTTGTTTTGTTTGGGGCAGGATATCTATTGAAGTGAATTTAATTCAAAAGAAGCCTCACCCTCTTCGATTCAGAAATTTACAATCCACTTCAAGTATGAGTCAATCTTTGTGTTTTTGAAAAACAAGGTCTGTGAGAAATGCTGCCCTCCCATCCGTCTGTTCAACTGCCTGTCTGTCTTCTATCCTGCTAAGGGGCATCTTCCTCATCTGATTACCCTCTCCTCATCTTGTTGCCTGTTTACTACTTCCTAATCTCCTTCCCCAGGGGTTTCAGTTTGCCTCACTTCTAAAAAAAAAAAAAAAGAAACAGACTCTCAAAGAAGGAGTTGGCTTTGATGAGTGAGCAGCACAAAAACCCTGATGAGGAAGATGCCGACTTACAGGTCTCTGTATCTTTAACTCTATCTTTCCGTAATTGCCTTCCTATTCACTTCGCTTTGTCTCCAGAGATAGGGAATGTGGTTGCAAAGAGAAGCTCCAGATTAAGCTGCTTTTCTTTCTTTTTTTTTTTCTTATTGTAAGAATTTCCTCTTCCTCCTTTGTATAGATGCCAACTCCTGGGGGTATGTATGCTGGAAACCCCTTGAAGGTAGAAGTAGGCATCATAAAGTAAACATTGAACTTGGATTGTGGTCTCAAACAGGTTTTTGCATGAGCCTGAATTATGTGTACAAACTTGTGCTTGTGTATGGTCCTGTGTGGGTGAGGGGTTAAGAGATAGTTCTGTTAGCAGCAGTCGACACCCCCTAAAATATTCTTGGATTCTCTCAAAAGGCCTCAGACTGAAGCATCTGACAGCTGCTCTGGTTTGTAAAGACATTTTGTTAAGATAAAAATAGAAACAGAAGACCTGAACAAACTATGAACTGGGCGGAAGATGGCTTTGATTTTGGTTTCCACTATTTGTATTTGTTACACTGCTGTCTATAAATAATTGTGGCTAAAATAAGACTCCTGACAGATGAAGCAGCCAAAAAAAATACAAACACAGAGAGACTTTCATTCTCACTCACCCACACAGTTGTCACAGAGACTGCAGTGGGAGGCACGAGGTGGTCTGAAGATCTTGCAGGTGAAGCAATACTTCAGTTTTACTGTCTGACCATTGATGACCACCTCTTTGGTCCTGGGAGGAGGCCTGTAGCCCGTGCTGCCGTTAGCAACATCTGGGGGGAAAAAAGTGGGAAAAACATGATCAATGGCTGTTATGGAAAAAAAGACAAACTTCTTGAACTTTTTGACTACAAAGTGTTTTCTCCGAGCTTCACTGGGGACCAGATACACTCTCAAATACAGGACTGCGTGACTGTGCTGTGTCTGAACATTTGAGCAAAGATCCTCATCGGATTCACAGTACAAAGCAATGAAATAAGGCTACAATGTCATCTCACTGATGAGGTCCTTTTTTGGTTTCTTTGTTTGTGTTTATCTGCAGAGAAATGCATGTGTGAGATCTGACCATAGACTGTAAAATAAAACACATGGGCACAGTGTCACTTGTATCTGAAGCAGTGTTTTGAAAGGCTGTAATCAACCAAGGAAATTCTTGGTTGACTAAACCCCTGAAAATTTTGATCAAAAATCGGCTAATCGGGGGACTTCTGACTCTGATGGCAAACCCTTCTGAGATGACACGGCTCTGCAATAGCCGGTGGGTTGGGCGAATCCAAAATGGTAAAAACAAAGGGGGTGTTCTGAGACAGACTGTTGCCTGTGAAACGGGGGTGCTCTGATAACACCCCCATTAGCACTTGGTATGTTCCTCCTAATGAAATTGACCATAGACTGTGAATTGATGTGGTAAAAAAATGAGTCGACCGATCAGAATTTTGGTTGACTCAGCCACACATCGACATGTCAACAGCTCTAGTGTTTTGAAGCCTATCAGAGGCAGTTGACAAATTGGGAATGTTGCTTTACTTTTCTCTCAGTGGACCTCATCAAGAAGAGGAGTTGGCCTCCTTGCTAGCAGCTACTGTGTGCCCACCTGTCAGTCAAACCAGCTGTACTATTATGCAAAACTTATAATCTTAATATCTTCAAACTTCATGTATTAGTAAAATTCGGAACATATGAACAAGAGTTTGTAATTCAACGTATACTTAGTACTTTGATCCTCAGACTATCATATGAAAAAGAAACTGCTCTGAACGGCTTTTGCTGAAGTAAGACAGCTGTGATAACAGGCTAAATGCCGAGGATGAGAGCAATGATAGTGATTTTCGAGCCATAAAAGGTAGAGCATGAATCCCATTATTGCTCTGCTCGCTTCGAGCACTCTCACACACTCTGAGAAGGGGAGATATTGTGTGTAGGAAGATCATTTTGAGATCATTTACGCAGAAGCCTGTAGCCATGCTAACAAAGTGTAATGCATGTGTTAGCAGGGGGACTGTACGGGGGACTGAGGGGCTTGTGTGGGTGTTTGACATTTTGAAAAAAGAGCAGAGGAAAAGCAGCCGCAGAGTTTTGTTCCATTGAAATTGTCTCTATTGTGATCAATGTCACAGAGTGCTCTCCTCCTCTCTCCTCCACACTCCCTCCGCTCCTCTCCTCCCTCTGGAGACGACAAACGAACAGAGGGTGAGAACAGTTCAGACTACAACAAAGGTTTCACCATGAAGGTATTTAGAGAGCAGGAAAATCTCAGAACCTCTCAGGTACATAAAAAAGGACTTAAGTAAAGCCTTCCATTTGTGCTATATTTTATATCTTATTTTATCCTGCTGTACCACAGGTGATCATCAGACGCTGCTTAATGAGTTGTAGGGCTGGGCGATAAACCAAATATTTATACCGAATACAGAAGATATCAAAACTTACGACATAACCAACGCCATTTAGCCCATATCGGTATAATCAGTGCCAAAAAAATAAATAAAAAAAAGTTGGTTTTGGATGTGTGTAGGTAGGCTATAATCTCATGTCCCTTTAAAACACTGTCCTACGTCGGAGACGTGACTCCACCCCATCCAGTCTGGAACAAAAAGGGAAAGACAGGTAAGGAGATGGAGGACGGTTCAAAAGTTGTAGCAGCTGAAGTAGATGAAGTTAATGTGGGACAGGGTGAGCAGCTTGTGGAGTAGTTATCGTCCATTTCTCGTTATCGAGGTGAACCGCTTGATATATCGTGATATTGATTTGAGGCCATATTGCCCAGCCCTAATGAGTTGTGCTAGCTACTTTACGTAACATAGATTTTGGTCATTTCACCTTCATTAGAAAGGACAGTTTAAGAGAGGTAGGTATATTGAGGAGGAGTGAACACTAACTGCTGTGTCCAGTTTCTCTGAATCTGAGGAGCACAGAAGCAAACCATCTGAGATGAACTGGGCTGCTGCTGCTCCAAGACAACAACATCTTTTGCATTGGTTTATGTTTTTAGAGAGTAGGAAAACTTTTCACAAGTAGAGACTTTATTATTATTATTTTTTTCCAGACAGAACTTCTGCAGTCTCAGTGCTTCTTCATAAAGAATGCATGATCAGTCCTACAAAATTGCAAGTATGTATCTGTTTGCAGCCTGTACTTCAACAAAAATGCAGTTTTTCTGTGTACAACCTTGTAAACTCACCGTGGTCACACCTTGTGGAAGCTTTATCAACATCCACTACACTTTTTCAGAGATGCCTGCGGTGAAGCAGCAGTTGAGCGGGGGTGTCAAAGTAGCTTTTCTGCTCAACAAGGACATTTGTACACTGCCATCCAGGCAGTTAAAGCTCAGCATTACATCAGTGTCTAGTGGGAGATCCCTCTGAGAGATTAGCCTGGCCTAAGGACTTGAAGCTAGAATATAAGGCCAAGTAGACCAGGGAGTGATGTGGTAGAGAGTGTAGACAGCAGACACACATACACTAGAAACGAGATGAGCCTCAATGTCAGCCAAATTTTGCTAAGTGTTGCCTGGTGAGGTATAAATGGAAACTAATTGCTACCCTGCTGCGGATGTGAAGGAGAGAAAACCGCAGCCTTTACCTTCACAGATGAAAAGGTGAACCCGAATATAATGATGATGACTAACATACTCAAGCACTGACCCCAACCTGCCTGCCAAAAAGCAGAGAGGCAGAAGCACATCCTGTGAAGTCAAGCAGCGTTTTCAAGGACTCACAAAAAAAAAACAGCCCAGCAGATTTAAACCATGGTTTCCAGCATTGTGTTGCAATTTCAAACTCAACCCAAAAAATGAAATGTACCGAGTGAAACAGTAATTTTCTGAGTTTGAATATTGAATATTTGATAGGCTCGCTCTTTCCAAACACCAGAAGACTGTCAGTCAGTTCTGTAAAACCAACAGAATTCAGACATATGCTGCAATGTGATCTCTTTACCCCAATAAATAAACAAACAGTAAAAAATAAAGCAGTTATTCTCCGATAGGGATGGTGTGAAAGAGTTTTACTTTCACTGATGGTGGTCTAATCTAGAAATAAATAGATACATACATTAGGGATGTCCCGATCTGAAATTGATACGGGATATCAGTCTGAGATCAGCAGAAAACCGAATATCTAATTATATCGGCCTGCATCTATAATTTACAATATCAGGATTCCGATGAAAGCAGTCCATTCCAGATGCTGCTCCACGCTTCTATCTAACAGCGATCACAGCAACGGTGTGAATTACGGTACTAACAAAGTAGAAAGGATTAGGAGTGATGTCGGCCATATGGCAGTATTTTTGTTTAAGTCAGAAAAGACATTTCAGCTGAGTGCAACACTTGTCATGCATAATTTTGAGCGAATATCGAGTCAATATCTGTATCGGCTAATACTGAAGGCTACAATATCGGTTCCATATCAGAAGTAAAAAAGTTGTATCAGGACACCCCTAATATACATTAATACAAACACAGTGACCGTTAAGAGCTGGGAGATTGGTTAAGACAGACGACTGGTTTGAACAATCAAGCCTGGTTATTGGCTTAATTAAGCAAAATGAAGTCAGAAGATTTGAGGGAGTAATTCTGGAGTTATGTGACTGTAAACAGGTATAGCTTGGAAAAACTGTTGAAGACGATAACAGAAAAAGATTTTCCTGTCAACTTGGTAGAAAATCAAGATTACACCCGTTATAAGTTTGTAAAGTGAATGTTTTCTGAATTGAAGCTCAGCAGCAAAAACTGTTCGGCCATGTTGAACAGGAGAAAATCGAAAGAGAGGATCGTCTTTTTAGTCTCCAGCATAAAGACACACAGTCTGATGAGGCTTTTTAACAATGTTTTTACAATAAAAGCTTGGTGGAGATTCTCTCAAATCAGTGCCAGTGTGTGGGATTTCTGGTTAGTTGCGGCGCCCGCCTGTTTTTAATTTGGTTCTCTGCTGAAATTTTAATGTGGCCATGGCACTTAACGTCAGTATTGACTGAAAGCATCTGCAAAACACTTCGCTATGAAGTTTCCTCTAATGTTTGTGTTAATAAATCATTCCAACTTTATAAGAAAACATTACCTTGTAGACTTTGTAGAGTTTGTATGAGTCAAATTTCCAACTTTGCACTTGTAACGTATTTCTGAATTACAAATGCAACCATGGGGAGCAATAAAAAAGATGATCACAACACAGCTGTACAAAAGTCACAGACAAAAAACAAATGCAGTGCTTACTTCTTTCTAATTCACACACACAAAAATAAATCTTTGACCTATTATCTACTCACAACAATGACTTAATCTTTCGCTGAATGTCCTCTGCGTTAGACTCCGGCAACTCCGTACTAAACTGACAAAGACCTTGACCGAGTCCGTGAGGGATCAGTTCAATAGTCTGGATACAGAAATGTGACATCTGTCTGCATGAAAGATGACAAGCGGAGGCTCAACCAGGTTTTGGATGACGCTAAAATGTGTCAGCAGAGTGCAGAGAAGCAAAACAGCTGCTGCTTCACCTTGGACTTCTGACGGGATAATGAGGCCATAAAAAACACACTCTCTTTCTCTCTCTCTCTCTCACACACACACACGCACATGGGAAAAGAACATAAGCAGAGAAAGACTTTCAGACAATTATTTGATGAAACAATAACTGGTGATACGTTCCCTGTTTCCTAATATGATCCATCTACAACAGAACACAGTCCTTCCTGTTTCAAACCCTCTGAAGATCGTGAACATGAAAGATGTGTGTGAAGGGGAGGGAACGATGGCGACTCAAAGGGGAGAACGAGAGTCAATCTAGGCCGTTCTGATGGCTCGACAACACGTTTGTTTTCATTGTCTTATTTTTTGGTCTCTTCTCTTATGTTCTCTGATAAAACAGCTTGACTGTGACAGCTCTATTCCTGTACATCCCTCTTCCTCTATTTCTGTTCCCCTGCAGGACTATCATCAACGGAGGATCATTTCTTTATCCATTTCTTGTTCACGTCACTGCTCACCTGCTCTTTTTACAGCGCACATGGACAAAATAACAAAAAGTTAGAGGCTTAAAATAGAGTGATGAGGAACCCAAGAATAAAATCCCTCTCAACATGAGCTCTATTAATATGCTTTGTTAATACAATAAGGGCTCTACACTATCAAGAACATCATCCTACAATAAATATCACAATAAATGGGCTACGATATGACACATCTTGCCAAAGTCTGAAAAAGCAACAATAGAGCTGAGACAACAATTTTCTGAGTAAATGAGTCAAAATAGTTCATTTTTAATCGTAAATCACAGCCTACAAGAACACAGGGTTGTCATTTATGGTACCAGAATGTTTCACTTTCTGATACGCTTAGAAATCAGAAGATAATGATACCTGTGTTGACAAAGCAGCATCAAAAAAGAGAATTTGGAAGACTGACAATTTTCCTTGCTTTTGGTTATAAATCTCTTCACTGTACTGGCATATGAAAACATCTCTTCACTAATTTTATTTTACTATATCTTAGGAAAGCGTGTGGTGTTTGGGGAAGTGTAGAGCTCAAACACAAAAGTATTTAATCGTGGACTAAAAGGAAATGTTAAGGAAAAGGTGGTTTCGATTTTGATCTTTTCTGCAAGTTGCTGGATGCATCTTTTGGTGATGAAACATTGGTGAACAGTGTGTCTGTGCGCAGTGGTTGTTTTAACACAGCTTGTGTTAGACAAAGCAGGGAGAATAAAGAGTTGCTGCATAATAAAAATCACACTTTGTCCTGCATTTTTGGGGGGGAGACATGAAAGTACCTTGCTCTGAAACTGTATGAAGTTTTTTTTAGTTTCACTTCCTTCTTTTAACAAGCACTGCTTACTTTCTGAATCCATTTCATGTGCTGGTGAGAGTCTTCAAACATTTCCAGAGAATCAAGAGAAAAGTGAAATGAAGATATTGGCGTGGTAGTCGAGGAGTAGAAGTCCATCTCACCATCTTTACACAATTTTCCTCCTGTTACGTGCTGCTCTTCTAGGTTCAAAATGAGATGCGCTATTATGCTGCTCTGCACATGTATTGAGTTTGACATCCATGGGAGTATTATTTGATAAAGGACAACAATCTATACAGGTGAGGTTGTCTGCAAATCTCAATGATGGATGGTGTAATACAGGATCAAAACACTTCGCTGGATTTGAATCAGAAACAGGAAACTTTATTTATCCCCGGGGGAGGAAATTTAGTTGTAACAGCATTACACTTGCTCTTCTTGAAAAAACAAATATCAACGGAAGGAGAAGAGAAATAGGAATGAATAAGAATAAATAAGAAACCGCAACAGTTAGTAAAAAGTGCAGAATATTAGAAATAAAGCTATTTACAAAGCACAGAGTGTTGAATAAATCAGCTATGTACAAGCATACGAGTGTATGCAGTACCAGTTTGTGGTGTAGGATATTAGTTTATTTGATTATATCTGTGACAATGCAAATAGAAAGAGAAGTGGAGTGATATCAAGTGATTCTGTACTCAGCACATTATTGGACCTGGATTTTGGTCTACTGTTAAACACCTCTCTTACAGTCTAGTATAAAAGTTTCATTTTAGGATCCAAAAAACCTGCTGCCTATTCTTACAGCAAACGTGGCTGTTTGTGACCTGAAAAATAATGCAAACCGACTCTTATCGATTGGCGCTACAACAATAGTTTTCATCCAAGAAACAAAACCAGAACACTAGCTCGGTGAGAAAAATTAACACCCCCGCCCGTCCACACCCTCCGCCTCTATATTGTCTTCTGCGGTCTTACATGAGCTCACAGCAGGAAATATTCCAGGTGAAGTCCGGGTGAAAAACTTGGCTGTTTCTGTTCATAAAAAGAGCTCACCCAAGTTATTTGGGAAATTTTGAGGAACTTCGTGCACGTCTGAAACGCTGATGTTATTTTGGTCCCTGTTACACCTCTGTAAACTTTATCAACACTCGACTTGACAGAAGGTTAACTCTACCTCACCATTCCACATGTACCGGTACATCTTTCACATGATGAGAAAAACTAACATCAGATTCTCCAGACCCTCTTATTGGCCAAAACGACCTCCTGGAATCAGCCTGGACAAGAGCTATGAATGTGCTAAATCCACTTCCTTTCATCCGATCTGGTAACTGCTTTCTTGCTGGTTCTGTCTTTATTGTGTTACGCTCTCCCTCGTGTTCCCTTTGTCAGACATAACGAGACTTGATAGGCTGTCGTCCATGTACAAGTACTTGCCAAATGCAGAAGTTGAGATGTCAAGTGGCTGAGTAACGGAGCCTCTTTCCACTGGCTGCACATTTATTACTTAATATCCAGCCAGTAACAATGGAGCCTAACAGGAATGTAACCCAGGGGTGTTTGGGAACACAGAGAGAGTCACCAAAGCTTTTTGAGCATCAGCATGAATTGTGACAGGGCTGTCATTGTAATGTCATGTAAAAGGGTATCAATTCATTCTTCACTGCAAAGGAACATGCAGACAGACAGGCCAAAAAAGGCTTGAGCGTGAGGTAAACAGACTGCTGCTGATAGACCAGGTCACTGTGAGGGTATCTGAGGAACACATCTGAAGAGTCAGTGGAGCATTCAGGCGGATTTATTTCACTTTTTTAATTTTTAGAACTGGAGGCCAGAGTCAACTCAGCCCTGTGAACTGCACTATCTATCATTCTTCCTTCTTTTACAATGATTAAAGGCATTTAACACTACCTTTTGCAAGGGGCATGATGCCAAAATCAAACAAGCATGCAGTGTTTTACTGATACAGAGACAGAGAGTGGATGAGTGGGGAACCTCTGTCAATCTTTACCTTTGAGACATACAGCCTCATATATAGCCTAAAACATTTGTTAAAAAGTCACTTAAGTGGGCAAGCCTCCACTGAAGTGGCACTTGACTGCAGTATCAGCTCACTGGGTTAGGGCAAATTTTAATAAGTAAAAAAAACTTTTTTTTTTTGTTTTATCTTTTTAAAAAATAAAACTTGTTTTTTTCCTTATCAATTAAATGAAATATTTAAAGCCTCCTCTATTTTAATTTTGATGATTAAGGCTTTAAGCTCATGAAAATTAGTATCTCTGTTTCATTAGAATATTTCCTCAGCTCAACAAAGGAGGATTATAAGAACAGACTTGTTCTGAAAAATAGGCTCATTATAAACTCAGTACTATGTTGGGGCTTTTTCACCATGGATGACTTTCTCATAGTTGATGGAAAATAAGGAACTTTTTCATACTTTTTAATTTTGTTGAATTGCACTTGTATTTGAAATGACAATGAGTGGCAACAGAGAGGAGAACCAAGATGCAGATTTGTCTACAAAAAAGGATTTTATATTTATCACACTGTGTAAAAGACTTCACACTTTCACTTCGATTTCTGCTTCATAAAAGATCCATCACTGGTTCAACGACTCAATTTCGTCAGCGCTGAGTGTCCAGCTTGAGTCCATACAGCGAGGCTCAGGCTTTGTATAGGCAGCACTCTTACGCAACTCTCTGTTTGTTCTGACAGTTTACTCTTTGGCAGAGTGAGAAGAGTCAAGGCACAAGGCTAAAATCAAAAACACCTCCTGGCCTGAAGGAAAAAAAACATCAATCTAACATTTAAGGCTGACTGTAGTTACCCAGTGAGCAAAGACATACATGCCCATAAAAACAAACTGCATGGACTCATGCTTTGCCTTACTGCTACACACATGCATCAATTCAAATATACTTTACTTGGGGACTCAACATCCATCCTTAATCATAAAAAAGAGATGTAAGATGTACTTGTACCCTGCAGTCCCCACCTTCAAACAGCCATATGCAGTCATGAAAGGCCTAAAATGTCACTGCATCTCCTTCCTGATGTGCACATCTTTCCTCCGGCAGCACGAGCTCTAAGCCTTTCAAAATCTATCTCTCTGCTGGCCTTGAGTCTGGCTGGCAGCTTTGGTAAAGAAATGCAGCTGCTCTGACATTCACCAGCTTGCACCATATTAGGTGGAAGGAAGGAAACAGGGTAACAGGCAGCTCTGGCCATCTCTCACTCTGATTAATGCTTCAGAGAGTCTTTCAGATTTGGCACGTGGTGGCTCAAGTGATGCCAGCCTGTCTAGTCCTGACATATTGGGCAGGCAGGCAGACATGATAGACATCAAACAAATCACGCTGAAGAGAAATCAACTCTCGTCTTCTTTTTCAAGTAGAGAAAAACAACACCTTGTGCTACCCTCTCCTGACCCCTTAGGTTCTTCTGCTGCTCTTCAACTTCACTGTGCAAGTGACAAGGTGGACAATCATCCACCACACACTTCAACATATATTGTTACCTCTGCAAACAAGCCATATTTAAGTCTTTCTGGTGAAGGATTTACTTCAGGTCACTCACTCCAATACCCTTTCATGCACATTTCGCAGAGAGCCGGGATATCTGTCCTGTCTGATGACAGCACAGGCCTTCCTATCAGCTGTCTCTGCTGAAGTACAGGGAACATGAGAGACCTTGATGTCTCACATTGTGCAGACACTAGCTTCTCAATTGTTTAGTCAACAGATCAATAGAAAGTGGTGTCCAACTTGACTCTTGTCACACTCTAACTTCAAAACATCATTACTTATTTATGAGGTGGTGGAGAATAGAGAAGTGCCCAAGCTGCTGGAGGCTGTCTGGAGTCAGTGATGTTTTCGTCAAAACGGTTGCATGCACACACATGAATCCACAAAATTGAAGAGTAATAAAGAGGTAATGTTTACCCTACAAAATAAATGATAGATATTAGGGGTGGGAATCACCAGTGCCCCCACGATACGACATTACAATACTTGGGCCAGGATACGATATTATTGCGATTTTTTACATTTTGCAATACAGTGAGTTAGGGCTAGGCGATAAAACGACAACGATATATATCCAAAATTAATTTCCCTTGATATCAATATATAACATGGTCAAGATGCTTTTCAATAGTCAGTCTTCTGCCATGTTTTGGTAGACTAAACAAACAGCCAATGAAAAGGGGAGATGTTCCGCTTTGCATTGAACCAATCATGTGCTGAATTCGAACCAAGTGGCAAACAACTGCGTGGTAACAGGCTGCAGCTACACGCAACCATAGCACTGTAACATGTGAAGCCCACAGCACTGTCAGTGAGAGAAAAAGAAAATGAGTGTTACCCTTGGCAGAGATGCAAATGAAGGCTCAACAGATGATGAAATCGTCAACAAAACTGGCATGACAATATCGATGGTGTGGGGGTATTTTGTTTTTTTTAAATTGGACATGAAGCAGAATAACGTGCACCTCAAATTATGTCGAGTACATGCTCTGCAAAGTCGGGTAATACCTCAAATCTTTTTCACCACCTGAAGCAGTGCCACGCGGCAGAGCATGCACAATGCAAAAGGTTACAAACCTCGAGCGGAGCAAGGAGCCTATGGTGCCTGTGCAGCCGAAACAGCCGACCATTCAGTCTGCTCTCTCTAGCGCAACGCCTTACAACAAAATGTCAAAGACACACAAAGACCACAAAGAGTAATAGGGACATTTCAGATTGGCATGTGATTTTTTCATATCGTGATATATATCGATATCGACTGATATTAAAAAAATATATTGTGATAAATTTTTTCCCATACTGTCCAGCCCTACAGTGAGTACTGCAATACAATATATTGCGATCTATACAATTTTTTCAACTGTATAGCTAATTCAGCATTTGTCTTCCTTTATGTCTTACTTACACAGTATTTTATTTTCATATAGCACATCTTGCAAACCTCGTGTCAGGTCCATCTCATTTGTCTCCTGCTTGCATTCCTAATGTCTTTCCCCAGGTGCTGCTATATTTGTTGCACTAACTTTCTCCTGCTCTATGATGTCACCTCTGTCAACCTCACTGGACAAACAGTTGACTTTATTTTTCATAGATTTGACTTCATATTAACAATTAATTTGAAAAAAAATCAATACTTGGTAAATGAGACGATACGGTATATCACCAGACAAAATAATTGGGATACTATGCTGTATCGATTTTTTCTCCCACCCCTGATGGATATACATTCTATATAATTATATTTCTACTAGAAACAATGGTTAAGTAATGGGGCGAACAAGGGCAGGACATTAAATAAAAGATCTTGAATAAAAAGCCTGAAGTAGTGAAGACTCAATGCATTATGGCTCTACTGACATGTGAAAATGTTAGCCTTGCTTCCTAAGCCTGAGAGTTGCTTTCCTCTCATCAGTCTGTGCCGTTACATAATGATAAATTCCTTGAAAAGAAGTTGTGAATAAAAATGGACAAGAGCTGTCTTAGTCAGACAAGAAGGATATGACTGGGAATGAGTTTCGATGAGAGGGTGGAGAGAAGTCAGAGAAATAAGGAGCAGTTTAAAGGGGAAGAGGGCACAAACGAACAAGATGAATTAAATGTTAGTAAGCAGAGGAGGCAGATGTTGACCATTTCTGCAACTCAAAACGGTATTTTATATTTACACTGATTTAGATCAGTGATAAATGAGGGTGAAAGAGAGTACAACACATTGTTAGGCTGGTTGGTGTTGGGGCTCGGGTTTGAGATGGGAGAACAGGCTAAACGCTAACAGATGTGCTACTAAAGACTTGCATGACAAGTTGCCACGCCATGGTCAGAACCGAAGAGTGCTGCACTACACAGGTCTGCAGAAAAGAAGCAGAAAAATGAGGAGGATGGAGAGTGTTTGCAAAGAAAGACAGAGCAGTAGGAGGTGGAAGCAGAGACACTACGCAAGCAAAGATGGATAGAAACTGACAGAAAGGAAGAGAAAACAGAAAAGAGGGCAGAGCAGAAATCAGCAAGTCCAAGAAGGAAACGCATTTTTACATTTCACTTACATCACTGCTATTACATATGAGGTTTTTTAAATTGGGAGTCTTTGTCAAATTGTGCAAGTCTGTGCAAATTCACATGTCTGCGGTTTAGCTAGCAGTTACAACCGATACAAGTGACAGGAAAACTGTTCAAATACTCCTTCATATAGACCCTCATCCTGCCTTTTACTACACCACCTGTGCCAAACCAGATGAAGCTCCGATCATTCGTCTGTGATGCAGTGTTACAGTTCAGAACCGTCTTGCTGTGCATTTTCCAAGCATAATGCACAGCGCAAAAGCTAGTTAAGATGATATAATAGTCGAGAGGGGGGCAGTTTGGTATTTGGGTCAACATTGTTCATACTTTCAGCCTTTAATTTGTTTATCCTCTGAAAAAATGCTCACCAATATGACATGCTGCTGCTCTTGCACCGTGTTGTTTCAGCCCAGTGCTCCGAGCTCTCTGTACTTTACCTTCCATCCAAAAGCTTTTAAGTCTCCTAATGAGATTAATTAAGCCAGTCTGGAGTTTGTTTAATGAGGCCCCAGTGGCCTGAAGCATGGAAAGGACTGTCTCTGGAAAATAGAGGCTTCACATATGAGGACAAAAACTTTAAACGGGGGGTGTTTGTAAAGAGGGTTTTAAAAAGTTAAACCATTGAGTAAAGTGATGATAATCCATTTAGCTACAGGGATGTGTGACACTTTTAGAGAGTGGCAATTCAGTCCTGCATCTAATTGGAGAGTAGCTTAATGAATACCAGTGTAAATTTGAGTCTAAATGGCTCCTGAATGTCTACCTTCCTCTTCTAATGGAGACCTCATGTAGCTGACACAAAGCCTCTGAGTCGACTCAAACACCTTGAGCAGCTTCTATTATGTTAAATAATTTTTGACAAGGTAATCAAACCCAACTTTTGTTACTATCTAACTAATGTTAGATACTTGTAATCTTTAGTGACCATTCAATGTATCATGTCTGTTTTTATCAGAAATCTCAGATATGGAGTGGTTTTGAGAAAAAACAAAAAAACGAAGCAGATGGCTGTTTGTGCTTGCCAAGACTTTTTCTTAAATCACTGCAAATCAATCTGCAGCGACATCCCAAAGCTGTGTTTTCACATTAATGCATTTATTTAGCACTAATCATCAACATGAGGGGATGTATTTGAAACAATGAGCTAACCATGTGCCTCAAATGCAGACTAAATTCACATCACAAACTGTGTCCTCAGCTGTAATTGACTCCTGGAAAGCTACCATCAGTGTTGTGATGTAGGTAATTCAGTTAAACCATATCAAGTCATTCCCTAATGCACCAACAGTTTTACCGTTCACATCACAAATTCAATTCAGAAGTTATCCGGATTTAATTTATGAGCAGGTAATACACCAGATGCTGGCCTCTCTAGAAGCTGGAGTGAATTAAACAGTAGGGCTCTGTGATACGAGCTTAAATCATATCCTAATGTCCTCCCTCCTCAGGCCTCTGAAAATATGGCTCAAAGTCTAAAAGGTGTGTAAATGTGGAGAGTCTCATTTAACACCCAGAGAATCTGAATCAAAGTTATAATTCGCAACCACAGAAAAAACACGGGTGGTCCACTTTACTGTTTGGATCATTTCTGAGGACTGTGGGGGTGTGCCCAACGACATTCTAGTTAAAAAACCTCCTGGCTCCGCATACAGCAACAGAACGTGCCTTCTTCCAATGATCTGTCAGTGGAGTAAATTGTGTCACTGTCATTCAAATCAGTAAAGTATACAGAAACTCCAAAGGCAGTCTCCCAGCTTTGGATTAAAGCTTAACGGTTATACTATTTTTGCATTTAATTGACCCAACGCTTCACCATTGCAGGTAGGGCTGGGCGATAAAACGATAATGATATATATCAAAAGTTAATTTCCCTCAATACCGATATGAAACATGGTCAATATGTTTTTCGAGAGCTGGCATTCTGCCATGTTTTGGTAGACCATACAAATAGCCAATAAAAAGAAGAGTTGCTCCAAGTCCACGTCACACTGAACTGACAGTTCAGTCCGCTTTCTCTAGCACAACGCCTTACGACAAAACGTAGAAGAGACTCAAAGACCTCACAGATGCAGTAGCTTATTGTATTGTAAGACATGCTACCTATAAGCGCTCTTAAATTTCATTTACTGTATGAGTAACAGGGAACTTTTAAGATTGACATCATTTTTTTAATATCATTATATGTATGGATATTGACTGATATGAAAAAATATAGTGATAAAGTCTTTTTCAAATCGCCCAGCCCTAATTGCAGGCATCAGTACCAGCATCACAGGAGTGTTTAACGATCTATTAGTATCTTTATAGCTGTCGGCCTGAAATGCTGGTCATATGTTGTGTCTACTGTCTAGGTTTTAACAGCTGCCCACTATGGATGTCAACAATTACAGTCAAATGACAGACGGCGTTTATAGTGTGGTGCAGTTTGTCAGTATTTTGATCTGGAAAATTAAAAAAAATAAAGTTGGGTGTGTGCTGTTAAAGTGACCATTTGACAAGAGTAATGCATGACAAGTGCGTGTTTGTGTATGTTAACCTGAAGGCTGGTGGTGCAAACTTCTGCTGTCATTAACCACACTCTGTAAACCCATTTGTAAGACCCTGTGATCACGTGTTTAGCTGTGTCAAATAGTTAATTATTGATTTTGACTGTTTTCTGTTTTTTTTCTTATCTTTTAAAATATGGCCTGGAAGTCAATCCAACTTCAACTCCAGTTAGTTTATCAGGGTCATAACAACAAGATAGCCAAGACTGAAGTACTACTGTGCCTACTGTGTTGCACTTGTTATGTTTGATACACTGAGTGGACTGTGCCCTCCCTTTCATCCTTCACAGCTTAGCATGTGCTGCGTCACCAGGAACTCAGATTGATGCACAACAAAGTTTGGGAGAGTGATGATGCTGTGAAGGCTGAAAAACGTGTCCGTTTTGGACTCATGTGACTTCATCATGTTGTGCTACAGCAGAACAAACTAGAAAGCATATACAAATATAAACAGGAGAGCAAGACGTGGACCAAGAGAGCAGGTGAATGTGTGTGTGAGCTAACAAGTGCCAGAATAACACTGGAATTCCAACACATCCATGTGTGGTCTCACAAGCTGCATTTTCACCGAGAAGCAGAGCTAATTTTTTGTTTTCAAAAAGTTCAGAACATTTAAGTGTTAGAACTATTTAAGTTCAATAAAAGCATGTGATGCAGATGAGAAAATCATGTATCATAACTTAAGTATTAATTCAATGATTGTTGGTTGTGACAGTCAGCGAGTTAGATATAGAGATTCTCATTCAGACTAAAGGCTATGCAAGATGTCACCACACACACACAAAAAGAATGACTAGCCTACAATAATCTGTCGAAAGAGGAGGTGGTCAGTTGGCTGAGCTGGTGCCTCAGTGTGGGGTTTTTATGCCTTTTTTTTTCTAGGCTGAACAATTGTCTCATAGTCTTACCTATTTGCCTCTCCAGGTCGGCTGCTTCATCTGGTGTGGCCCTGGGCAGAACCCCCGGATCACTGAAACTGGTTCTGAGGAGGGTCCCCAAAACAAACACAAACAGCACTCCTCCTATGACTGGGATGACTGGTGTCAACCGTAGTGCCAGGAATGGACAACTGGTGGGGCGAGAAGAGATAAGGAGGACAGTAAAATAAGCAAATAGTGAACAGGAGACGTATGATTCTGCTCTAACAGTTTCATGTTAGCTTAGAGGTCGACACCTGAAAGTTCAAACAGCCAGACTCAAAAAATATCAGCATATTGCCCGAGGGGCAGGAGCTTTCCTTTCTCAAATAAACCTGCTTGTTCTGAAATTAACATCCGTACACAAAAAACACTAAACTAGATTGTACTGATGTTAGGAACAAGCATTACTGTCTAAATACTGTTATAACTTGTAACCTGTTGCTTAATGACATTAACTGGATACAGCTCATTGACAAACAGACAAGCACATAAGGTGTGTGAAGTAATCAGCTCTAATGAGACAAACTGCCATAATCCAATTAAACATTTAAGAGTGTAGGCTGTTGTTACAGTGATCACATTTAGTTGAAAAGAGAGGCACAGGCAAGTGGACTGGGTAAGGTGTCAACACAGAGGTGCTAGTTCAGACAAGTCAAACTGGACACCCATGAGGTGACCGAGTGTTTTGTAAGATACCGTCTGGGAGTATCAATCAAGGTTCACAATAAAATCAATGTTCATGGAAGGGCTGTTGTCATCTGCTCATCTAAAAGTAAATGCTGGTCCATTTTGGTTCACTAACTATCAATCTGGCTCAACAACTTTTGCCAAGTTACTTTTCTAACATCATATTTTGGAGCCATTATTATAAATAAGTTGAATACTTTACAACGTGTATTCCAAAATAGTTAGGATACTGCGTAAATATTAATCAAAGCATGATTTTATCATCTGATGGTCAATTAAAAAGCTTTTGTTTAATTGAACTAGTGCAGAGACAGTGTACCAGATAGTAACCAAATATCATGTTGTTATGAAAAAGCACATTATGCCGATTTCAGAGTTGATGCCAGTGACACTTTTTACAAAAGGGACAACAACAACTAATAAAAAAAACACAACCATCATAAACAAGAAAACTAATGAACAAAAATGGAGCATTTTCCAACAGATTACTATAAAATTCAGTATACAATACAATATGCTGAATACATATCAGTGTAACCAATAAACCAGTATAAAAAAAACTAGAGAGAGGTATCTCAAGGGCGTTTTGGTGTATCACCCAACAGTTGGTGCTCAAACAAGAAAGTGACCACTTTTTACCAAAGCATGTTGGAAAGTGAGGAAGAATAAAGTAGCAGCATTATTTGATAACAGCTTTCCTTCCTAACTAGAATATAATCATCATTCATTAAAAAAACAAACAGTGGTTTATTCTTTGTTTCATTCCTGTAACATGCTGAAAAGATTCTTCAATTAGTAGCAACAAAGGAAAAGTATAAAGCTGAAGCTCATGTGCTCACATGGTCCATCTGTAAATGCTACCTGTGCTGAGCTCTATTACTGGTAGTTCAACGTGAATACAGATGTTTCTAGAAAGAGCAATTCAAGTGTTAGTTTAAACTACTGAACCACTGACACATCCCGAAAACTCTCTGTATCTTTGCTTCTGGTGCAATTTCACCTTTCTGTGAGAGACTGCAAGGAAAATAGCTGAAAAAGTCAGAACAATGATTCTCAGCAAAAAATGCAAAGAATTTAGGGATTTCATTAACCAACAGTGCACAATACCCTTCAAACATCCAGGGAATTTGGAGGTATCTCTGTATAACAAGGACTACGCTGAAAACCATTCCAGATAAAATGCTGAAGTTTATTGTTAGTGTAACTAAAAGGTTTAACTGGTGCAAATATCTTAAAATGCAAATATTATGTATAAATAAGCAAATTTACATCATATGACAAGGGAGCTTCGTAAAACTGTTCATATCTCAAATATTTACTGGTAAATACTGAAGAAATGTAATCTTTTTAATGATCACAGAATAGTCAAAATCAGTTGCCAGATGGGGAAACTAATGGGGGTGGGAATCACTAGTGGCCCCACAATACGATATTATCACGATACTTGAGCCACAATACGATATTATTGCGATTTTTTAAATTTTGCAATACAGTGAGTATTGCAATACAATAAATTGCGATTTATATAGTTTTTTACAACTGTTTAGCTAATTTAGCATTTGCCTTTACTTTATGTTTGCCTCACTTATGCTGTATTTCATTTTCATGTGGCACATCTTGCAAACTTTTTACATATTTGTTGCACTAACTTTCTCCTGCTCTATGATGCCATAGATACACCCTTACTGGACAAAAAGTTGACTTTAATTTTCCGTTATCACAGATTTGACTTAATTTTAACAATTAAGGTCCTTTCACACCGGGACCATTTTATTCGTGTGATTATTTCGGACGTCAATATTTTTTTTCGAACCCATATCCTGTCAATACAAGCTTTCACATCAGCGACGTTTTCCCGTCCTGCGATATTGCGGCATTTATTTTTGCGGATCATGGTCGATTTTTTAAAGTTTTGCATACTGTGTGTCCACTTCTGACCAATCAGATTGCGTGTTGTTGCGATGTCTGATTCATTGGTATATCCAACATGGCCGACCGGCTAATTGAGAGCTTTTTGATGAAAGACACAAACATGATAAAGATAACGACCTGAGGGACAACTTGTGGAGAGTCATAGCGTCAGATCTCTCATATGACGATAGTTTTTGTGCTTTAACAGTTTGCTAAACTTCGTTGTTTTAACTTTCATCTGTGCTGAGAAACTTTAGCTTGTAAGCTAACCTGTTCAGATACAACATACCATATGTATTTTCACTGTCTCAAACTCAATCGCGTTGCTGTCACAGCATCATTAGGTCTCGGTTGTTACCTTACGTTTATGGATTTTAGTTTAATGTGCTTATCTGGTACTGGCCCCAACTCAGTAAATGCTATCTGTAGTCCAGCAGAATAGAATGCTACATGCTACAGACAGCCATCTGAACACTAGTGTCTAATCAGAACTGAAAACACTCAGTCTGCTGTTGTGTCAGTCTTCACGCTTCTACCCGGGACGTGTCTTTTTCCCCCCGGAAAGTCGCAAAATCACATCAGGCTTAATGTGTATAGTCAGGCGCGTCAAAATTCTACTCCGAATATTTCGTAATTTCGCGTTGTATATTCGCGTCAGCCGCGGTGTGTAAGGACCTTTAATTTGAAAAAAATGAATACTTGTTAAATGAGGCGATACGATATATCACCAGACAAAATATCACGACACAATGCTGTATCGATTTTTTTCTCCCACCCCTAGAAACTAAGCAAGATGTAAAGGGCAACATGAATGCTACAAAATCATGTCAAACTGCATTGCCCTCTTCAACAAATGACCTCTGTAAAGGTCTTCATCAGATCTATCAAAGTCCTATAACCTCTATAGTCTCCCTATCACACTGTATAACCAGCCTTCAGATGGTAGCACCTTGGGAGGGCGGTTACATCCGCAGAGCCATGCCAACAACAGTTATTCTGGAAAACCCAGCCAAACTATATTTAGGCTGACCATGTTGGGTTCCAGGGAGGATGTAAATACAGACCTGGACCATTAGATCTGCTGAGCTCTGCTAATTGGGATTCTAGCATCATCTGCATACATTTCCTGTTTTCAGCTGAACTGCCGGGGATGAATGCTCTGATGAGGCCCTCTGAAAAGGTCAGCCAACAAGACATCCCAGCCAAAAAATAAAAAGTATAGAAGCTGTATGTTATTCAGCCAATTCTGTGCTCAGCACATGGGGTTTCAAAGAGTGTTAAATCTGTGAAAAACATACTGTCTACAACTCAAACCTGAGTGGACACCGGCTAGTCCTTCTGCTCCTCTACATCTGGAGTGAGAGTGCACCAAGCAGAAAAACACTGGGATGTCTGGGACATCAGCATGGGGCTGCAGGCAGGACAACACTGCGCCGCACAAACATTTCTCCTGTTAAAAACTTGCCTGGAGTGCCAGAGGTCGTTGTACTGGACTCTGACTGTGTTGTCGTGAATTACACACAACACGTACAATTCAATTTTTCACTTCTTTGTGGTTCTTCCTGAGCCCTCTAGTCTTAAAAAATGGGTAGAAGAAGACAAATCCTCCAGCACTGTTTCATGATAGTAATCTAGCACAGGGCAGATTCTCAGCCCCAGTTAAGTCAGTGCAGCAGACCATCTTGCTGCATTTTATCTTTCAAATCTGCTGCTTATTGTTTGAATATAAAGCAGCTCTGTTTCCCCCTTCCTTCTAAATACATTGACTGCAAACACTGTGTGCTTTAACAGTCGCACGTACTTATTTGACTGCTTTTGGTCCCAAATTGTAAACCCCCCTGCATATCGCACATTCAATATAATAATAAAGCTAAAAGCTACTTTTTCTATCTCATAAAATCACTTTTTTTTGCAACATTCTTACAACGTAAACCTTTATGTACTCCACAAACAAAACAAAAAAAGGTTTCATTTATAAACTGTATCACACAAAGTATGATTGAAGATGTGTTTTGTGTCAAACGTACACTATGCAAAGAGCTTATCAAAATAGGTGTCAAAGTGGATTATATCTTTCAGCTCATCAATTTAAAAAAAAAATAAATAAATACATGTTTTCAGGAAGAAAGCATGCGCTTTGGCTGGCATGGAAAAAACAAACAACTATAGGATTGCAGCAGATTCTGACCAATTAGTCTGTGCTGAGTAAATGACGCTTTGATAAGTGCAAAAAGTAAAAACAGAGACGACTCTGGTCACACAGGAAGAAAAAGCTCGGTTCTTTGTTTTCTGTCTAGAGAGTTGAGTGCATGAAAAAAACAACACCATTATCACATGGCAGACACAACCAAGTCTGCTGTTACCTATTAGTTAAAAGACAGATACCGTCGTTAGAGCCTGTAGGATTTTCTCCCTTACTTAAAAAAATACTTGAATCCATTCTGAGGTTTCTTTGCTGCAGCTTTCACAAAGTGAAGAACAGCAGAGCACCATTAAAAATACATTACTTTGTGATATGATGGTGAAAAATCTCCAAAATAAGGAGGCTCATCTGAATCAAGGGCAAGGCAATAAAACAATCTCACAGGGGGTAGGGGGAAAAACTGGGTGATACAGATTAACAACCTTAGCTGCTATTCATGAATCAATCAATGGAGAAAAATATAGAGTGAGCTCAATCTGAGAGACTCAAGTGGCAGCTTGGCTAGAAACCTCTAACTGGACACCCTGTGACCACAATTTAGGTGAGCTCCTGGAAGAAAGCTTAGCTTGCAGTTCCTGTCTGCAAGGAAGCAACTGAGTGCCGCTGTTTTTTGATGTGAAACCCCTTTGGGTGAACACCCTCCAGTTAAATTGTCAATAAGTTAGTTGATGAGCTCTCACCTGATCCAGAATTTCATTGGTCAGTCAACCGCTCAGGTTGCTTCCACAGAAAATCATTTACAGGAATGGGAGGGAGACTTGATGTCTTTGATTTTTAAGAACTTTTGATTTGATTATTAGAGGTGGGAATCGCCAGTGGCCCCACGATACGATATTATGATACTTGGGCCACTATACAATATTATTGTGATTTTTAACATTTTGCAATACAGTGAGTATTGCGATACAATATATTGCAATTTATACATTTTTTAAAACTGTTAAGCTAATTTAGTTTTTGGCTTTCCTTTATGTTTGTTTTATTTACGCTATATTTTATTTTCATGTAGCACATCTTCATATTACACTTCATATTACCAATTAATTTGAAAAATCGAAACTTGGTAAATGAGACGGTACGATCCATCGCCAGACAAAATACGGCGATACTATGCTATATTGATTTTTTTCTCCCACCCCTATTAACTATGCAGAAAACTGAAACAGTTGTCCCTCACTCTACACATTATTTCTCCTGCCATTAGTTGAAACCATGACAAAAAAAGTAGAGGTCTAGCAACAGTCTCTGAAAAATAATGAAAAAACTGTTGAGTGCCTACCTTGCTCACAGCAATTTGATTCACAGCTCATAAACTAACAAAGAATATCATCTTTAAAAAATGAAAGCATGACTTTTAGTCTTTTATCAGTTGTGTCAGGTCATCTGTAGTCTGTTGGTTTGTCTATTTTACCCTGAAGAGTCTGTGAACCTTGAGTATCAACACAATATAAAAGACAATATTTAAACATGAATGAGGTTAAAAATAATTTACTTTGCTGCGTGTTACATTTCATTTGCAGTTCATTAAACTACCAGCTTGAATGCACTCACTACACTGTCATCTACAGGGAGTGCATCTTTTTTTAACCAAGGACCATCAATTAGATTAGATGGGATTAGATTAGATAAGTAATTGATTAGTAGGTCTAGTTTCAGTTGACCAACATTTACTTTAGGTGACCTGGAAACCACCTGATTCAGTGTTTGTATCAGAGCAACACAATTAATCAAATAATTATCATGATCACTATCTTGGCCTCCCTACAATAGAATAATAATGATCAAAGCTCCCTCAGAATACAAGCAAGGAAAGAGGAAAGAGACTGAGAGATTTTTGGCTTAAAGCAACAGAAACTGTCCGGGTCAAGGGCGCAGTGTGATGACTTGACACACGAAGTGTCAAGTCAGTTAGGTAACAGTGATGACCTGTTCTTCCAACGCCCATAGACAGACTGAAAGTAATGAGAGCTTCAGAATAATACTGAATACATTGGACTAAAGCTTTGCCAATCCCTTATATGACATTTCTGCAGAGTTGCGTTAATTGCATTGTTTGTCAAATGTGGAGGAGATATAGAAGTGGGTCTCATAGATGTGAGGAGTTTGCAACCACCACTGACCCAGAAAAGTGGAGGCCCTTTTAAGATGTACAGAATTCAAAGCAAGAAACATCACATAAGGCCAAGGCTTATTACACACAATAAACAAGGAATCCATCAAACTGAGGTAAAATTTTAGTTTAGACTTTTCAAATTTATATGCAGTCTCTAGAAGATGCAACAGATTCAGGTGAATACGTTTATTTCAAACTTTGATTTAAAGCAAAGTTGTAGAACCAAAAGCAGTTTTTTACAGTGTGTCGAATTTAATCCCAAAAATGACAGAACAATCAGGTTCAATAACAGTGATTTCAATATTGGTCTGAGTAAGTCTGACCACATTTGTGCAGCACTAGTTTGTGGCCGTTTTTATTTTTATACACTGTGCAAAAAAGCAGACACACACAGGCAAACTGAAACAGGAGGAGGCAGGGTGTGACACACTGCTGTGTGTAGAGAGAGGTGCTGGAGTGGAACTGAACACATTTGCAGACACACTAAAACAAGTTAGAGAACAAAACATGATCAATTCTAAACTAACCAAACGTGAAAATAATAGATGGATGGTAAGGGTGATATATTTCAGTATTTTTGATTGATTGACCCTCACCAATGGTTTATTATGAGCACTTCCTTATTCCTGTTTTCCATCTTATGACCAAAGCCGACTGAAATGATTGTAGACAATACAACTCAAACTACACAAGTGGAAGGTGAGGGGATGGGCTGTGTTACCACAGACAGATTCAGATTCTACCATCATAACTCAACATTTTATTTCAGCCCATACAATCTGTCCTCTGGCTGGTCACACATCACATAATTAATACAACACTAAAAGGAGCTCATGGGAAATGACTACAGGTGTTTAAAGCTTGGCAGACCTTGAACACGTAAACTTCAACTGAAACCATTTAGCCAGAGCCAAGATTTGAAATAATCTATAATAAAGTCAAGACCCTTGCTAACACATCGAATAACCTTTAAGTTATTTATCAGAAGAAAAGCTGTTCACCTCATTTCCTGCTCTTATATGAAAATACAGTTATGTCAAAATGTGTCTTAAGTGGTTTAGAAAGCAACAAAAATTGCTGTCTCTCCCTTAAAGAGCTGTGTCTCCATGTTCGGACATTAGGAACATAATGAAAAGGCAGCCATGTGTGATCGAGAGTGATGAGTTGATTGAACAAAAGGACAGAGATTTAACACCAAAACTGAGAAAAACCATGGAGAGTGAATGTAATATCAAACCTGCCTCCCCCACATGTACCTTTTGAGATGTGTGCACAAGCTACAGGTAGGAAATATCTTGCTTGATTTAAGGTCATCGTGTTGATGTCCTTGAATGTTCCAGAAATCAATCTTTATCTGCCACTTATCAAAATCTAACCAATGTTTTTTTTGTGTGTATTTGGACTGTTATGAGCAGATATGGACAATGACCCTCAACATATCGTAAGTTGTACCTTTATTTACCTTTGGATACAAAATCTTATATTTAACTGGGACTTTGGGGGCTTTGTTGCCATGGAGACGGACGGTATCCAATGTCAGACATGGTAAATTTCGAAAGGGAATGTGGTTACCCTGGAAACAGCCACGAGTGAGCTGAAGCCTCCAAGGAACACAAAAAGAAACAAAGACGTTCGACAAGACCGAGACAGCATGGTGACATTCATTTCAATCACTTCAAACATTTGCTGAGAACGAAGTTTTACTCTAATGTGAGAGTTTTTCGAGGGGGTTCTGCATTAATACACGTCTCACTTTTTAATCTTTGGAGTAGTTGACTTGACATGTGGGTCTAGACATAGGACTGACAGAACTGTGCTCTGAACATAGAGGCTAAACCTGAACACACTTAAATACAACCATTGTTACAAACACTCATCTTCATCTGGCCTGAATTTTGACAAATACGTTTTTAACAAAGTATATTCATCTCATAGTGGTTGGCCACTTACTTACAGTCTTGAAGGATTAAAAAAAAATATCTCATGATCAACTAGAGGTGCAGCATGTGGTATTTAGCACCATTCACCATTCAACATGGTAGAACAAGGGACAGTTCTCATTGATGATCATGGCCAAATCAAAGTCATAGCCTAAGTCTTTCCTGTAGTCCACCACAGGTTGGTGGCACTCACATAGATCTTCCAAATCGCAACATTATGTGCCATCAATTCTACTTCAATGAGGGTATTTCATTTTTTGACAACAAGATCAGGCAGGAGGTTATCCTACTTTCATCGTTTTACCAAAGGCATAGTGGATGATGGTGGTAAAGTTGGCACTTAAGCTAACACCCCATAAAGAAAGCAGCCTTTTTACTGGTTGGTGTAAAAAAAAAATAAAAGTAAAAAAGTCGTTTCTTTTCTGTGGCAATACTTTGGTTAGTTTGGATGTGACACTCCTACGAGTTGAGATTAACCTTAAACGTGCACGGTGCAACCAAAAATTTAAACAACTTCAGAGACTTAAGTTATGGTGTTAAATGCACACTAAACTACAAATGAAAACTAAAGACCCAACTTGCGCAGAGCTGTAACAAACCTTAGGAGTCCTGTAAAAGTAATACTCGATTTCAACAAAAAAGCTCAATTTCCAGACATCCCACATTGGCAAAAAAAGGAAAGAAAAAAGCCTAAAATACTGACTGTAAAGGGAATCTTTAGTTTACTGACAAGTGAGCTGTCAGTAAGTAGAGAGGTACAAGGGGGAGTAACTACTCCTTTGTCCAATACTGTCACTTTTGGCTGGAAAACGTGGATAATTTATTGCACACAAGCTGAAATTCATCACAAGACAGTCTGACGAATGTTTGTAACAGGAATTTGAAAGGAGTCTAGACCTCAGACTTCAGACAGATGGTCTGACTAACACAACACTGTGCAAAAATGGGCTGTGTCATGTAAGAAAACATGATCAATTTCACTGTAAATGAGCACGAATCGTCCTCATCACAAGTTCCAGTCTTGCAGTAAGCAGTGGAGTGTGAAGCAAATGACATCAGATTATCTAATAATTCAGCATCTTGCATAATGTGAGTGCTGTGGAGGACCATCACTATTAACAAAGCTGGTGATATGAGCATTTAATGTAGAAATGCACAGTTTTTCTATCAATGCCTTTTTAGCTGATACTGTTAGTAAAGCCATACTTTTATGAATCCTTTTAATTCAAGTTTCAGAAATATATCCAAAAAATACATGTTGAACGACTACTTTCTGACTCTTAAAAACACCTCACAGAAATCAGAGCAAAATATGATTAGAACTGAACACAACTGTTCTCTTGATAAATCATTTCAAATATCAGCTTTTTAGCAAATGTCATCTGCTCAGTGGAGGGACATAGGATTATTTTTTAGAGAACACCAAAGGTAATCTTTTTGCTTCAGAGGGGCCTCCAAAGGTTTTCGACTCATTTGCCTCCCAAAGGGTGCACTAATCTCAACAATAATCCAATCCAGATTACCGTTATCACATTTCCAATTTAATCCTCCTATGATGCCAACCAGTTTTTAAAAACTCAGCCGGGGGTTAAGCTCAGGGGACTTTCATCTCTGCTGGATGTAGCCGTGTGAAGCTGGCTTCACTCAGCCCTGCTCACTGGCTGTCCTCTCAGTGTCACCTGAGATAAACTGCTCCCTCGTTTACTCTCTTCTTCAGTCATGCAGCTTGAAAAGCAATCAATATCCTGTGATGTGCAAAAAAAAAGTGAGCCAAACATAGATCATCCATCCTCACATGCACACCCAAAATCTGGAGCTGCAATGTTGATCAATACTTGCTTCAAAGGGGGACATATTTTACCCAGAGATGAGACTCAAAAGTGATGCTGGAATAAATTAATGGAAGTTCAGATAAGTTGCATCTGAAGCACTTGGCTTCGTGGGCTGTCACTCCAAAGTCGCTACTGATGTGGGCAGCAGGGATACAAAGCTTTGTCAGCTTTACCCTTTATTACATTTTCATTGTTTTTGATGGTAGGCCAGGGCTGAACATGGACCTCCTCTTAAGAGTTGACCAGCTCATTAGACAACAAAACCACTGAACAACAAGTGCTTTGAAATGTTCAGCTTTGCCAAAATTACCAAATGGACCATAATTACTGCACACCTTTCATCCAGATGTCACCCCTGCACAACACTGAGACTCAAGAAGGTGGTTAAATGTGTAAACATGCATTTAAGAGCACTGGGTAGGTTACACTAACAACACATACCATGCCCTTAACTACAAGTTGAACTACAATATACTGTATGTAATAGCACTGGTAAGCTGTGTGACAAACAGAAGGTGCTGGGATTGATTGTAGACTTGGAGCTGTACACTTAGGGCTGGGCGATATGGCCTCAAATCAATATCACGATATATTGAGCAGTTCACCTCGATAACGATAAATGGACGATAACTACTCCACAAGCTGCTCACCCTCTCCCACATTAACTTCTTCAACTTAAGCCGCCGCTCCAGTCGCTACAACCTTTGAACCGTCCTCCATCTCCTCACCTGTCTTTACCGCTTTGTTACAGACTGGATTGGGTGGAGTTACGTCTCCGACGTAGGACAGCGTCTTATAGGGACATGAAACCATAGCCTACCTACACACATCCAAAACCAACTTTTATTTATTTATCTTTTGACGCTGAATATTCCAATATGGGCAAATTGACATTGGTTATTCTCATAAATTTCAGTATCAGTAATTTTTCGGTTTATTGCAGAGCCCTATGTTCACCTCTGAAAGCTACAGCTGGACATGACTTTTAGTTTTACTGAGTCAAGGCAACAGAACAGACCTCTCTCTTCTTTTGACAAAACAGATTTGAGTTTTTGACAAAATGTTCTACAACGAAATAGTGTTAATATGTCCATTCTGAAATAATCTGGATCTGGCTATTCTCTATCAATTCATAACTACACTGTCAATAATATGTCTATTGACTTTTTAGTTGAAACAGAACTGTGCTGTGGCAAAACGATGGCATGCTTCTCTGCATTTCATGTGTAAACATTTACTCTATTCATCTAAGTGTTTGAGCAAGTGAGGCCAAATCAGGAATGGCAAACAACGACAAATTCCTATTTGACAACATGTCTTCAGAGGAATGTAATGAGCAGTTCTTGTGTTAGAAAACCACGTCTGCCATTGGGTGTGACTGTTCAAATTATGTGGACAAAGAATCTGTTGCAATAGTTGGCCTTATGACACAAAAGCTAGGTTCTTGTTGCCTCAGCATGCAGCAAACACATTTTCCATCCTGTAGGAGTATTGTGCAGAGCCAATGCTGTGCAAGCATGAGAGAGTCACGAGATCCCTATACTCGATAAATCAATATGAAAATGATGACCCCCATTTAAAAGCTGACCTTGGTCTGCCTGTAGTTTCTGTAATGTCCCAGTTTATTACTAAACCTGTGGACAAACATATTTATCAGCATTAAAAATGTTTTCATGAAAGCTACCATTTTTTAGTATTTGTCTTTACAGAACACCGAAGAACCTGTAGCCCCAAGATATCCTAAATGAGAACAATGTGATGAGGTTTGAAACAAGGCTTGGGTCTATGAGTTTGCAGCCACATGGGTCAGACATATCAAGTGCATATTAACAGACTGACTTGTTTTTTTTTTAACCTTAATTGCAAATTTAAAAATGACAATAACTGAGCTATTTGTCAGCCTGAATTACAATCTATCTTTTTTGTTTGAAGGTTGCAAAGTTGCCATCGATGCAGCTCTAACTGCAGAATCTGACTTCTTTATACTCAAAGAAATAAAAATCATCTTTTACTCCATAAAAAAAAGCAAGTCTAATTTGTGTCAAATTCCTCATTTCTTTATTCAAAGTAATTTGATATGCAACTTCATGACAAACTGCTAAGTATAACATCACTGTGAACATACAGTACTTTAGAATGTTTCTACAATATAAAGACAAGTGTGGACAAATCTCAGAGCTAACTGAGACCATTTATAAAGTGCATAAAGCAGCACAACTTGACCCAACATAAACACACCTGTTTACTGTGAATGTCACAGCTTATCACCTGCTGTATTCACACATTGACTTGCTTGGATTTCACATGTGATTTTTCACCAAGGGCTGGAAAAATCTATTTTAAATTGGTGCACCAGCTGGCAGTTTAATGCACCCCAAGCACAGAAGCTATAGTCCTTATTACTGTGGTTCTTGGTTCAACTCTGGACTCTTTACTGTGTCTCTTCCCCCACTCTCTGCTTCCAAAAGCTTCCCTTTAAAGCTGTCCAATCAATACACACAAAAATGCTAAGAAACGGCTTGAAAAATGTCGAGGTCAATGGGCACGGCCAGAGTCAGGAAATTTTCAGAAGTAAGGATCATTTGAAGAAAGGGGCAAAAGGTTAGCAGCACAAAGCACCAATGGGACAAGAGGGTTCCCTTTCATGTTTGGCTGATAGAACTGGTAAAAGACTGCATAACGCAGTTTCACATTAAAATTCTCAATTTCTCCTTACAGCCCCTCAGCATTTTGGCTGAGGGGCTGTAAGCTTTCTATCTTTTATTTACTTGCGGCCTTAAATCTTTCACCAGGTAAAATAAAGTCATGCAGGAATGTTTTATGCATTTGGCTTGCAGCCCTCACCTATGCAAGACCGATCCATCTTCAGAGTAAAACATGATCTGACTCAAGTTGGCTGATATAAGACGTTTGGGTGGCGCTGATCTGAAAAAAGGGAACAGGCAAAACTCTACACACAAACTACAACCAAAGTATGATTCAACTGGCTGAATTCTGAGTCAGGCTCAGCTCTAATAGGGAGGTGATACACGCACACACTCAGGCTACATCTCCAGGTGAGAGCAGTTTACAGTCAGAGCAGTTGAAACAAACCCAACACTGGTTAACCGCTAAAGTATAACACGTGATTAACATTTCAGTGCGCTGCTTATGAGGCGTCTTAGTTGCCATGTTCAGTGAATGAATGTTTATATGGTCTGCCAAAAAATGAACCTGTCTATCTTGATTACTAGCTAAGAGCATCTGATGACATTCTTGATTTAATTCACTAGCTCACCTGCCAATGTAAGTTTCTTTTAATTACACCAGAAAGCATGCTGATCAAAAAGTCAGGTTCAACATGTTCCCAACCGTAGCTATGATTAATGGAGAAAATCAAGTGACTATCAAAAACTTTTTGATCTAGCTGCAAAGTCATTTACCTGCGAAAATATTCAAAAAGTATCAGGTGTGGAGACTGAACACAATCCCTACATCCTAAACAGTACAAGGTCCAAATATCACAGATACATGTAACAGAGTCTTGAGCTCTCTCTTATGGTGGTTTCTTCAGAGTACAATAAGAGTGCCAAATAACACAGCCAAACAGTGTACATCTCCCTACAAGCACTACAAATTAACAGTTAGTGGCTTTACTTAAGGACATAAATAAGACAAAGTTGGCTGTGTGGGCCTCTTAAATCAAAGACTGTCCTATTATTGTATCACAGAGTGCATTTACATGGCCTGGAGTATCCCACGTTTGATCAGCTTTTATTCAAGTTTCTGACAGCTGAATAACACAGCAGCAAAACAAACATGTCAGCAACGAGAGCATGATGCTTCTCAGTGTGCATGTGATTACAAGATCATGTATATGATCAAAAAACTGGAAAAGGGTTTAAAAGTAGGATACTTCAGTCCATGTAAATGTGCTCACTCAAATCAGGCTTTGGTCTGGGAGATGTTCTGTGTAAAAATCTGTTTTTTTTTTCCTTTTCCTTTTTTCATTAATGGGCATTTCTTCACAGCAAGTTGTTAACTCGATGTCCCTACCCTTGGATTTATTTTTTTCCTGTTCAGTTTTGCAAGTACTACTATTGCAGCAAAGGAGTGGAGAAGGAGACTCCTCTTTCACTAAAATAACAGCAGCAAGCAACAGATAATATTTATGTAAACTCAAACTTCCGATAGGTCACTAGGTTCATGATTTCCCTAAATAGCAGCTTTCACTGTATGCAAATACTTGACAAACAACAGTAGCTTACAGAGGTCCTTTTACCCAAATATATGGAAATTAGACATAAATATGGCCATGGAAAAAACATGCAGCAATGCACAAATACTTGTGTGCCACCTTGGTAAATATTTACCCAGGTAATTTCTTTAGCAAACCCTTCTGGTTTTTTTTCAAGCAGAGCCAAGGTGTGCTTGAAAACAGCCTATTAATAATTAATATAACAATTATATTTGTGATTTGTGTTTTTGATTTTTTTTTCCCTTTGTCTATGAGAGACATCCAAAGACATGCACGAACAGGGGGAGAAAGGGGAGTAATAACTTGCAACAAAAGCTGTTGGTAGGAATCAAACCCGTGTTTTTCAGTGAGGATTCAGCCTTTGAAAATAGTGCAAGCACTCCCTGTGACCTCCATGGGTGCCTTGAGTGTGATTAAGTATTTGGTTTGAAAATTGTCAATTAAATTTCACAGAGGCCAAGGTGGCTTCTTTGATTCTTCTGTTTTACCAACTCATAACACACACACACAGACACACACACACACACACACACATATAAAAGGACAGGGCACCTGGTTGTACATTTAGCACAAGGTTGGCGGCTGAATCCTTTACCCCTCCTACCCACAAATCAAAGTGTCCTTGAGCAAAAATATTGAGCCTACATCTCTCCTTTCATGGTTATCCAAGCACCTAACTTCTATCAAAACATGAGTGTGTGTAAATGGGGCACAATATATTAATGAAGCTTTAACATCTCAGCTCTACATAGGTGTCTCAATAACCCTCAGAAATATCTGAGTGTAAAGCTTTTATCCTTGGGCAATGCTGTGGTTCTTTACAACAATTTCCACATCAAAACAAACAACCAAACAGAGTCCCTCTCCAAACATCTGCCAAACTGGACTTTTATGAGACAAAAGAGTGCAAAAGCAGCACACATGGACATCTGTGGGGAGCCAGCTACACAATAATAAACAGAGCAAAGTCTGCGGGTCACTAACAGAGTTTATTGTGCATGGCTGAGCACCCCTCAGACAGTCAGAGAAAAAAAACAAGCAAAAAGAAAAACAAAAATGTAGAGAAACCTCGGGAACACATCGTGTGCATGTCTCTATCCCTAAATACTCGCCATCTGTTGACTCTGACTAGATTTCACAGAGCAGAACATCATCCTTAAATAGAAATAGACCAGGTGTCTTCAAAGTACAGCCTCATTTAAGGATTATAATAGGATACAAAGGCAATTGAAATGACAGAAGGATCCCTCACAAAGTGAATGAAGAGTTCTGCCTCACTATATGCTGACAACAGGCGAGAGGGGTTAGAAAAACACATCTAATCGAAACGCATTACAGTTAATGACAACAGAAGGCAGCGTGCAGGTCTGCTGACTATCACCCTGTCCGATAAATGTATGCTTTCAGCTGAGGGAAGTAGAGAAGGGGAGGGTGAGAGGAGAGCCAGGAGGGCTCAGTCAGCCTGGGGACATGGACAGTTGAGCAGGGAGGACAGATCTAAGCTGAAATGTGGCTTTGTGGTTGCATCATGTTCCTGAAAAATGTCCCCTGTAGTCACAACAAACAGAGGACAGCACACTGGGCCCCATTGACTGGCCACAGCGAAGGAAATGAAGCTACAGGAGGGGGGAGAGGTATCATCAGGAAGCATCTGGCATCCTCCATGTGGGCGCAGGGGAGCATCCAGGTTCAAATGGACACTGCACTCTGTCACTCAGTTTCTCTCCTATATATCAATCATACTAGAGAGACATACTAGTATCTAGTTCGGACGGCTGGAGGCTTATCCTGCAATGCCCTCTCTCTAGCTGTCTGCCCTTTGCTCATGGATTATGTCAGTGTCTGTGGTGACAATGTATTGGAAGAAGTGATCCAGAGGTCACTGCTGATATATACATGCTGCCTTGCATCTGTGAAGGACTTATCACGTGTTAAAGGGCAAACTAAAAAGGGTTTGGAATAGTGCATAACATTCTTTTTAAATGTTGTTTTAATAAGGCAATGAACAGTTTTAGGTTATTTCTTTAACTGGTAAATTATTCACTCCAAATTGTTGACATTTAGTTAGCAGTCTTCTGATTTACCCCTGGTTTATTAAGCATGGACTGTATTTACAACCCTGATACTGAGCGGCAGCCATCAACATATTTTGCCTATTAAGCTTTCTCTGACTCCAAAGCACTTTAGCCTGATAAAGACTGCCTGATTGAGCAACAAATCTCAAGATGAAGCAGGAATCTTATCAGGCAAAGGATGACAGACGAGAGTGCATTAACCCTCACCTTATTATTCCTGAGTAATCACTCTTTCTCTCTCTGGTTGTACAGCCAAGCACTCAGGTCAGTGTCTGTCCCAACATGCTGTATCGTGCACTTCAGACACAGCTGGGCCAGGATGAGTTGAAGATGAGAGGCTGGATGAGACAGTGTGGCAAAGTACTACATTCTGCCTGTTGATTACAGGTTTGTCTAGCATTGGGACAGAGACAGCGGGCTCCTCTGGGATAGTGTGGCTGTGATTAAACCATTGAAAGTGGCACACAGTCTCCGAAACCCAATCCATAGGTCCTAGGTGATGTGTTATTTAATTAAATGTGTCTCTCTTATCCAACAGCAGAGGAAAATGCTGAATCGACCTGCAATAGATCTGGTTTCCTTAAAACTAACTGAGGCAGATCAGAAAGAAAAACTGTCCGTCAATCCTCTGCCAAGTTGGCATCACACAAGTCAATTTACATGCTCCATACATGAGATCCCACTCCCCTGGACAGCAAGCCTGCAACAGTTCGGAATTCAATATCCTGCTCCAGGATACTTCAGTTAAGTTAATGTTTGCTCTGCCCGTGTGAGTAGTTTGAGGACAAGCCCTTTAACTGGAGGATACTTTGACATCAAACCCTGCATACCAAAACATCAATGTTAAATCTGACATAGCAGCTTACTGCCCTCTGTTTACATTGCGAAAGGGCATATAAGAGCCATAAACACAACACACAGCTTTATAAGTGCAGTTACAGAGTAGGTAACATCAGCATCAGCCAAAGCGCACTCTGCCTCTTGTACACAAACCCTGATTGCATCTTGTGCATTTCCTAAAACAGAGACGCCTCTGATTAATCCCTAACCAGTATTCACTGACATCTCCCTGAGCCCTGAGGAGATCATAGGAAATGAACCCAGTGATGCCGGTGACATAACTGACCTATATCTAAAGTTTTTTCTCTGACAGCTGAAATCATGAAATGAAATTCCTAATCCACAATATCAGTGAGCATAAGTATACAGCAGATGGGAGCAAAAAGCAAGATCCCAAACTTTCAACAATACTTACTCAAAGGTGAAGAAAAGTCCACAAGTCACTAGAATGAGAACAAGGGTGAGGTAGAAAACCCCTGTCTGTTTGGCCATCATAATCCTCCCATCGCAGTAAAATTTATTCCGACCAGGGAAGGACTCCCACTTCCTCTTCTTTGGGGTCCTTTTTTTGTAAGGGGTCTCCATTGGTGTGGAGCTGCGAGTGCTTATTTGGCTGTACTCGCACTCTCTCATGGACTCAGATACCCCGAGATGCATCAATTGCTTCTTAAAAACCCCCACAGCTCAATAAATCCCGGGGCAGATGTGCCTCTGTGAAGAGAACAAACCAGTTCAGTCTCTTTAAATAAATGCCTGGAGTCAGTGTACGTGGAAAAAAAAGTTTGTGACTAGTGCAAGACACACTTCCTGTTAATAATACCTAGCTAACCCTCTTTACATTAAAGTATCTCATTTAAAACAGAACTGCTCGGAAGTTCAGTGAAGCTACCACTCAACTCCAGCATGTTTGGATAAACATAGCTGGCTAACTTGCTAAGTAACTTCACCAGAGACCCACACATACCTTAGCTTCACGTTAAAAGCGCCTTTGTTAGCGAGCAACCTGGTTAGCATTTTATAGCAGCTGAATCGATATTGCTGCTAATGCTAACACTGCTAGCGAGTTGGTAAATGGGCTGGCATCGGTAACTTAATGTTAGCACGTTTGCCAACTTTAATTTTCTTATTCGGGGTCTAGCTCGTTTTTCACACACTTCCCCCCCAAAACTATCCGCTTTGACTGGAGTATGTATGCTTCGCCTCCCCCCCCAGTAGGAATAACAAATTGAAGGTATGAGTGAAAGCTGCGCTGTCAACACATAACGTTACAGACACCCCGGCTGTTCGTCTGCTCAGCCTCTGAAGCGACAGTTGAAGCGCTGCCTTACCGAAGCAAAGTAATGCTGGTCGTCGTGTCGGGGTGTTGTCACGTAGCTGCTCCTTTCGTTATCCAGGTTTGTTTCGAACCGATGACAAAGCAAAGAACACCATTTTCGGAAGTTAAGGGTAGAGAAATAGTTTGAAATTGGCCTCTCTCTCGTTGTCGGAGAACTTGGTTCAAAAAGGGGGAATCCAGAGAAACACCACTCAACGGGGGTGTTCTCAGGCGAGCTCCAGCATCCTCACAGAGACCTTAGGAGTCTTTGCGCACACATCGAACCGAGCGGGACCTCACAGCCATATGTCCAAGGATTTCACAGTAACCAGCGGCGAAAACACAACATCAAATCTTTCCCATCCAGCCGCGTTTTCCGAAAAAGTTGCAGCTTTCCACAAGAAGCATGCAGACAGGCCAGTCGACAGCCCTCCGTGCACATACTGTCCCCGTCTAACACACCAAGCTACCACCCTTGCAAACAACAAACATCAACATGGGAGCAGAGTAGAGCTCTTCCCGGCCTGCTCCTCCCCCTCCAACCCTGGCTGAAGTCACTACTGAGGAGGTGCGAAGGGAAGACGAGCAGTTAAAGGGGTTCCCAAACAGCGGCCCCGGGACTACTATGCGTCCGTTCAGGCTTTCTTACAAGCATGGGCGTGTCGAGGGAGGGGCTTAGGGTGACCCTTGGGTGCAAGTGAATTTCATACAGAAGTGTACTCCAGCATATAGCTGTACAGATCAGCCTTAATATTATGAATACCTAAGTAATCTAACCCAGGATTTCCGCTGCATCCGTAACAGTGGTGATTTTCGCCGTACGCCAATTCCTACCGGCTCTATTTGTGAGGCGAATTTCGTGGCGGATTACGGACAGCAAGAATCGTGAGAACTCACAAGAATCCGTGGATTCATGTGCAATAGCGCAATATCAAGTTGTCTTTAGCCACATAGGCTAGCCATATTGCAGTAGACTGTGTCTTTCCAGAGGAGGAAATCCACTTCTAGACTTCTAAAATCAGCATCCCCTCATCCATGGTGTCATCGGGATGAAATGCTCTCTATAAACCTTTGACTTGTTTGTCCCCGCCTATTTGCATGCTGTGAAATATGATCTGCCTGAAACATGGAGTGTTTTATTTTGAAAAGACACCGGCTGTTTTATTTTGTATCTGTGCCCGACTTCCTTTCCAGCACAGGTTAATCTGTGCTGAATTTATCCGGCATGCTCTGACGTCCGGAAAAAGTAGAACTCTTGCAGCCAGCTGCGGAGTCCAGCGATCCACAGCAGAATGGAAAGAAGCCGGTGGAAATTGACACATTGACTTTAATGGTTACAATCAGCTACAATTGACAGATACAGCCTTTTCGCAGCCATTGCGAATGCAGTGGCAATTGCCAGTAATGCAATCCAAAACAGCTCTACCATAAATTCTACTTACAACTTTTGAGGCTTCCGAGCGTGTGCCGAGGCTTATCTTGGTGTCGTATGTTCAAAGCCTTGCGAACTGGCCATACCACGTCAAGAAATCAAGAAATGGTTTGTGGGTTTGGTGGATGATTTGAAATATGATGGGCAGCGAAACGCAATGGAGTCCCCCCCTCCCCTTACAATCCATAGACTTGAGACTTGTTGAAAAGTTGTTTTCAGTAAAAGTAAATGAAATGCTTAGGTGTTATATGTAGTCCCCATAACAAAAGCACTGACACAAACTAAGTAACACAAGAACATTCGCATCACAACCCTGCTACCGTGTCGGAAAGACGGACACCATGTTAATAACTTCATCATTTCTGTATTGTATCACAAACACACGGCATCACATCATTCATTCATTCATTCAATTCAAAGTTTTGCACACCAAAGCCCCGGGTGTCATCTCACCTTCACTAATGATCAGACATGTGATCATTGCACTTAATTTACTGACAGACATAGTGTGTGGTTGACTACTAAAGGTGTGTAATATCAAGAACACCTTTCAATATAATGCACTCCAGTGTGCCTCCGTCTCTTTGCTAATGAAATTAGGCAAAGCTAAAAAGATGTTTGGTGGCTAGTGCTATAGCTAGGACCATAGAATGTATATAGAATGGATGCTGTCTGCCTCCTTGCTGGGTGAAGCCACTCAGAGAACAGCACCCTCTGTTGACGGGCTGCAGTATAGGTTATAAATCCTGCCTCCGCCAGCAAAGCTTATGGAGCTGAGGACAAACTTTAGAAATTTATTACACAGAACATAGATTTTTCTCCCCCCTGGTTGCGGTGTTGACATGTAGTTACTGTCAGACTGGTTTGTGCTCAAGTCCTCTTTTTTCTGTGCAGCTCCATTTTTAAAAGTTATTAGGGGGTTCATGTTTTCTATGATTGACACCTGATACAGCCTATTGGCGTTCAGGGATTGTGTAGCTTATCTGGGGGATACGCTGTTTGAGCTGAGCGTCATCACAGCGATTGTCGGTGACGCTCCCACGAATGCGCACAACGCTACTGTGCAATGCTGGTTTCAGGAAATGAAGAAAAATCACGAAAATACAGAGAGCTTTTTGGCTTTAAATCCATCTACAAGCAGGAGGCGGAACCAAGTTGTCCATAGTATATACAGTCTATGGCTAGGACCCTATATGTACTGTTGATGAAGTTAGGTAGTGTTCTGAGCATTATTTGTAGCTATAGAGTGGCGGTTAGTTGAGGTTTGTTTATGGCTCCTAAGACCACTGTGTATTGCTGTCAGCAGTCATTACTAAAGTTGGTATAGTTAGAGAAGCAAGCGGTCGGAAACATTCACCTCTGGAGGGGGTGTCTAACTTGGTGTTACGGTATGTTTGACCCTAAATTAATTTTACGCCAGAATATCCCTTTAAGTATGGACAAGTTGTGCCTTATTTAAATCAGCCCAAACCATTATCAACACATACAATAATCGTTAAACACACTTAATTTGCAGATAGAAACAGTTGTCCACAAAATACACAACTTGCACCTTTCAAGAACATATCCAAGGTAATAGTGTTAAGCCATCTAGGAATATCACTTTGGTTCTGATTATGGCAAGATGTTATTTCACAGACTCTTAATTAGGTATGTGAGATCTCAACTCTTCCTCAGCTGCTCTACTAAGTGTGCAGGTCGCTATGGTAGCTCACACAGGAATGGGTAAAAATGTATAAATCTATGAAATGTCCCCAAGACTCCCCTCTGTAGAAAAAAAGGAGGGTTGTTGCAGTATTATTTTATGTTTGAAAATAATACAATTTCAGATTTACAAGTTTAGTTCTTTTTTATATCACTCTTCTCACATGCAGCAAACTTCAGCAGTGTTCTTTGGATGACAGTCTCGACAGGAGTTTCAATACTGCATGAATCAGCATGTAACAGGAGGGTGATACAATGAATCATTCAATAAGTGGAGGCATTATTATCCGAATTAACCTTGTTTCACAGCTCGTGCCTCAAACTCAGACCAAAACTGTTCGAAATGATGCAATTTCCTGTTCAGCCTGCACAAATACAGATGATTTCATCATCGGCCTACAGCTCCTCTGTCATCTGTCCTCCTCCTAACACCTACATGAAAATGGCCAAGTGCGCACACACACTCACACAACCACACAGGCAGTACACGTACACACACACGCACACCTCCTCATCTTAGCTCTAAAGTCATTCGAGCGGTTCGGCACATTCACTCCTCCAGCCATGCAATTATCTACTTTTTCTGAAAAGAAGTCTGGCTGCATTTCATGAAATGTGAGAGGGCTTAATTGTTCTGATTAAAACATCATGCAGAGAGGGGAACATGTTTTTCTCTGTACTTCTGCATCTGATGTATAAAAGTAAAAATAAGCACTTATCGAGCAAACATGCAGTTTGAAAATGAAAAACATCAACACCATCGCACAGACTATATGGCAACATTTGAAGAGCGGCTGATGCTTTAGCACTTCAAAAGGAAGTGGTCATGTGGAGTACTTGAAGTTGGCCCAGTTAAAGCATCTGCAAACTGTGTGAGAGCATGATTGGCCAGGCTGCAGGGCATGATGTGAAGCTTTCAAGGGGCATGTTTCCCTTAGTCAGTTGGGAGGCTGGGGATGTTTTAAAGGGTTGCTAATGAACTGTAAACCTGCCAGAATAATTCCTTAAGTGTGGGGCTTGTTAGGCAATGTGATGACATATGGGCAGGGCTGTGTTTGTGTTGGGAAATGGGCAGACATGAGAGGGCCTTTGAGTCTGAGTCCAAGAACAACATAGAGCCTGAATCACAGCACTCATTCATATTGTTTCATTTTGAAAAGCTGCACAGGTTGAAAGAACACAGTCAGATCAGGAGTCTAATGTGGTCTGTATTGCCATGATTAAGTGACGCGCAGGCTGTAGAAATGCGTTTCACATCACAGCTTCCTCACACAGATTGTAACACATCCCCGGAAAAGGTCAAAGCACTCCCTTTTGTTTTCACCTAGAGCTCATTCATCTACCTACGTTAGCAGTGAGAGGCAGCAGGGCATCGTACCCAGAGCAGCCAGAGCCAATGATGGGCCTGGCTTCTCCTCAGCCACCACATCTATCCTGTCAGAGCTCGATGACTCAGCTTCTCAGAGGCACAGGAGTGTGGGAGGTTTTTCTCCTGCGGTTGACTGCCTACGTGAAACGCATCCTCCATCACCAAAAAAGTACAGCAACCCACTTTCCATCCAAACTTGAAATAACTGGCTGAAAGGGAAAACACTCAGGTCTGTAGGCTATGATTCGAATGAGCAGGTGTAAACATTCAACAACAACACAACAGCAGTTAAGATGTACCATTAAAGCAAACGAATAAAACTATTCAGGCTGTGAGACACCTCTCGGGCCTGCTTTAAGCAGTTTAAGGGTGTCAGATTTGAATGAGAAGATGAATGACTATCTTTCTGCAGATGATTATTCTTTGAAACTCAGTCTGTTTATTGGCTTTGTTTTCATCTTCAGGAATTCTATTATTCAAGGCAGCTTAAAATAGGTTTTGATATTATGCCCACATTTCCCCTGGCTTAAAAGGGAGACAGAGAGAGACGTCAAAGTCAAACAGAAGAGGAAACAATTCTGGGAATAAACAAACTGAGAATTTTATTTAAAACAATGACATAAACAGGATAAGGAAAAAAATGGTGCAATTAGATTCAGCGCTGTGTTACAGTATCACACTTGTTTTTATTCATTACCTCTATCTTATTAATAGATGCTAGAAAACATGGTAAGAAACAGTCATATGTGTCTGAGCAAACAGTCATCTGCAACATCCTAAAATAAGAGAACCTAATGCAAACATGTCCACAACAATTTGTGAACAGTATATAATGCCTGAAATGCAATGCAGTTATTATGAAAGTGTTGTCCTTCATTCAATATCGCAAGAAATCTCAGAATTCGCTGCATGCAAATCTTAGGATTGTGTATAAAGCTGCAGTCTCTGAAGGCTGAGTGGGTCAGAGCAGAGAGTCTCACCCTGTTACTCATGCTTCCATGGCAACAGGTCGCATCAACCTTTTGAAGGGATGAATAAACATTAGCACGAATATTTAAACTGCATTTAATGATAAGCATTAGCCTGTATTTTTGTTTTAATCTACATTGAACTAAATGTGTTCACCTCAGTTCATGTTAGACAAGATGAGCACGACTTC